GAAGGGCTGGTATTGGTCTTGGGACTTATTAGCGGAAGGTCGGAAGCAACGGAAGGTATTTTTATCGGGCTGGTGTACTCATGCTGTTCAGGCGCCATGTATACTCCAATTGATACCGTCTCCACAATCCCGCGAGACTGGCCGCTTTTTCTTGTCCAAAGTGGGTGGCCAGTTCTTTCGCAATCGACTCAGTGGATAGCAGGGTGCCGTAGAGATCGAAAGCAATGACAGTGTTCACAGCCATTGTGTTCTAGTCCACTCCTTACTTTTTCTTCTTCTTGTTACAACTGCAATTGCTTAAGAGCAGAAGGTTATATTGGCCAAAAACACCGATGTCACCGTTCTGTAATCCACCGAAGTTTAACCGACACAGAGATCCTCTACACAACATGTAAGAAGGATGGATCAGTGCTGACTGCCTGGAAACGACGATGCCAGCCCATGCTCTGGGACGTACGTGAGTAGCAGTAAGCATTTTTGAGTGCAGTTGAATGATTTTCTAAAGAAACAACGACTCAGTTCCCCAGACTATTCATGTCGGACTCTTCTAGAAAGACGTACCGGACAATACACCTTATGCAACGAACTCACAATATGAAGGGACTTCTTACCATCCCACGGCAAGACATCTCCTGATGGCTATCGTTTCGCATCAGTCCAGGCGCTCTCAAGTGCCAAAGATCGTGGCGAACTCCCCCATGGAATTCCGCACTTTCGTCTTCTGCGGCCTGTTTTCCGCCTATGTGCCAGACCGGAGTGTCACGTTGGATGTTCATTGGCAGGCTTCTCTCTAAAGGTCAGCCGTTGCCCACTGTCGGAGCAGGAAGCGCTGAGAGCCCTCTGGCTACATACCACGTGGAGATGCATCCTTTGTATCGAGCAGTCGGCAGGGGTTTGACAGTCAAGCCGCCCGATAGTCGGACTGGTCCGTCCAGAGGCCTGGATCAGTCCAGAATGAAGCTATCTATACAATCTACAGTCGGTCCAAATGCTAGACAGTCCAAGTGAGTCTGGACTAGTCCAAGTATAGAGCGCCTTGCGACCGTTTTATTTGGACAAAATGTAGGGTGAGGAAGTTGTTCAACGCTACCACCACGATACCATGACTGCGAGGCTGGCTTCGTGGGTGGATGAGAAGAAGGGTGTCGTTACTAATGCTGCGTAACAGGAGGGAAGGCCAACTCTGACTGGCGCAGCAAACGGAAGGGGGAATGGATGGAACGCACGATCGTGCTCACTGGGGAATTTGTGGGTGCTCTGGGCTTTGTCCTGTGTGCTTAATTTGAGGACGAAGAAGATCATATGGACGCCACATGACCACCGCGCAGCGCAGAGGTGAGCCAGTCTTACCGAGTTTACTTACAGCGGCCCAGTGTCAAGGATCGCAGACAATAACGAGCGTCTGTTGACGCACATTGACGACTCCCACACGACCAGCGGCGGCCTACAAATACAATAATATCCAGAATAAGTTCGAAATGACAGACAGATACATGATCGTCAGCGCCTGAGAAGAATTCTGCTCGCTGTGTAGAAGGGCAGTATCCAGATGGCGCAGGATTACATCCACGATTTGGACTAAGGGCGATCAATCTGCCGACGTGACCTGCAGAATTCGGCCGAGTATATGTCAAGTGGCAGTATTCTGCAAACAACAAAGGGTTCGAACCACTCAGCTCCTTGGGCCGGTGGGCTAGACGGATGGAAGGATGGAAGATGAGGATACACAGGCTTATGTCACTGAAAGGGTACCGACGATGGGGTACGGAGTGGTTGGAAGCGCTGTCAGCTGGGCTAGTCCTAAAATTGTAGAGGTGAGCCTGCGAGAGCTGAAGAGAGGTAGGTTGGAGAGGCAGTGTGCTTTGGCAGGGGATGGAGGGGATCCATTGAAAGTTTTCAGGAATATTTAGAGGTAAGACCTCATCATTTGACACATGGATGGCTATCTGCTAGTCAAATGGCTCAAGTATCTCGATGCGCATGGGCTCCGGATCCTCGACTTATATCTATAATTCACCCTTCGGTAGACTTTCGAATCGGATCCTAATCACAGGCATACCCATGTTGTCATCAACTGACTCCGTCCCCTACCGCAATCCATTCCTCTCGGATACCAGCGTGCTGTTGCTGTATGCAAGATGAAGGGTCGCCAACTCCTCATCCAACGTACTGTACGTTCCATCTCGTTCACGCCTACTCTTTTGGGGACTTCCCGTTGCCGCGGATTCCGAACACCACAGACCGCTATTTTCACCTCTCGCCCGTAATTGTGGTATAGCATCGCGGACCTTTCTGGTGAAAAGTTGGAGGACGGGTTGAACAGTTGGTAGGCATGCACAGATGATACCAAGTCTGATTCCGACACTGGACCAAATCATTGAAGCGTTGGTACCATCTGATTATGTGTCAGCTAGCGGAGATTATTGAACCGAAATCCAGACCGCAAAAAGTCCAATTCCAGCATTCATTACTCACATGAAGAATCGGTAAGACTGACGTTGGCGACAGTGTACACCCGAGCAATACTTGCCCCGCAGATACTAGGTGGGCGATGAATGTGAGCATACGCATACTGCAGCAATGAGATGTTCAAATGATACCTACAAGCCTCCAAGTAGGAAGATAACACTTAAGCCGACCTTGCGCCTTGCCGAGAGCTGCAGATGATGGAGAGTGGTAGCACAACAATCCAAAAATCGAGAGCCACGTTGAAAGCAGAGGTCGAGACGTAGTAGGTATTGTCGTTGTCGCAGTAACGTCCAACGTCAGGTGCACCAACCACCAGCGGATTCCACGTATCATCGATTGGACGACATCGGAAGATTGCTGGGAGGGCCGAAGCGATAAGCCATGCCACGACGAGGGCTTGTGTGGTGTACAAGAGCTTCTGAAAGCCTTGGTGAGTCCCGGGGGTCCCGAAGAGGCGGAGATAGAAGAAGAGGACTGATATTTTGGTGATACTGAGGATGACGAGGTACGGGAAATTGCCAGCATAGAGATTACGTTTGAGGAAGGTGAGCATCGTACACCAGAGGGTATACGGGTCTGGAGGTACCTTGAGTAGATTTTCTAACTTGATCAGTGAGACAGAATCGGAATGTCTTCCCATTCCATTGTGTACCACTGACTTAGATTAGCGAGAATACCGGAGAACGTGGGTGATAAACGCAGTGGACTACTTAGCATGACTCCGGCGTAGTATGAGTAAGAGACCAGCTGGTGTTTTTCTAAGCAAGCGTAACCCTGATATGTGATGCCAATGGGTCAGGCCTACCAAACTGATTGCGATGAATGCATCGTCCCACCATAATCTCGCTGCAGAGAGTCGCCGGGAGATGAGACGTAGATTCACCAGAGGTGAAGAAAATATGATCAAAGCTACACTGCCAACCAGCAATGCCGAACGACCGCTGTAATGCATACTGTCGAGCTATGAAGTTGTGTATTGTCATCAGCGAAGAGGACTCAGGCTTTCGCAGACTGCGAGACCCTTTGCTGTGGGCCATTGGAAAATCGGCCGGAACACTGGCCAATGGTATGCTTTCACTCGGTGATCGGAGCCATAAGATTACACCAATCAAGCGTTTGACAAATTCCACACCTCAATCGCCATGTCAACGAGACGACGAGATACTGCGGTACTTCTAACGCGCATCAAAAAGAGCATCATTCTACGTTAACACCTTGAATTCTCGACTCACCCAATCATACATTGTTTCATATTCAGCCCTACTTGGTATATCACTCTCGAAACCTCGTTTAGAGTCTTCGCATCGGGCTTTGTGTCCTACAAGTCAGTTGAGTTCTCGTAGCCATTGGACATGAAGAACTCCACAATCCAGCATATACTCCCACAACCCTAGCCTAAATTCCTTATGCTTATGCCAAAGAGTAGTGTACTAGATCTTCTGGCGAGACGTTGCCTCAAATAACCAGACTATTGTTGCCTTTGACTCGTGTTTCGCCCTACTCGCCAGGTCCTCTCTGGGCTTGTGCTACTACATAAGTTAAGAACCCGGAGGCGCTTACAGATGCCATGCTAGCGCATCAACGAATCTACCTTAGACAGCGGTACCAAGCAACAACACCCACCAACCTTCCTGATGATCAAACGTTGCGAATGCATCATGGTCCAACATCCAACCTGGCATGTCCTCCAAGGTCCCAATGAACCGCTTATGACGATGCTCTGGCGACACAAAATCAATGCCATGGGAAACAATACTGAGTAAAAACAAAGGCTGCCCATGCGACAGTCAAGAATGCGAGAGAAGTCTTGTCTCGAGAAGTTGTTGAGGATTTGGCCAGTTAGATCAAGTGATGATGTTCTACTCATGCTCATTCTGAGGAGATAGCTTGATCGCAGGGGGTTTTGCGAACCTTTTCAAGTCTTGTGAATTATACGCGCATGGGTATATTCCAAAATTCTCAGTGGCATTTTTCAAAGGAATAGAGGTCCCAACGCTTTGAGAGCTCGTATTGAGCATCCGTGGTTCTTTCAGGCCTTCGAATAACAGTACGGGCTCACTACTCAAGTTTACCGTTGACTATCTACCGTTGATCTCTTGCCCTATTGACAATGTCAGCCTTACGTCTCAACTTTTCGCCCGGCCATTCATCCTACTTCACAATCGCAAGGTCCGAGGCAGAACGAGTGAATGTGACGAATTTTCCTATTAACGGAAATCGCAACAATGGCACTGAGTACTCACCCCTATTCATTGCAGACTTTCGATCCTTTCAATTGAATGTTCCTATTGTCAACTTCCAGCCACCAGCAGGTGACGGGTATAAATATAAGCTGAGTCCTCGTTCCGAACTTCCTTCCTTTCTTCAACAACATCATCCACTGCTTAAACATACATTCCTGCACCACATACATCTACATCATCTCGACTCCTCATCTGCTCAACCTTACATTCGCTGGACGAATCCCCACTCACCACACACCGTCCCACACTTTCCCACCAACCTCATCAATCGAGATGCCTCGCACGAAAATGGTCATCACAAAGTCCCGCCCAGCCCTCCGCTCCGCACCGATCCCCGGAGCTGGCGTTGTTCGAAAGTCCAAACGTGAGTCCTCCGACCACCCTTTCATTCTGCAGCACTGCTGACGGGAAGACAGACACCATGAACAACAACACCACCATCTTCCGCCTCCTCAAAGTACCCAAGTACGCCAAGCGTACGGTCGCAACCATGTGCGAGAAGAAGAACGAGACGCTGATGGAGGAGCTCGGCCGGTTGAAGAAGGATTGGATGCAGCAGGAGACGGAGATTGAGTGGTTGAAGAAGGAGTTGGAGAGGGCGAAGGGGGAGTTGAAGGCTATCAAAGGGAGGGATAGCAAGGAGACGGGCTATGAGACGATGCATGGGTGGAGCAAGGGCTTGTCTCGGACCGACGAAGAGGATCTGGAGGCCTTGTGGGCATGTTATGGTGGACGATAGCTGGAGCGTGTCATCAGCCTCTTCGATACTGTACACCGACGGCGTTGAATAGGATGTTCTCATTTCAAAGCGGTCCACAACCCCATCACAGTTCCAACCAACGGCATCATCATCCTCATCAAATTCCAAAACCACCACCTCTTCACCAATTCCCTGACCTCCTTCTCCTCCAACCCCTTCGCCTCCGTCTTCTTAGCCATCAGCACATTACTCCCTCCATCAACCCCTCCCTCCGCAATCAGCGTCGCGTTGATATCATCCAGCGTAAGCTTGGTGAACGGCACGATCCCCACCGTACACAGCGCGGAAAAGGCGTAGACCATCCAATCCGCCGAATCCGAGCCGTAGGAATCATACGCGACGTAGCCAAGGCTCAGGCAGGATGTCACAGCGAATGGCGGGCCGTAGGCGATACCCACGTCGTAGATGGTCCGCCATTGGCGCAGGAGCAGATCTCGCGGGGAGAGCAGAATGGCGGGGATGGCTTGCACGGTTATGGCGAAGCCGGCACCTGCGAGGATACTAGCATGTCAGCGATTGTGCACTACAGAAGTAGTTTGGAAAATGGGGATAGCTTGGAGGAGAATAACTAGGAATCTTACCAAGTAGCGTGGCCGATGCGCCCAAGCCCAGGGTTTGCGCTGTGCGGAGTACAAGAGTCCTCTCCATTGTGATGGCTGTGTGGTAGAAGTACAAGGGACTGAATGCCTGTGGCTTGACAATTCTTGCTTCACAACGCAATGGCGAGCGGGCACTTTATATATTCCTGAGGGTCTCGGGTTGCGGAATCGCGCCGAGTCCGTCAAGGACTCAAGGTCGCTCGCTTCCGATAATGAGAATCTGCTGCCCGGAAGCCCGAACAATATTATATCAACGGGATTTGGGCACCTATAGTTCAGAGGCGGCTCGTTTGCTTCACAAGTGCCAACTCTTCGCCCTTAATTCTTCGGCCGAACCCGGAAGGCACGGTGTGGGCACTGGACATACTGTAGTTTCAGTTAGGGATGACTTTTTGCTGGTAGCTCCCGTTACTCGTAGTACCACCCTAGTTTCAGGGCCAGCAGCAACGGGAAGGCAGAGCTTGAGCTCTGTTGCGCAGAATTAGCCTCGTCGAGAAGATACCTTGTACGTACCTCACTCATTAACGTCGCTGGCCTATGAAGCTTTGTGGTGGTGGATGGGCAAGGATTGGAGAGGAATTTACTTTGTTCTGAGCAGCCAAAAGTAAGATTTCCCAGCCCTAGCCCTAGACCTTCCTAGTTGAGTTGGTCTCGGAGAAGATCATCCCTGTTCGCCGATCCTTAACACTTTTCTTACCTCTCGCGCTCTTCTCGAGCAGACTTTTCCGCAATTGCCACAGGATGAGAAGTCAAGCCTTGAAGGTATTTCGACTGCTGCGCGCGTGTATACCTTTCCCAGTGCTAATGGTGTTTAGATTCCAGTCACCAACGATGTCTGCATCTTCTGTCTCACACGCATACAGTTTGCATCAGTCCATGCTCTCAGGAGATCTCAACGTCGATTTGTTAGCTCTACTCGAGCCTTCCAAAGGCCGCCTGCCATTGCGGTAGCACAGAAAGAAGAGGATGGAACTCAAGACTCGGACTTAGCCAGAAGGAGCCAGCCACCACGACCTTTCGGTGGCGGTTGGGCCAGGACTAGACCGGCAGCACCAAGCGACTTGACACCAGAAGAGAAGGCATTGAGGAATGCACTGCAAAATAATCTTACAAGAGAACCACCACAACTTGAAGAGAAAGAGACTACGCAAGAGCCTCGTATCCGTAGACATACAGCTAGGGGACGTACGCTACAAGCACCACCACAAGTTGAAGAGAACGAAACTACGCAAGGGTCTCGTGTCCTTCAACATGTAGGTAGGGGATATTCGCTACAAAGACCACCACCACCCGAATCGCACACGCCACGAAAGCCGAGATTTGGTGGTTGGGCCAAAAGTGGAATTACAACCGAATTGACCTCGGAAGAGCAGGCCTTGCGACAAAGCTTCCAGAGAGAAGCTGCTCCTGAGCCTCGTCTCCCTGTCCATCGGATCAGTCATTCACCGCATACATCTTCTGTCCCAGGATACCCGTCGAGACAGGAGTTACAAGCGAGAAGAGATGCCCCTTTGGAGGAGACTGCGCGTACTTTCCCAATTCAGACCTCTGGTACCCAACGACAGGGTACGCAGGAGAACACAAATAATGAGGGGTTACTTGGATATCGTCAAACCCGCGATGCCCAGCTTAATTACCATATCTCCCAGTCCACAGCAAAGCCGAAATTTCGGCAGGGAGATTGGTACTGTCCTTCCTGTGCACAACACAATCCTGAGAGGGACCGAAAGTGCCCTACTTGTCAGACTGTGAAGCCTTTTATGGCAAATTGGCAATGTCAAGAGTGTGGGAAAACCAATCCTCCAAAGTATCACTTTTGCTATAGTTGCCAGACCCCAATTGCTTCTACCACTGCGCAAGGGCCAACGGACCACGTCAAGCATTGGAAACATGTAAGACGACCAGGATATGATGCCTCTCCCGGGCATTCGCCGCCAGAGCAATCTCCCACCCAAGAGCGCTCCGCAGACACCCGAGCAATTGCCAGGGCAAGTGCAATCGAACGAGAAAAAATGGAGCGCATGGAGAAGACGAAAGGTGGCGAATTTGTCGGTCTTGGGGGCCAATATGAGACTGCTACATCCGAAGCCATGAAATATTCCCATTGGTCTCTTGAGCCTGATGGATCTGAAGCGCAGCATGTTAAACCCACTACGGCCGATGCGCCCGACACGTCGACGACTGGGAGCCATTTGGTAAACTGGCGAGCTCAATCGGCAACGAAACCGCAAGTGAATGGAGTGCAGGGCATCACAGACAAGAGGTCTGGTCAGGAGGTTGCGGGTAGACTCTCGGAAGATCGATCAAAAGTAGCAAAGTTCACAGGCGGTTGGAAGCGATGGGAACCCCCCTCGGCAGGAAGCCAGCCTCCCCTTGAAGAGTCTTCTGAACGCGGTCATCTTGGTCAAGCTGATAGACCGTCTCAACCATCGTCCTTTGAGCTCGCGCGCGAGCAGAATGCGAGAAAACCCGAGTTTTCTGCATTAGAGAGAGAAAGGCGTACTAGACATGAACCGCGGGGACGAGATATTGCAAGGCACTCATTGTACGAAAGCACATCTATGCCTCATGTTAGAGGTGGTGACCGTGATAAACTGCGAAAGAGTAAGAAGGTGGTTTCGACCTACGACGATGCCGATGAAGATGATGAAGATCGTGCAGCCCGACGAATGGGACGCAAAGAGCAACGAAAGAAAGCCAGGGCTATACAGAGGGCGACAGCCCCAGCGACGCCCATCTACCTACCCGAATTCATCAGCGTTTCCAACCTTGCTGGCATCTTGAAGGTCAGGGTCGACGACTTCATTCACAAGATGAAAGCTCTTGGCTTTGAGGAGACCAATAACGACCACGTCCTTGATGCAGAGACTGCTGGACTTGTAGCAGCCGAGTTCAATTTCGAGCCGATAGTCGAGCAAGCTGAGAATCAAGATCTGCTTCCTAGACCGCCTGCGGAGGACACGTCAGTGTTGCCTCCTCGTCCTCCTGTGGTCACCATTATGGGACATGTGGATCATGGGAAGACCACGCTTCTAGACTACCTCCGAAAGTCATCAGTAGCAGCATCCGAGCATGGTGGGATCACCCAACACATTGGTGCCTTCTCCGTGCCCATGCCTGGCGGACGGCTTGTCACATTCTTGGATACACCAGGTCATGAAGCATTCCTCAGCATGCGTCAGCGAGGTGCGAATGTTACAGACATCGTCATTTTGGTTGTCGCCGCGGACGACAGTGTAAAGCCTCAAACCATCGAAGCCATCAGACACGCTCAAACGGCCAAAGTTCCAATGATCGTAGCGGTCAACAAAATTGACAAAGAAGATTCCAACGTTGAGCGAGTCAAGCAAGATCTGGCTAGATATGGTGTTGAGATTGAAGACTACGGAGGAGACACCCAAGTCGTCTGCGTCAGTGGCAAGACCGGTCAAGGCATGGAAGAGCTAGAAGATGCCGCTGTTGCCCTTGCAGACATTCTTGACATGCGCTCTGAGACTGATGGTCAGGCTGAAGGTTGGGTACTTGAAGCTACTACTAAAAAAGCTGGCCGTGTTGCTACTGTGCTTGTCAGACGTGGTACCCTCAGACCAGGCGATATCATTGTCGCCGGCACTTCCTGGGCTAGAGTTCGGAGTCTACGAAACGAAGCGAGCGTCATGCTCAAGTCTGCAGGGCCTGGCACACCCGTTGAAATTGATGGCTGGCGCGAGCAACCTGCCGCGGGCGATGAAGTTCTCCAAGCACCTGACGAACAAGGAGCTAAAGCCGTGATCGATTATCGCCTTGAAGCCTACGAACGGACCCGAATGGCTACCGACATGGCCGCAGTGAACGAAGCTCGCCGTCTCGAGCAAGAAAAGCGGGAAGAAAAGCGGGAAGAATTGGAGAGAGCAGCCGGACTTGCTGAAACAGATCGTGATGCTGCCACCCCCACAGAAGGGCAAAGCACTCCTTCAACGCCATCGTTCCAAGAAGTCTTCTTCATCATCAAAGCCGACGTCTCTGGTTCTGTCGAAGCTGTCGCCGATGCCGTCTCCGCTCTCGGCAACAGCGAAGTGCGCCCTCACATTCTCCGCACTGGCGTCGGGCCTGTGACCGAGTTCGATGTCGATCACGCTGCCGTCGCAAAAGGCAGCATCATCTCCTTCAATACAACCGTCGATGGGAGTATACAGCGCATGGCAGAAGCTAAAAAAGTCAAGATCCTGGACCAGAGAATCATTTACAGGCTCGTCGATGACGTGAAAGCGAAGCTTAGCGAAATGCTACCGGCTATCGTTACTCAGAAGGTCTTGGGCGAGGCTGAGATTGCGCAGGTGTTTGAAATCAATACAAAGGGGAGAGTTACAGTGCCGTTTGCTGGGTGTAAAGTTAGAAATGGTGTGGTTGGGAGAAACCATAAAATCAGGGTGCTGAGGGGGAAGGAGGTTGTTTACGATGGTACGCTACTCCATGGACCCCTGTCTCACGACTTCTGTGCTAACCCAATGCAAGGCACGCTTTCTTCCCTCAAGAACGTGAAGAAAGACGTCACGGAGATGCGCAAGGGTAGTGAATGTGGTATGGGCTTTGAAAACTGGACGGAGTTCAAGCTGGGGGATCAGGTGCAGAGCTACGAAACTATGTCCGAGAAACGGACGCTGTGATCGATCTAGGGGTCGTATAGCGTAGAGTTGGCGGCGTCTTTGCATAGAAGGGTTGTACATGTGGGAAAATTACTGAATGTACAATGCAGGCATACCGTTTTCATGGTGTTTTGGTACATGAACTCTCCCTCCTCTCGCACTTGACTTCGCTCCACTGTGCTTCAGCGTACACAATGAAGAAAGCTGCTCCGGAAAAATTGACTCCCTAACTCCTGCTGATTGATCGATCGATATCTATCCATCTATGCAAAATACACTACAGCGATCTAGGACAGTTTTTGTTTTTTGTTTTTATATTTTTTTGGCTTTTTGGTATCTATCTACTCTCCAACGGCCTCCTTTCCTTCCCTTCCCTTCCCTTTCCTTTCCCTCGTTCTTGTAACGTACACATTCCAGAGCCTCCGCACCGCAGCGAATTACGTCCTTGTCCGTAACGCCGCGGTCAGGGGAAAGAGTGTGGAAATCGATCCAGTGGCCTACCGACTCCGGCTATGGGGTGAACATAGCTCGAAGAGTCGACGGGATGGATCGGTCCAGAGCCTGCCGAGCAGCCTTTGGTGAAAAAGGCTGCTAGGGGGATGGACGGTGCCTCGAGGAGGGAGCAAGGAAGGGAGGAAAGGGAAGGTCGGGGTCGAAGGCGTTGGAGATGGGGGGGAATCATTAATGCGTTCAGGTTGGTCGTGCTTTTATGAGTCGTGGTGACTGAGAGTGGAGTTGTTGAAGAAGAGTATCGTGACCGTTGTTGCAAAAGGGGGGAAAAAAAGCTGGGCCGTCCGTGTATGCTGGCGTAAAAGTACATCGCACTGCTGGTTCGTCGGGTCAGCAACCCTCTTTGAAGAGGAAGGAACGAAGGAACGGAATAGGTAGCATACACTGATCATCCTCCCCACAACCTCCGCCTCACGCCCCACGTGATTAGTACTCCCCGAATCCCCTCGGGATTCCGTCCCACTCCTCGGGACCCTTCTTCTTGTTGCTCTTCTTGGGAGTCGCCTTCTTGCGTGCTCCGTTCGCACTCGCAACACCGCCAGTCTTCGCTTTCTTGGTTGCTGGGGAGTCCGGGTCGTCTTCGTCCTCGGGATATAGCTCCAACATTCGCTTGATTCCTGCCTCTTGAGCCGGGGCCATGCTTGCTTGGATCTGCGCTAGCTTCTTGTCTCGCTCGCTAGGCACAGTTGCGGCCTCAGCTTTCTTGTTGTTGCCGATGGATGCGGGCGCTGGTGTGATCGGTGCTTGGATAGGTGTGGCCGATGCTGTCTTGGTCGCTTTGGGCTTGGGGGGTTCACGTGTCTTGGCTGCAGCTGTCTTGAGCTGGGCTGGTGTCTGCTCCTTCTTCTTAGGCGTTGCCTTGTTCTTCGTGACTCCCGTAGGCTTTGATGCACCCTTGACAGTGGGTGTTGCTGTGGCTTTGCCCTTTCCTTTCTCCTTCGATGGCAACTCCTCGTACGAGCCATCATCTCCTTCTTCGCGAGCTAGGCCATCTCCGTCACCCAATTGAGCGCGAGGAGTTGCATCGAGCTCGTGCGATCCGTGGAGAGGATCTTTGACAGTTTTGGGACCCCTTGGGAGACCAGCGCTAACGCGCTTGGCGTACTCCTTGGCTTCGTGTCCTCCTGCAACTTGGGAGCTGGCGTCTGACTCCCACTCGATATCTGGGTCATCCGTATTCTCAGGGCAGAAACGAGTATCGTGTCCCTTTTCTGAAGCAAGTCATTAGCTAAGAAAAGGTCACAAGAATAAAAGGGTCTTACGGGTGCATCGATTGCACTTCGGAATAGTGCGCTTGATTTGTGGAATAGCTGCTGCGTCGATCCCGACATCCCAATCAGAGCTAGATGATTGAGAGCTATCGTCGGAGTCGGCAGTGGATGGTCGAGATCCGTGATCGGTGGTAAGGGCTGGTGTTTGGGGGACGCTTGTTGGAGAGATAGCTTTGGCTGCAGTGACATCATGGTGAATCTCTTCTTCATCATTGTCCTCGAGGGTTTCTCCGAATTCATCGTCGGTAGGAGCTTCAAACTCGACAAGATTTTGGTCGGGAGCAAAGCGCGCGGTGCATGACTCGGGCAACTCGTGACGCATAGAGACACCCAGCCAGTAGGCGTCGAACCTTGGAGAGGCGAGCACCTGGGTAGATTCGTAAGCAAGAAAACGCGTCCTGTTGTGGTGAAGAGGTGAGGTAAAGACTTACTGCTTGGTACCAGCTCATCTTGTACTCGATGGGAAATGTGGCCTTTTCGATCTCGTTGAGCAGCTGGAGCTCGACCTTTTCGCGCGAAATCTTCTCGGGCTTGCCCTTCTTCACATACAGCTCGACATGGCTTTCGGCGAAGCCGACGTACAAATTAGGGAGACCCTGGCAACGCGTCTTAGCAGCTGCGCGGTCTGCGATCACCGCGTTGGACTGAGATGCGGAAGTACTCACGATCATTCTGACAGTAACGATGTGAGGGGTAAGGGTATGTAGACGGTGTATTTCTAAGCTATGGTAGCTGTGCAGAAGAATGTTGTGTGGCTATGGTATGCAATGTAGAGCGAGGTACCTCAGCTGTAGTGGTTGTGTAGAGAATAGATGGTGTAACAAAGTAGCAAGAGTGTGGTGATGGAAGAAGGTGTAGTGAGGGAGCAAGTTGCTGATGATTTACAAAATAGATGGCTGGGCCGGAATAGTCATCCGGGCTTCGATTGAGATTTGTGTTGATCAAGGAATTCCTCAATAGTAACCAGAACCGCCCATCCTGCAGCGTGGCCGGCTTATTGTCTACAAAGTTCGCTATTGTCTGCAGTGAACTACGCAACCTATTAGACGGACAGCGAAAATACATGATAGGGGGTGTCTTGTTTTCAAGTACCGTCTGCTGGCAGTAATCGAAGTCCGGAGGGTTCAGTTACAGCGCAGCTGTAGGGCTTTAAACAATCAAAGCGGCGCCAAGCCTGCAGAGTTGTCAGTAGACTCAGGGCAAATCAAGCCAGGAACCCATGCTCTCTAGGTATGGTACGCGATAGATCGCGGTAAACTGCCCTAGATGTGCGACAGGCAAAGATCTAGAGGTTTGAATCGAAGTGCAAAGGCTGGTTCTCGGCCAAGCGTAGACGACAAGGTAGTTGCTCTGATCTTCATCAGTGTTTGCTTACTGGGGATTCGGCCTTGCTCTCTCAACATGCAGTGACCTTCGGTCAAGCCATTTTCGATGGTGAGAGGGCTGACGGCCACCTTCAGGTCAGCTAGGAATGGTAGCTATAACCACTTCACTTATTTGTATCATATAAGCATGCAAGTAGATAAAAGCACTGTGGTCGTGAGTCTTGGCTTGAGGTGAAGTTAGAGCGTACCAAATGTGAGGTTACCAGCAAGTCACGGTCTGATTTACCAAAAGTCGAGTGACTGTGAAAAACTTCATCCAGTTGTGCACACAAACATCGCTATTCAAATTTACAGATAGTGTAGACAAGTCTATATAGTCAGAAAGGCGTGGCAATGTGTTTCAGCGGCTGGGAAATCTGGCTGCGCTGTCCGGAGGCGACTGAGCCTTTAGAGGTCCTCGTGCAGATTCATACTGGAGTTCAAGTCCTACCACAACTTTCCGCGTTCACAAGTAGAATGCGTCCAAATGTGAGCATGATTCTTTCACAAATTAAGTAAGGCGTAAAAATTCCCCCAGAAAGTCAGAAAATAGAAAAAAAGCAAATCCAAGTAATCCGTCAACAACCCAGATCGAACTCGAAACCTTCACTGCTTAGAGAAGCTTGCTTACCTTATCCCCTCTCAATTTTGACAAGGAGGAAAAAAGGCAAAACGATTCTCACACAACAGTCGCCCCCGAATCAATGGGGTCCACTGTTGATGTGAAACAGGAAAGTAGGCTTGTAAACTTTTGAAGTTGAAGCAGCCATTTTTCGCTTAAGCTACTTGATTGTGGTGATTCGGTATCTTAACCAACTCAGCCATCAGGGCTTGTATGCGAAAAAAGGTCTTAAAACAAAATATAACTCCACAACTTTATTTTGTAGACATTCACACACACAACCCACGCAAACGACATTGAATCTCCAGTAGAAGCATCGACGCACCAAAATCAATTGGGATAGGGTGGCACGGTAGTGGGCAAAGTGGCATTCATCAAATCACGCGGGCAAAAGATTCACAGCAAGTACAGGCACAACTCACAGCTGTCCAGACCCGCAGTCTCAGCTGCTCCAATTATCGCTTCATACATTCGTGTCTCCCAATTCTGGAACTTCGTATTGTCTCTGCTGAGAGACGGATTGAGGGGCTTACGGCGAGTCTCTTGAATTGCGAATCACGTTTCTGCCAACCTTATCAGGGCGCCTTCAATTGTCACATCACGGCATGGTTCAGGGTTTTGACTATATTCAGGTCATTTTCTCAGACTCTGAACATGTTGCAATTGGTCAATGTCTCGCAGCCAGCACTGCCAGAGGCATTGGGCTTATAGGGGGCAGAGAAGCACCTTCGCCTTGATCAGTTGGCACCGTTGGTTCCATGCAGCTTATTCGTTGTGCAGCGCTTCCGTATTCGCAAAGTCTGCACTTGACGGGCATGCCCACCGCCTTTGCACGTTGCCAAATCTCCGTCCTTCTCAACAATAGCTCGATGTTCCAATAATCTTTACCCAAGGGCACCAGACTCAAAATCCTATACACAAAGTCATGACAACCTCGACAGAGCCAAGCGACTTGATTCAAAATCTGTTCCTCGTGCCACCGCTGCTTTCGAGCTACACTGTGTACGAAATGGGGAGCGAGATGATGAGCCGTCAAAGCAAAGTGCGAGCGCTCGCAAAGCTCACGCCTTCTAGAAATTTTTACATCCTTTATGTAGTCACAGACGATGGGAAGGAAGAAACATCTAAGATCTTATTCTCGGCAGATGATGGAATAGTACATCAAATATGGGCCGGACTGAGGAGAATCTCAATTTGGTTTCCGCATGTTGATGGTCTAGTGACGATGCGTTCTGGGAATCTGTACGTGGCTGAGAGGGCGGCGTTGTCTTTGATTGCGGTATATGACACCTCATGAAGCTCTTTGGAGAGAGGTGCAAATGCTTGCTTTGCGACGTGCTGAACAATACCTTAGATACCGCCTCCTCATTTCCCCGTACATTGGAAGTCTTGCATCTTCCTCCCTCGTCGATATAGGCTAAATTCAGGACGGTGCATGTCATATCAAAGATCAAAAGGGAGGCTTTAACTGAAAACTCTACTTGTGCAAAGGGAGGTTGATGGAGAAGGCGCTTGCTAAACGCCGAAGCGCCCACAGAATAGTGTGGTCCTTCTCTGTTGCTACAACCAATTATACTTATCGTTACGAGTGTCATTCGCAGTCCAAGGGATACTCCCTCATACAAGCATCATGTCTGGAGCGATGGCGGCCCGTATTCCTATTCCACAGCGTCTGCAGACCTCTTTTCTCTACCCCCTGCGGTCTCCGATTCCAGCAGACCCCAGCCTGTCAACCCGAGGAGTACGCACCCAACGCCGTGCCCCATAGCCTTCCCTGCCATGCCCCACAAGCTCATCACAACCGTGTCCACAGCGCCAGATACCGTGCAGCATATCATAATCGTGCCCATTGCCCTATACATGCCCTGCCAGTAGAGCGCCAGCATCGCCAGCCCGAGAGCAAAGTTGCGACCGCCGAAGATAGTGATGAAGGGAACAAGAGAGGATGGCGACGTTGGCGTCGAATAGTATGGTTCTAGACCAAATAGGTGAATCGCAGGAAGAGGAGATACGAGGATGTAGACTGATAGGAAGGTGGCGTAGAGGGCGAAGAGGATGGCAAGGCGGAGGACCCATGGGTTAGGCATTTCGATGTAGACGGATGATATGCGAGGACTGCAGAATCAGAGCGACCTCATTGGGACCCCGAACGTTGCTCTATAAATTGCCTTGTCAAGGTCTGTGGTTGAACGAGACAGCGGACTCTGAGCTCCCTGCGGGGTCCGAGACTTTTAGTTCCCGCGTAGGCAATGACATGGACATTCGATCCATGCCCATGGTCAACCCGCTGGATCTCCACTACTTCTTTGACCGGCAAGAATGGAGGACCCGCCTCTCCGATTTCGTACGGCACAAAGTCTCAGCGTCAGCGCCATGGCCATTGCCGACTGCTGGCTCTTCCTTCTGCCTGCCTGAAGGCTACACTCATCTTGCACTACAGCTTCAGCTTAGCCCTGGCTTTCGACACCGTTTCCGCGGCTATACTCTCGAGGGGACTCACCTCCCATAGGCCCTTCAAGACAAGGCTGTGATGCATGATCCAGGTATCTAACGGTAATGGGAAGGCGTCATGCACCTTTATCGACGAGACGAAAACAATGTGCATGCCCCTCCTCTCCTCAACCTCAGTCTCATTAACCATTTTTCCATGGTTTACTACGGCCACTTCAATCAATATATATACCACATATCACCATGGATCCCCTCTCCGCCTTTAGCCTTGCCTGCGGCGTGATTCAGGTGGTCGATTTTAGTACGAAGATCGTGGTAAAATGCCGAGAAATGTACAAAGATGGAGCCTTGTCTGAAAACAAAGAGATCGAGTCCATGGCCAAACACCTTACGAAACTCTCTACCGACTTGAAGTTAGCCAGTGCTGTTCCGAATCCTGGACCCATGCCACAGTTATACTATGATAACCAGGACCTTCTAAAGCTGGCTCAGCAGTGTTCTGGGACCGCAACCGAGTTGATAGGTGAACTCCAGAAGCTCAGTATCCAGGGTCCGCACAGGAAGCGGGATGTTGTCCGCAAGGCCGTAAAGGCAGTTCGGAAGAAGAGCACTATTGAAGACATTCAAAGAAGGCTGGAGCAGTATCGCAGGACGCTAGACACCCGAATCTTGGTCAATTTGAGGTTCGTATGATCGCAAATTTGTATAAAGCCCGGAAAATTGATGGGCAATGAACAATTACAGACAACATGTCCATCTGATTTCTAGAGGGCAGAGCGATGGCTTCAGGGACCTCGACCGCAAACTTCAAAATCTCATCATGGGTGTCGCCAGAGATCAGAACACATTTGATGATTTGAAGGGCTTGATTCAAGTTGAGAACGCGTCAAACAAGCAGCATGTTAGTACAGAATTCGATAAGGTATGCAAACTCAGGGAGCTGCTCCCTTTGTAAGAAAACGCTTTAAGCCGTCAAACATGTCCTGGGCATACAAAGTTCATTCAAACCTCAAATTTGTCTCGCAACTCAGACCTGCGCCTCGATAAAATGGTGCTGATTTTGGTTTCTTGTTGCAGCATCGCGACCAAACGGCCACCACCGACTCCTACAGGCAATTCCTCGAGAGCCTGTACTTCCCTGATATTCATGCTCGCCAAGAAGAGATTACAGAAGCCCATAAGCAGACCTTTGAGTGGATTTTCGACAAGTCTAGTCTTAAAGCCCACCTTTGGCATAATTTCGCCGATTGGCTTGACAGCGGACGCGGCACTTACTGGATTTGTGGTAAAGCAGGCTCTGGGAAATCAACATTGATGAGTTTCATATGTCAGGATTCTCGGACCGAGGCAGCCTTGAAGATCTGGTCGGGGACCAAAGCAATTCTCGTTCCATCCTTCTTCTTCTGGAGTGCCGGTAGCGCGCTGCAAAAAAATTCAAGAGGGTTATTGAGGTCGCTCATCTACCAGATCTTGGAACATGTTCCCAATTTGATGCCAGTGCTTGAACAATCCCCAGATGTCTCTCAGCATATCACACAACAACTCCCAACCTGGACGGAACGGCGGCTTCGTGCAACGCTGCATCAATTGCTATGCGCCGGACTAAATTTACATTGTCTCTGCATATTCATCGATGGCTTAGATGAGCTTAGCGATAATCAGGACAGTCTATTGGAGCTAATTAGAGGATTTCGGCAGTACCCGGGCGTCAAGATCTGCCTGTCCAGTCGACCTCACCAATCGTTTAGAGATGAATATGGATCCTCGGCGATGCTGGAGCTACAAGATCTGACTGAGCCAGACATTCGAAGATATGTATCAGACAAGCTCGGCCGAGCGCCCCTGAAGGCCTCGCAGGTCGCATGTTCCTCATTCGGGCTCAAGGATACGGTAGATACGATCGTCTACAAAGCAGAAGGCGTGTTTCTGTGGGTCAATCTGGCAGTGAGAGACCAGATTGAGGGTATCAAGAATGGCGACGATGCCGAGCAATTGCGAGAGAGACTCCAACTTTTACCCAAAGAAATCGAGAAACTTTATGTCCACATGCTTCAGGGAATCGACATTTGCTATCGGAAGGAAGTAGCACAATACCTCCAACTAGTTCTTTGCAACGATGAATCCTTGTCACTCTTTGAGATTGCACTTGCAGTACACAAACGAATAGATGATATCCTTGTGTTCTCTCCAGATATATCCATTGGTGATGTACGCAATCACTGTGAGTTCATGAGGGAGCGAGTTGCGACGACATGTAAAGGATTCTTGGAAGTACGCGAATTCATGGATGGCCACGAGTGGCAAAAGACGGTGACTGAACCTTCCGAAGTTAACGTGTACTTGCAACGCTTCTTGAAGTCAGTGAAAGACCGAAAAACACCTCTTGAGCAACGTGGCGATATTATAAAGACCAAATTCTACCATCTACACACTCGGGTCATTTTTCTTCATCGAACCGCCTTGGACTTCTTCAAAGACAATGAGGAAGGGAAAAGTTTCCTGGAAGCGAATCCCTCAGTCAATCCACATCCTCAAGTATTAAACGTCAAGGCTTCGCTTGCTGAGCTTATAGTCTTTCCCTTGTCAACGGACGATCGCGTAGTCCGAAATCTCATTGACCGGATCATGGTTCATGCTTCCATTGCCGAAGACAATACAGGAGTCGCGCAAACGGCCCTAATGGAACTTCTAGATCGCAGCATAACAATGTTGTGCCGACGGTCTCTAAGCCAGCCAACGAACCTTCATTGGTGTAGAGTGTGGGAAATTCCTGAACTTTATAATTCCTCGTGGGCTTTGGACGGAACACGGCCGCTGTCCAGATCGAAATCCTCACAAACTACCTGTAGTGGTCGCAGAGATGACGGTGTTCCGGCCCCTTACCCGGTCGACTTCCTCGGCTTAGCAGCTTGGCATGGACTCCATAATCATGTTGCGCACACCCTTGACTTGCCATCTGGACGGCCGCACTCTAGCACTGAGGACTATTTACTCGGCTGTGTTGTTGACGGTTTGGCTTGCCCTTTTAATCATTTGCGCGGGCACTTAGAGCTTGTATCGGCACTCTTGAAGCGAGGTGCTGATCCCAATATGAGAACTTCAAGCCGTAGCATGTGGGGTTCCTTTCTACTACTAATGCATAGAATATGGTGGCAGGATCATTCCTCGGTAGACGCAGGATGGGTACAAGCTTTACGGGCATTTCTTGGGAGCGGCGCCAATGTCAATGAGAGGATCAGCTTCAATTTCATCTGGAATTTCGGTAACAGAGAAGTGTCTCGTTCATGGAGTTCATCGCCTCTTGGAATAACGCAATATTCGATCAGGCTGCGTCTCTCAGCACTATCGGTTATACAGCAGTGTTTTACCGACAGCCCTGAGTCCTCCGAGTTCGAGGGCGCTTTTGTTTCCGCCGGCGCCTCCACGTACTCAGAGTGCACCGAATTGTTCTTGATGGTTGGTCAGGGAAAGGATAGACGCCGGGTTGACTCAAAATTGTCAAAGCAACAACTGAGCCAGTTTTGGGAGGTCTTGAACCAGCGTCTAAAAGCATCCCCCGGAGATATTGTGATGCGCTGTGAAATAATTGAGCGCCAATTTATGGAAGTGGTCCAGAAGCTCGACATAGCACAGCTCTACCAACAAGCGCCCCGAAATGAAGAGCTTGAAGAGAGAAGCATCCCAGAAGAACAGTCACAAGAAGACGAAAGCAGCGAAGACATCGAGAGCATCTCCGACAGATCAAGCATCGATGCTTCAGATTCCGACACCTTCGAAGCAGAAGGGCCTTCAGACTCCGCGGATTTCTCCCAAGAAGAGGAGTGAATGCAGCGGCCGAAACAAGACGACTAAGCAGAGGATCTGAAGATGCAGAGCTTTCTGCAGAGGTGGTAACGTCAAGGTGCTTCACTTGTCGGGTCGGAACGCTACATGGAGGACAATGCGATACAATCACGCTGGCGGCCAGGTCAGCGGTGCTGACTGCTTTCCAAGAGCGGCTTGTTTGGACTTGGTGGTGGATTTTCGTTCGGCAGTATGCTGTGTTACACGGCGTTACATTTTTCCATTGGGAGATGTTGCTCTGGCGGATTTCTTCCAGTATGGTAGTTTATGAGGACATGAATGATGATGATAGCTACGATTTCTTGCAATACCGATCTATTCAATTCAAACACTGACCATATATCGCAATTCATGCACGTTGATCTACCGGATCTTGCTTGATGATTGGGAATACTTCGATTTCCTTTAGCATAAATCTCTCAAGGGTAAAGATTGACAGCAGTAAATGATGAGTTGTAAGCGACTTCCGCATGTAAGGGGTCAAATGAGTAGTCAAGAAGAGGGTAAGCAGATGTGGCAAGCTAAATGACGGAAATGTCAAGTGTACCAAGACTAAAGAGCTGGGTATCTTTTTAGTTTCAAACGCCCTATATTGCACCTCACCATTCAACGCCTTCTTGTGCCATCGGTCGCTCTACCTCATTCAGCGACCATACGCTCTTGATCCTCCAGAGCACGGCCCTCGTGCCATTCCTTGAACTCTCTTTGTAACGCAAAGATAACTTCAACCGCAATTAACAAGATGATAATCCATTCCAGCCGGACACCATGTGCCTCGCTCAAATGCTGCCGCAGCACGCTAGCTATTTCCTGTGCGTAGTCCATCTTCTCGTTCAAGGTTTTGATGCGGATGTTGGTATCCAGTGCTCTTCCAACCTCGTCGTAGTAGCCTTCGAGTCTCAATTCGTGGCGGCTGTCCCAGAAGAGGTCGGGCAGGGAGTCCGTCAACTCGGAGTAGAGATTCAGTTGGGCCCGGATGCTGAGGAGCTGGCCTGTCTTTGTCGATATGAAACGTCGCGTAAAAGGCATGCGGCCTCCGCGGGAAAGTTGGGAGGGAATAGTTCTAGTGGACTCTTGATAATCTCTTAGAAGAGTCTCGAGTACGGCCAGCTTCGTTGACCGAGCTAAACCAGATGAGAAGGCTATCTTTGTAAGCACCGTGTCAAGGTTTCGACTGTGGACCTGGAACCCGTCGGTATCTGCAGCTAGCGATGCTTCAGTCTCGTTTTCTGCGGCCTGAGCAAACTTTGATTTGGTGCCCAGGTTGATTCTATCGCCTTTGATACTGCTGTGTTCTCTGCTTGGGTCTTCAGAGTAGTCAAGATCCTCCTCCTCGAGCTGAAGAAGTGGGTATTTGGCAGCTGGGAGAAGCGTTTTCGACACCAATGGCGTAAGTACGCTCTCCGGAATGGCCCATGCAACTACAGTGCCAGATGGAAACACAAAGACATCGCCAACACTCGTCTCTTCTGGGTTTGAAGGATCTGCGTGGACCGGCAATGCTACATGTACCACCTGCGGATACAGCTCCGTTTTGTAGGGATCCAAGATGTTGCCCAAGCCCTGAAGTATGCGAGCTACTTCAGCGACGTCGTATTCTTCAGCAGCGCAGATCGCAGTCACGGTCTAGGTGTTGCAAACAATCAGTAACAGTGGGCGAAGAGTCCTGGGTAATGTCCAACCTTAGAAGTTGCCTGATGGGCAACGGCCGGCGTCTTCTTTGACCCTTTCCCATCTCTAGACCGTTGAGCCTCAACTGCGACTCTCCGCAGAGAGTTCTTTGCTGCCTGGGATCTTGTAGTCTTTCGCTTGTTGTTTCCAGGAGATTCTTCTATCTTCGCAGGAGGTTTCTCCAGCTTCGCGTCTTGCTGTAGGAAGAACGGGGCGCTTGTTGAGAAGTAGTCATTTCGCTCATTCCGCTTTCGCGAACGCAGACCACCGGTAGAATGAAAGGAGGAGCTTCTCAGTCGGAGAGCAGGACTCTGGATGATTGGTAGAGAGCTGAAAGGCCGGCGCTGGTAGGGAGTGAAGATGCGTGGAAGCCGAAGACACAGGCAGTTCAGATTCGATGGCATTGCTTGCTTGGGAGGGTACTACATTGGGCAGAGATCGGAAAACCCATTGCTAGGCAGCCACATTACCTGGGATCTCCTCATGGAAGAATGGCATGGAGAGCGAGTGGGAGAGGACCTTGTTACACCAAAGTACACATTGAGACTCAGTCTGGAAGAGGCCTAGCGGTTAGGGCTAGGTCTAGCGGAGGGAGTACTCTCCGCAACTCTGCTGTGCTTCTTAATATTTAGCCTGTGCATTCTTTCCCTATGGCTTCGGAGGCCGGAGAGGCTGATCAGGACGAAAGCGTTGATGAAGAGGAGTCAACTCTTGTCAGCAATGGCAAGCCCGAGCCCGAGAACGGGGAAGAGGGGGAAGCTTCCGAGGAAGAGGAGGATGAAGAACCACGTCTGAAGTACGCACCCTTGACGCAACACCTGAAGCCAGTATACCGGAATGGCGATGCTACAAGCGCCTTTCTGGTTACAGGCGACAAGATGGTGAGTCGGCCGCAGCGATTTTTCGGGCTCGGAAAGAAGACTAACGGCGCCCTAGATCATAGGCACGCACAATGGGAACATAGTGAGCTCTGACTTGACTAGAATTATTTACCCCTGCTGACTGGATCCAATAGCATGTGCTGTCTGTGCCCTCGCTGAAGGCCATACGGGTCTACCACGCCCACACAGCATCTGTCTCCGGCCTCTCCATATCTCCGTTCCCTCCACCATTGGCAGCTACAAAATTAGACGCCGTGAACAGGGTCGCTTCTGAGCATAGAGGGTCTCCTAGGCCTTCAACGCCAAAAGTAAACCATGATTCGCCCTCCTCAAGGACCCCGCAGCAACAGCCTGTCCCACTCACGCCTTCGAATATGATATACATCGCGTCTTCTTCCATAGATGGAAACGTGTGTGTTGCATCATTGACTGATTCCAAGGATGTTCAGTTACGGAACTTTGGCCGCCCAGTTCAGACCGTGTCCCTGTCTCCTGACTACAGAGCTGATCGATCTTACCTATCCGGCGGCATGGCTGGCAATCTGGTGTTGACAGTGGGAGGACGGTCGGGGACTAGTTCTACTTCGACGACTACCGGCAGTGCCGCAGCCTCAGCTTCAGGTTGGCTTGGCGTAATAGGCCTAGGAGCCAACACCGGGAGAGATCAGGTCCTGCATTCTGGAGAGGGAGCTATAAGCACAATCAAATGGTCCCTATCTGGAAAACACATCGTATGGGTCAACGAACAAGGTATCAAGATCATGCGTTCGAACTTGCATCTCGAGACTGGAGAAAGTGAATTCGCGTGGAAAAGGATCAGCCATACTGACCACCCAAATCGCCCGGGCTGGGATGAAATGGCAGGCATTTGGAAAGCACATGTCGAGTGGATAGATGAAGCGGGCCTTGAGTCTGATGACGGATATTCTCCATCCAATGGCTCTCTGGAGAAGTCTCGGGACCCGCCAGATCTTGAGCGTCTAAAGGCACCGCAGAAAAGCAGACGTATTGAGAAGCTGGTAGTAGGATGGTCCGGCACCATATGGATCATTAACGTGCACCCTGGAGGGGCCGGCGTTGGAAAAGATGTTGGTGAACGCAAGATAGGACGAGCGGAGGTTGTCACAATGTATGAGTATGACTGGCTAGAAGACCTCCAAGCCCCAAGCTAATGTGTACTAGTTTACGAATTGACTGTATAATATCTGGAATTTCGCTATATACCCCAAATTTGCTTCTTGTACTTGCATATATCACACCAGAAGAGGATGTCTCTTCTAATCCCACAGACACGAAACCGGGAAGGCATCGGCGCAAAACTGCGCTCCAACCTGAGATGAGGATCATCGACATCACAACCAAAGAGGAAGTCAGCGTGGCTGACACGCTGAACATGAGCCGTTTTGAAAGCCTGTCAGCAACTGATTATCATCTGGGTGTTCTTCCCGCAATGCGCTTTTCTAGCAAGGCCGCGACACAAAGGGGTGCATTCGAAGCTATCGGTGGCGGCATCGAAGCCATTGGAGGTGGTATCTGGGATGCTACCATGTATCCAGCTCGACTCTTCAGCAGCTCTGTAAGCGTTCGTAGCGGTGGCAGTCCAGGATCAAGTGTTAAGGCTGCTAGCGATGCAGATACCAAGGCCAGTCTTACTTCGGCCCAAATTAGCGAGATGCCCAACCCAGCTACTTTGGCACATGGGATGAAAATCTTCATACATAGTCCTTACGACTGTGTCATTGCGACAAAGCCCTCACTCTCCGATCATCTCTCATGGCTTGATTGTCATGGCTTGTATGAAGACGCTTGGAACTTGCTAGATCGGAGTCCAGAAGCAGTCCATGGCCAGTCTGACAAAGCTTCAGACAGCCCTTCAAGCACACCAACCAAAGCGCAAGGCAGCCTCGTCGAATTCTTTGCGGATGACAGCTCTCAGACTACTCTCTCAGGCCTGCGCAATCCTAACTCGCAAGCTGAAAAAGAGAAGCGCCGCATTGGCGATCAATGGGTACAGCAGCTGATATCGAAAGAAGACTGGAGTAGAGCCGCGCGGATTTGTGGCCAGGTTCTGAACACCTCATCCAGCTGGGAGCATTGGGTGTGGGTTTTTGCCCAAGCCAACAAATACGAAGAGATCACCCCATACATACCGACTGCACAACTTCGGCCTCCACTACCTTCCCTCGTCTATGAGCTCATGCTGGGCCACTATGTCCAGACGGATCGACTACGCCTCAGAGAGCTGCTCGAAAGATGGCCTCCGGATTTGTTCGATGCTGGGGTAATGATCGAAGCCATCGAAAGCAAGCTCAAAGCAGGCGACGTCCGCGAGGATTCTAGTGAAGACGGTGAAACAGGGCGAGACTGGCGTATCCTCATGGACGGTCTCGCAAAGCTCTACCTCGCCAACGGCCAAACCAGGAAAGCTTTGTCCTGCCACATCCGCCTTCAAGACGCAGATGCAACCATGTCTCTCATAGCTGAATACCACTTAGTCTCGGCAGTCTCGGAGGACATTCCGGGCTTCATCCTTCTCCGTGTCAGCAAATCTCAACAGAGATCCGCCCCACTCTCTTACCTCTCCATCGCAACGCTCGAACCTATCCGCCTCCTCGTCGCTGAAGCCCATCATGGCATCGTGCAACCCGAGACCGTTATTCAGCAACTCGAAAAGCGCTACGGCATGCCGAATCCCTACCTCTTCTTCTACTTCCGCGCTCTCTGGACTGGGGATACTGCCCAAGATGCCCAGGAGACCGCTATCCCCAAAGCAGCAACAGAAGAGCGCCTACTCGCCATCGAAGGCAAAACCCTCGTCTCCGATCACGCCGACACCGCGGTCCACCTTTTCGCTGAATACGACCGCCCGCTCCTAATAGAATTTCTCAAGTCCTCTCAGTCGTACGATCTAGCGCTCGCCTCCAAAATGTGTGAAGAGCGCAAATACATACCCGAGCTTGTCTACCTCTTATCCAAAGAAGGGCGTACCACCAAAGCTTTGCGTTTGATCATCGAATCCCTAAACGATGTATCCCAAGCCATATCCTTCGCCAAAGAACAGAATGATGCTAGTCTCTGGGACGACCTCCTCGACTACAGCATGAATAAACCTCGCTTCATCCGTGGCCTACTTGAAGAAGTCGGCACCAGCATTGACCCACTCAAGCTCGTCAAGCGCATACCTCTAGGCTTGGAAATTGAAGGCCTGAGAGAAGGCTTGGGCAGGATGCTGAGGGAGTACGAGGTACAAGAAAGTATCAGTGAAGGTGTAGCCAGAGTTCTACGGGGAGAAGTCAACGCCGCTATGCAGCAGCGAGGAAGAGGACAGAGGATGGGCGTGCGCTTTGATGTTGCGAAACCTCACCATGACGAGTCTTCCGATCATCTTGACAGCAAGAAATCAAAGAACCCACCAAAGAAGATCCGGCCGGGCTATTGTGTCGGGTGTGGAGAAATGATCACTGAGCACGGTAAGTTGTCTTTCATATTTCGACTCCTATGCTGCCACACTTGCTGCCCGAATATTCAAACCTTCCCCGTTACTATCAAACTACGTGCCACGAGGCCTCACTGACGCCTTTCGTCCCCACAGACAAAGACATCCTAATCGCCTTCCCCTGCACCCACATCTTCCATCTCCCCTGCCTGCTCAGATACGAGAAATCCGACGCTGAACTCCCAGACGTGCTCTCCACCTTCGGCACCCTCGACTCCGAAGACGAAGCTGGCTATGACAGGAGTATAGGGCCGAAGGTAGATCACGCTGCGTTATTGCGGACGGTGGTTGGGGAAGGCTGTCCGGTGGCGGAGCATCATATGGATGATGGAGTGGGCTGAAGGTGTTCACTTGAGGGCTTGTTGGCGGTGATGTGATGCATAGCAAGGGGTTTGGGGCATATTATGGCGCAAAAACCGAAAGCATTGGGTCCGAGCATAGTATCTTCAAGCAAATCAAAGTCGAGCATGTATGAGTGTTTATTTTCGTACACGAGCAGGCAAGTCATTAACAAAGGCAGCGATCTTACGCAATGAGGTTTTCGCCTTGTATGCACAAGCATTAGTTGCCTTGAGGGATTGTAACAGTGTCTGAACGATCTCAGGGCTTGTTTTCTACGTTCTTATCGACATACTTTAAGAAGATCCTGCCATTACAACTGCCACTTCCTTGGGTAAATCACCTTTTCAGGCGTCACTGCATAACTAGGACGAATGATGGAAGCAAGTATGAATTGATCTATTAAGTCGTGACTAAGTGACGTTACAGACGGGAGACTCACGAGAGCCTTCCATTGTGGACGGCCACGAAGCTTGAGCGAAAGAATAAAGAAGAGCAACGTTCAATAGGAACTGTGGCCATGCCGAACTAATCCGCGCCATGGTTACCATCCATGCATGCCACGAACAACATGATCTTGTATCACACACAAAGGAAGCCCGTCGACGTATCCGTGACCTTGGCCCCTACCCATGCCAGTCTAGATCAAGAAGGCAACGTTGGCAGCCAAAGCAACCAGGAGGGAGAGTACGAGCCCGGTGGAAACGGTGTACTCGGGGAGAGCACCGTTAGCAGAAACAATTGTGCCCGTTGTTGACCCGATTTCTGACACGACTAGGGATCCGGTGGTGGTGGTTGACGGGGTACCCGTCTCTGAAGAAGTGGATGTGGCCGTCGTAGTGGCTGAAACTGTGGGTGCAGAGCCGGTGGATGCTGGAGTTGCAATGGTAGCGTTCGCCGAGATTGGTGCAGCAGCAGTCATTGATGACAGGGCGGCAGATGCTTGCGAGAGAGCTGATGACGCGGCTGATGGCATTACTTGCTGAACGGCCGAGAGCGCAGCGGATGCCTGAGACAATGCGGCGGACGTATCAAAAGCTCCGGCTGCCTGAGGTACTTGCATAGGAAGGATTGTCGGGATTCCAGCAACGGTAGTCGAGATGGACGATTCCGGTCCGGCAGTGCAATACTCAGGGATCGAGGTAACAGTCACAGTCATGCTATCTATCCACCGAGTCAGCTCAAGTTCGTCCCATGTAAGGACCAATGAGGGTAGGGTGACTGACCATCACGGCCAACAAGGCCACCGAACTTGCGAGCGAGACGTGCCTCACGGACTTGATGGGCTGTATGATCTATCAGGCAAGGTTTGCAACTGGCGAGAGGGATGAGCATACCTTGAACGTTCTCACGAGCCTCGAGACCGACACGAGCGGCTTTGCTGGGCACTATGGAAACCAGTCGTTAGCACATGGTGTGCAAAGCGTGGAGAAGATGAGATCGAGAGGATTGTGCTTGGAAGACAAGTGCATGACGATGGGGATCATTGGCACTGCTAGTGTGGGCAATGTTACCAGGCATCTCGGTTCTGAAATCCGATTTGCATTGGACATCACACTCAGTACCCGGCATCAGATCCCAGCAGATGGCAGTGCAGTCACCGCTGGTAGCAGAGATCACCGTTCGTCGATTCAAGGCAACTTCGGATGTGGGGATAGATTTGGACGTAGACGTGGTAGGCATCGCTGTGTAGAAACTTCCACCACATTCAAAACCGCAATCAATATCGCCCTCATCGAAGTTACCCGTGCAGACGGCACTGCAGTCACCGCCGGTAGAAGAGACTACCGTTGGCTGGTTCAAGGCAGCTTTGGAACTTGATGTCACTGTCGATATCACAACGGATGTGGATATGGATGTGGATGTGGATGTGGCAGGCATTGTTGTGGAGAAACCTTCAGAGCAGTAGACATCACAATCCGTGCCCGTGCCCAAGTCACTACTGGATAGGTCCCAGCAAATAGCAGTGCAGCCGTCATTGGTGACAGTGACGACTGCTTGCCGTTTGGCGAGGACGGGCTTACCGGTTGCTTCGATGGCGTTGATGGTGCACACCAGGCTCACAAGGCCGAAGACGACGGACTTGGTGACACGCATCTTGCCGAAGGTGATGAGGTTGATGGATGCTAAGAAGAATGTTCAGGTAGTGTAGTAGAGCTTGAGCGATAATATGGGCTGTAGTGGTGGTTGAAGAGCAATGTTGTGAGTGAGCAAGATATGCGATGTTGAGGAAAGAAAAATCGTTGAGCGGTTGAGGAAATATAAACAACCAAACCACGCTAATAGCAACGCAGCTTCCCGACTACCAGCAAATACGGCACGCAGGTACGCGGCCCATTAATTCTACCCCTACGAAGATACACATGCTACGGACATGCAATTGCAGGTATACGTCGTGATAAGGATGGCTCATTAAGTGCAGTAAACACGCGTAGAAAGAGAACCTTCTGGAGCATCGTGATCATGGTAGTCGCTTTTCGTCCCAATGCTAAAGGTTCACATTTTGGAACTGTAGTCAGCCCCCCTCGAGGATAGCAGCTCGGTCAGAGTCCGGGCGTTCGTGCTTGCAGGAAGGAACTGCTGCTGAATTCATGCGTTGTTGAGACGAACGCGGGAATCAAGTTCTGGCAGTTGCTGCTGTATTGATGACGAGTACTCACCCAAGCCGAGGTTTCTTTCGTCAGCAGCTTAAAGTCCTTTCTTCTTGCCCAACTCTTCCTCTTCTTTACATCTTCACCATCTCTCTCTCTCTCTCTCTCTCATCCTTCAGTCACTCGTTTACAGCCACCCACTTCTCTTGGTGCTTTGCAGTCAATTGATTGCCTTCTTGAAGATCCTTGGTTACTCATCAGCGTGCGTATGTCAGTTGCAGCCATCATGCATCTCGTCAAGTCTTTGTTCGTCGTGGCATTGGCCACTCCATTGGTGGTAGCCGGACCGAGAGGTCAGCGGCCTCCGAATTCCATTGACAGAGCCTGAGTTGCTGACATTCCACATAGCCAACGGCCTTCGTCGACGTGCAGGAGATGGTGAGCCTCCCACTGCCCTCAGCTCACTCCTATGGCTCCTTCACTCTGCACTCTCATACACACCAACTCCACGCAAAGAATTCTTTTGCAGAGTTGCCTAAGCCATTTTTGGTGCAAAGTCTGCACCATCTGACGCCAGGACAATGCTCTCCTCTTTCTTGCACTCCGACCTGCACCAACCTCATCTCCGGCCTTTGCTGACCAACCTGTGCAAAATCAGATGATAACTCCTCGTCTCTATCAACCACAGACTTGACACCCAGCTCATCCGCATCTGCAAACGGCCAGCCATCTGTGATTTTGATTGGAACAGCACCGCTTGGTACTGGCATATCTTCAGCACCTGGGACTACACAAGCAGTTGTGATCACCGATGTGTATGTTCAATTCCTCCTCAGCTCTCTATACTCAAGCTGACTTGAAGAGCAGTGTCTACACAACCTTGACCACTTGCCCAGTCACCAGCCTTGTCACTTCTGGCAGCACGTCGTTCGAGGAGATCACGACTACCATCTCAACCGTTACCCGTACTTCAACGTCCACGCTCTGTACCAAATGTGTTGCACCTCCAAGTAAACCAGCATTGTCTTCAAGCTCACCAAGGGAAACGGCCGCAACTTCTTTGCCGTCTTCCATCATTTATTCTTTGTCACAACCATCGTCAAGCCTGCCATCAATCTCGAGATCCTCGACTGCTGAAGTGCCTGGTACTGGCGTGCTTTCAGCCATCCTTTTCACAAATACCATTCCGGTGATTCCACTGCAAACAGCGATTTCTAGCAAGCCAGAAGTGCCCAACACTGCAACTTCTCCAAGCAAGAGTCCCGTCTTCCCCAGCTTCGTCTCTTTGACCGTCTCGGCTGCGTCAAGTGTCTCAAGCACTCTTGAATTTCCAGGATACGGCATTGTACCATCTCCAACCAGCACTCCCGGTTCACCAAGAGAAGAGATTTTTTCCAACGCTACACCTTCAATCATCCCTGTCTACACTGCAGCGTTACTCGGCAATGCATATGGTGGTGGCTTCGTCAGCACTCCATCCGTCTATGTGACCAAACTGCCATACCCCAACAGCCCATCCTCAGGCGTTCCTCCTGGGTATGGATCAGGGTCGTCCACTACCATCATCGGAAACAATTTCACAGCAGTGTTCCCCAGCTCGGAAGCCTTTTCGACCTCAGCAGCTGGCCCACAAAGCACAACCGAGATAGGGATTTCTGCCTTTACTGCCACCATTGCATCAAACGTCAGCGGCCTGATCGGCACCCAGGGTGCCTCGACCATCGCTGCTACAATTTCCGGAAACGAAGGCTCCACTCCAACGTTCATTTCGCTATCACCGTTTGGTGGAGAAGTAGGCCAAGAGTCTGGTTCCCCTGCTATTCCCACTGTGGTACCCATCGAAGTACCGAGCAGTCCCGGCTCTGCTATCGTTGGAACTGAAGCCAATATAGCCTCGACTGCTACAACGCCTGCTCAGAGAGGCAACTCTGGATCTAGTGGTGCCATCGGCGTCACCGCTCTTATCGCAGCTACGTCACTTGCCGGAGCCTTGAATGCTGAGGTCAACCAAGTGAGCAATGCAGTGCTGTCTTCGTTGACGGCCGCTGGTGTCCCAACTTCATCACTCAACGTACAGGTGGCTGTTGTCGGCTCTTCTACCACATCGATCATCGGCTCGTCAGGCGAGACAGCAGAGTCCAGCTTCCCTACCTCAGCGCTCATCGGAGGTGCTGGTATCCTATCTACCGTGGCCACTATATCTCCACTTGGTGCAGGACCGTCCAGCTTTCAAGCCATCACTGCAGCAGAGAACGCTACCAGCTCGACTACATCAGGAATCGGATTGGCAGGCGCAATAGGATCTTCCGTCGTCCCGGCCGCCACAGTCGCTGGTGTTATTCTAAGCCCAACCTTCTCCAGCAGCGGTATCAACATTGAGGCAACTCCTGCTAGCAATCTGACTTCAGGCGAAATCGGTGCCACTATCATTCCATCTCTACCAGCCGAGCAAAGTGCTGGGCCCGTGGTCACTTTGGCTGTTGGATCATCCGCAGAGCAGACTCTAGCTGCTGGTCAATCCGCTACTTCGATGCCAACACCAATCATCGTCGCCAACGGTAGCACAGCCCTCGCTGTCGTTCCATCGCCTGTCGTTGGTGCCAATGGTCTGACCTCACTCGCTGTCTTTTCGACACCCATAGCTCCTGCTGCTGGTGTGACTATGCCTGCTGTCCTCTTGACACCTATCGTAGGCGCCAACGGTCTCACATCACTCGCTGTCGTTGCCACACCTGTCGTCGGCGCCAATGGCTTGACATCGCTGGCTATTGGGTTCGAGACCGAGACTATTCCAACTGCTGGCCAATCCAACAGTGCACCTACTCCAATAGAAGGGTTTGTCGTCGTCCAACCACCAGCCTTTTCACCGCAAGTCTCCGGAAGTATCCCCAACCAAGCCAATATCGCTGCCTCTGGTGTCGTCAACGTCGTTTTGCCGTCCGGATCCGCCGAGTCCCCAGTATCTGGAGACAGTGGAAGTGGCAACTACAGCATCCACGTTTTGCTTAACCCTACAGCTGCCTCTCAATTCCAAGGCTCTGCTGTCAGAATTTCTCTTGGTTTTGGGGTTGGTTTGTTCGGATTGATGATGTTCCTTATTCTCTTGTGAGCGACATGTCTAAGTCACTGGTGCGAGGCGTGAGAACATGGGTTAGATGATAGATAGGTGGGTTCATCGCTATGGGAGTCGGAGGATTTGCTTTGCTTTTTCGCTGCTTTATACAAGAAGATGTCTTCTGACAAGAGCGGTATCTTATCAGCATTGTTTACTCCCTAATCACGGTGGAGAGGGCTGGCCATATAGCATAGATAGCACGACTTCATTCTCAATCTAGTGGTTCACTTCATGATCTCCTTTTTGCGTGACCTGAGCTTTGCCTCCTTCAGCTCGCAATGCCATCAACATGAAAAAGTGCAGTGTCTCGTCCTCCAGCCTTAATTTTGACCTCATCTTCCACAGGCGCCACTTTTTAGTACGGTCCTGAGTCTTTCTTGGTATTCAATGGACACATTGGCTCCCATAATCTCTAAAATTATGGAGCCTGATCTTTTGGAAGGCCAGTGCTACGACACTGCTCAATGTATCTCCAGTGGAAACCTGCTGCATTTTGGGAGTAGTGCAGAGCGTGGCGGCCAAGATAGCGATGCAGGCCTAAGACCACGCCTGTGTTCTGCCGGTGTATGCCCTCTTACAAAAGGGCCATCTGAACGATGGTACATCCAAAGCCAGCTCATCTTCTTTCCCGCCAACCTCGACGAAGATCCTGAATCTCGAACGACCGAAGCTCTATTCCTGGCCTTGCATCTGCGTCTGCAACTGATACACCTCCATCTTCTTGCTCTCGCTCTCGGTCTGCGTCTCCTGGATCTGCTTCTCCAACCGCTTGATCTCCCGATCGATGAAGTCGAGGCGGCCTTCGACGGCCATGACGGCTTCGCTGCGCTCTTGTTTCAGGAGGACCGGGCCGACGAGCTTGTAGATGGCGGAGGTGGAGGGGAGGGTGGAGAATTCCTTCGCGGGTGTCAGTGGTGCGGACGATGGACGGGGACGGGGAAGCGGGGTAGAAAGTATGGGGAGAACGTGCACCTTTTGGACGCCTTTGTTCTCTTGCTGTTGGGACTCGAGGCGCTGGCGGGCGGAGACGGTTGTTTGGAGGTCTGAGGCAGGATTGGGAATTAGCAGATGCGGTTTGCGTGGAAGGTTGTGGGGCATGAGGTCTACCTGTTTGGATCTTTTGATAGGCGTCTGAAAGCTCTTGGAGCTTCTTTTGGTCTTCTGCCATATCGTAAGTGGGACATCTAGTCTTTGAAGGCAGAGTCGATAATTCGATATCCATAGGGCTGACCGTGGGGTGGCGTCATCGGCTTGGCGCGTGTTTACCCACTCTCCTGCTTTGGCTCTTCGCTTGCTACTGTATTGTTGCCGCAACAACAACAACAATAACAGACTGCTTGACACTCGAGAATCCTAGTTTTATACACTCCGTGCTCAGCGCTACATAGAAGTTCAAGCGCTCTTAAGTTCTCAGTTCTAGATCCCACCTTAAAAAGCTCAAGAGCTCTATCTCTGGGCAACGGTCCCATTCAACGAACTAAGACCATATCTCTCGAAGAGAAAAAAGCAACGACCGTCACAAGAAGAGCTTAGACGTATCCGCTTTCCTTCGTATCGCTAGCGAAAATGAGTAACACAGATTTCCTCGGCCGGGCGATCGAGGTCGTGAATAAAGCCATCGAGAATGACACTGCAGGCGAATATGAGAAGGCGTACCAGCTATACTATCAGGCCTTGGAGTTGTTTATGTTGGCATTAAAATGGGAGAAGAATGTCAAGTCGAAGGAGACGATAAGGGCCGCGGCAGGTGGATATATGGAGAGGGCGGAGAAGCTGAAGACGCATCTGGCGGAGGGCGACAAGAGCAATAAGAAAAAACCGGCAGCGGTGGGGAGTAACGGGAAGGTATCAGGAAGTGGGGGAAAAGGGAAGTGAGTGTTTCAATCTTTCTACTTAAAGCGGTCCAAGCGGTGCTACGCAATAGGAGACTAATTCTCAGGCGCTCCAGGGACGATGATGACGATGACGGAGATCCCGAGGCCAAGAAGTTACGAGGGGCACTCGCAGGGGCTATATTGACTGACAAGCCGAACATCAAGTGGGAAGATGTGGCAGGTCTGGAGCAGGCAAAAGAAGCGCTGAAAGAGGCCGTCATTCTGCCCATAAAGTTTCCACATCTGTTTGTCGGCAAGCGCCAGCCTTGGAAGGGCATATTACTCTACGGGCCACCAGGGACTGGTAAATCATATCTGGCGAAAGCAGTGGCTACAGAGGCAAATAGTACCTTCTTCAGTGTGAGCAGTAGTGACCTTGTCTCAAAATGGATGGGTGAGAGCGAGAGGTCAGCTTTCCGGTTTCGCAGTTCTCAGTGAAAATCAAAGTAGCTAACAGGCATCTCCAGATTAGTGAAGCAACTTTTCAACATGGCCCGCGAAAACAAACCCTCAATCATCTTCATTGACGAAGTCGACGCCCTCTGCGGCCCCCGTGGTGAAGGCGAGTCCGAGGCCTCGCGACGCATAAAAACCGAACTACTCGTCCAAATGGACGGTGTGGGTCGGGACTCCAAGGGGGTTCTTATCCTCGGTGCTACAAACATCCCTTGGCAACTTGATGGTGCGATACGGCGGCGGTTCCAACGAAGAGTGCATATAAGTCTGCCAGATCTGCCGGGAAGGATGAGAATGTTTGAGATGAGCGTTGGCACCACGCCGTGCGATCTGAAATCGGAGGATTTTAAGACGTTAGGGCAGCTGAGTGAGGGTTATTCTGGTAGTGATATCAGTATTGCAGTGCAGGATGCCTTGATGCAGCCTGTGAGGAAGATTCAGACTGCTACGCATTACAAGAAGGTATAATTTGTCCACTTCCAAATTCGCGAGGCTTTTATTGACGATATTGACTAGGCCACGGTCGACGGAGTTGAGAAGCTAACGCCTTGCTCTCCTGGCGACGCCGGTGCCATGGAGATGTCATGGACAGAAGTTGAATCAGACAAGCTGCTCGAACCGCCACTTGTTCTAAAAGACTTTGTCAAGGCTGTCAAGGGAGCGAGGCCGACGGTCAGCGCGGAAGATATCAAGAGGAGCGCCGAGTGGACAGCAGAGTTTGGCAGCGAAGGGGCATAAAGATTTATTTCATGTGGCATTCCCCACATCATGAATAAGCAAGGCGTTGGTGGGCCAGGGTATGGAGCATTATTAGGTGTATGGGGCATTCGATATTGACTGACTGCTTGTCTACACAACGACATCCAAAAGGATCTTGGCTCCACAGTCCCGTCTGCCACCTCTCCTCCATTTGACTGTACCTCGTTCCAGCCACCACTGTTCTCCGGCTTCTCAGCCAGAGACCTCGTGGTACCGCTGCCATTTCAATGACAGGACTCGTCTACTTCCATTGTTAGTGAGGACGGTGCTTGCTAGATCTACTTCGGATTTTCCATGCACGTTCGATCAACTCGTCTGGCGAAAGCTCTCATACACTTAACGTTTGCAAACCGCATGCCATGTCCTGGCATCACAAGTCGATATCCCACCGTCCAGCACTTGTCTAAGATTACTTGATCACGAATAACGTACATACATGGAGATAACGTGGACGAAGAAAGGATAGGCTTAGCGAACTTGGCACGTCTAATGCAATTCCCGAGACCCTTGCTCCGTGAGCCTCCAGTAGATAGTATAACAACGGGAAATCCTCAAGCGAAATAGTGGACATACAAATCGAGGAATAAACGCAGCTGCACCATCTTTACAGCAAGCGTTTGACTCGATGGCCAAATCCTACTGAGTGAGGGTGGCTAAAAGTTGAGGCAAGAAGTTGACTGTGATCTGTAGAGTACTGGCCCGGGTCGACTCGGGAAGCTGCATCGGTCACACGCTCACACATCTGTACCTTCCTTCCTTTACTCTTTTCTCTTTTCTCTTTTCCTCCTTTGCCAGGGCCGCTCTCAGCTCCTTCGCTTAGTCGAAGGGGTCTATCCTTCTAAATGTCTCTGTCATCTATGCAACGTAGCGAAGGATAATCGCCGATGTTATGGACGGGCCCTTTCCTGAGAAGGCCTGAGGAGGCCTGAGCACGAAGTCATGTGAGAATGCTCCATATACTGCACTTCGCAGACATGTTTTCGGGGCCAATCAGCACATAGATGCGTCTACTGACCAATCGCAAGCATACGCCTCTTCATGCGGCCGGAGGACTCAGCTTGCATACATGCTGCAAATCTTCAATCCGAGGCATATCTCAAGCGCCAACTATTCTCTTTCCTCTTTTCCCCGCTTCCAGTCTGTCCATACAGCTCCTCCAATCCAGCCGCTCTGACTATCTGATTATCTGAACTCTGCACAATCTCCGAAGACCCAGACGGTCACCGTCTGCCCCTACGTTCTTCCTGATAAAGGAGCTGGAGGAGGTGCTGGGCATATAATGCGTATTGCCGTCGTCTCAATCAGTCAAGCTCGATGCTAGCTTACTACATATAACATATTAGTGTTGCCCACATATCTTTCTCTACACCTCTTCTTTCTCCCATGAGCATCTGTCCCCTGAGAGAGCCGTCATGTCTCCTTTGGCATTGCTAAAAGATACTACTTCCTACTTCTCACCACTTCTGACCGGTGCTGTTGCCGCCTTCACATTCTTCCTTTTCGCCAAATATATCTATCGTGTCACCTTTCATCCTCTTGCCACCTTCCCGGGCCCAAAACTGGCAGCGCTCACCAGCTTATATGGAGCCTCCTACGACTTGCTTCCCGATCGCTCATACTGCAAACAATTTCCTGCTCTTCACGACACATATGGTCATATGGATGTTCTTATCACCAACGATAGCTGCTGATTTGATATACTATAGGACCAATCGTAAGAACATGGCCGAATCACCTCCACATCCGTGACATGGGCGCCTACAATCAGCAAGTCGCCAATCCCCTAGTTCCATTCACTACTTACATTGACCAGAATTTTCAAAGCGGGCGGCGTTAACTTCGACAAACACGCCCCCTTCTACGCGGTCCCCCAATTCAAAGACGCCTACTTCCCCATCGCCTCGACCAAAACTGCTCTCGCTCGTAAGAGCATGCACTCTCCTCCCTTCTCCAAAGAAGCCGTCCGCCGCTCCGAACACCTAATCACAGACATGCTCGCCAAGTTTCTCGACCTCCTGTCCGGCTATGTCTCGGGAGCGAGGCCTGTGGATCTGACCATGGGCGTGAGGTGCCTAACTGCGGATATAAGCATGAATTATGCGTTTCAAAGACCTTTCAATGCGCTCGATGAAGATGGGTTTCAGTCCCAAGTGATAATGGGAACGGATGCGAGTTCACGGCTATTCCAGTGGCTTGCTTATTTCCCCGGCTTCGTTGGAGGAGTCTTTCGGGTGGCGGAGAATCTGCCGGAGTGGTTGATCAGGAGATATATGAGGCCCTTTGCGCTTGTGAATTGGTGTTTGGAGGTGAGTGCAATACGTCCTGTGTACGCTGGTTGTCCGACTCTTGGGCTCATGATGGCACGAACAGGTATGTCGCGACCAAATCGCATACTTACAAAACCGTTCTCCTTCGGAAAACACGATACGTACGGTATTCGACATCAATCTCAACCCCAACCGCGAGAAAGGACAATTCACGCCTACGACTAGTGAAATGGGAGCGGATGCATTCGCGTTGTTGGTGGCTGGCACGGACACTGTGGCTGTTACTACGGTGATGATTACATGGGCGCTTCTGAACAATCCGCAAATGATGCAGAGGCTGAAGGCCGAGTTGAGAGAGGTGATGCCTGGTCGGGAGGACACTGTTGACTGGGCTGGGTTGGAGAAACTGCCATATCTGGTAAGCAAGCGCTTTGGAGGCAGGTTCTTGTGTCATCCCAATCAACGCTGACCGACAAAAGCGCGCCGTCATCCGAGAAGGTCTCCGCCTTGGCTACGGCGCCCCAGGACGCCTTCCCCGCGTCGTACCATCTGCAGGCGCCGTCTTGTGCGGACAGAAAATCCCGGCCGGAGTACGCATTCCCCACCCACCCCATCTCCCCAACGCCCACTGACCAAAGCCCCTCGACAGACCGTCGTCTCTTCCAGCGCCTACGTCTACCACCAAGACCCGCACACCTTCACCGACCCCCAGACATTCCGTCCCGAGCGCTGGCTCGCCCCTCCCACCGGCGGATCGAGCGAGATGGACGCCAAATTCGTGCCCTTTTCCAAGGGCTCGAGGTCGTGCATCGGCATCAATCTCGCCTACGCCGAACTCGACCTCATCGTCGCGCACCTCTACCGTCGTTTCGACGTTTCGAACGCCGGTACCACGGACGCGGATATGCAATGGAAGGACTGCTTGGCGCCGGTGACGAAGGGGCATTTGAAGGTTACGGTGAAGGAGAGCGTGGACTGAGGGATCGAATCGCCTTTTACTTACTCACTCTGTGCCTGAACGAATCTGCTATGAATGACAGCGACTCGAGCCTTGTGGAGTCTGGAGGCTTTGGGTTATGGAGATGGGGGAAAGGAGGATACATACATCCACGCTCGAGATCTTTGAAATTGAATCACATGGTTTTCTCTGTTGGTCTGGTTACCTGCTTTTGTATTTACGGTGTGCAAAACGCATTCTTCGCTTATTGCCCTCCCCACCCAAAACTGGTCCGTAGTCAGCAACAGCCATCGATTCCACCATCCATTGCCATTTTCACCAAGTGAATTCTGAACCTGAAAATCCGCCCGTATAGATAGATTGATCCGGGTGTTTTAGGTCCCTAGTCCTTTCCTCACGGTACGCCTTACATACAGAACCACCAACGAACGGAATCAATGGCCCGTTGCCGACTACATTGGGCGGGGGGGAGCAAACAAACAAAGATACCCCAAAAAAGCTTTGCACACCGCCTCCGCATCCATCTCGAGCGAGTATGAGACAACCGAAAGGAATGGTAAAGGTACAGATTTCGATTCTTGCAGGCGCGAAACCGCCTTTGGACGCCTCAAAGCATCAGGCGAGCCGTGACCGCCGCGTTGTTGTACATTCTCTTCTCCCTTTCTTTTTAATGACGAGGTGCCCGCATTTCTTGAGGAGGAGGAGGAGGGAAAAGAAGAAGAAAAAGACGAGACCGGGTCGAGACGCCCTCGTATCCAAGACCACGCTCCGACCCAGCACCATGCGTCAGGACGAAACGGAACTAAGCCACCCTCACCCTCTCCTCCTCCCGCCCGTTCCTCCTCTCAGCCTCGCCATCACCATCACCATCACCATCACCATCACCCAACAAAAAGCCCCTCCTCTCCCTCTCCCTCTCCAACTCGCCCTTGAGCCTCCGATTCTCCTCCGCGCCCTCCTCCAACCTCTTCCTCGCCCCGCTCCGATCCAGCAATCGCGCCTCCCTCTCCGCCTTCAACCTCCTCTCCAGTTCCCTCAATCTGTGGATCCAGCGCTGCTGCGTGGGCTCCATGGGCGCGGAGACGACGTCGGTGTTGGCGTTGGCGGGCAGGTGGGATGAAGACGCGTGGCGGGAGGGGGAGGCGGGGTTCATGGCGTTGGTGAGATGTTCGACGGCGGAAGAAGAGTGGTGGCGCGCCAGCGGCGGAGGAGCCGCGCGATTGGAGCTGTCGGGGGCGGCGCGTGAGCTGCCGGCTCTCAAAGCGTTGCGGGCGTGCATTTCCTGTTTCTGCAGGACCGCGATTTCGGATTTGAGGAGGCGGTTTTCGCCCTTTAGTTTGGCGATTTCGGGCGCGGCGGTGAAGGTGCCGGAGATGCGGTGGGATTGGACTGTGTTTTCTAGGCGATCGAGTTTCTTGATGCGAGCGTCGAGGGTGTTTTCGACGGACTGGTATTCGGTCCAAAGTTCGCGCTCGATGGCGCGGATGCGGGCTTGGAAGCCGATGATTGTGCCTTCGATGTTTTTGACGGCGTTGAGGAGGTTTTTGCTGAAAGTGGGGAGCATGGAGGAGTTATTGATGACATCGAGGGTAGGGAGATGGTTGTTGACGAGGGAGTTCTGGTGTTGCCAGTCTTGGCCGCAGATGGCGGAGACACGGGTCCAAAGGGTGAGGAGGAGAGTGTTGCGTTCTGCGAGCTGGTCTTTGAACTGGGACTCTAGGGTCGAGAGTTTCTTGCGGTCCGATTGACGCGAGGTTTCGAGTTCGGTGATGCGAGTGTCCTTTTGGGAGACAGTGCGGCTGGTGTGTTGATGTGTCTTCTGCCATTGCTCGTGTTGGGCTTTGTCCGCACGGCGACCTTGACGCTCGCGGTCGAGGAGCTCGGAGAGCTTTTTGGATTCTAGACCGTGACTTTCCAGGAGGGCGTCCCGGTTCTTGAGAAGACGGTCCTTCTCCGATAGGTTGTGCTGGGCAGTCTCTAGCTCTGTTGCTGTAGTCTCCAGGTCTTTCTGCAGCCTTGTGATTGAAGAGAGGAAAGATGATCTCGTTCCACTCGGATCGCCGAGCACTTCTCGTAGATGGCTCTCGAGCTCCGTCAGTCTCTCCTTCAAGGATGTAGCCTCAATCTCACGCGACTGAAGGCTCTTCTTCACTTTTCTCGACTCCTCCTGGGCAGATGATAACTCGTGGTTGAGATCATTGGTCATCTTCTGCACCTCCTGCTTTTCTTTTCCACCAATGACTTCCCGCTGGTGTCGTTCCTCGGCCAATCTCGTCTCCAGGTCCAAGACACGGTCCTTCTCACTGGACAGGCTGGCCTTGAGGTTATTGAGGGCATCCTCAAGGTCACCAATCTTGATCTTATCGCCATCTTGCTCTTCCCGTAGAAATGAAATCTCGTTCTGGCCAGACTCTTGTTGGACTGTGAGCTTGTTAATCTTGTCCCGTTCCTCTCGCAAGTCCTTGTCCATGGAGTCTGCTTCGTGGCTGAGTTCCTCGAGCTCGAGCTGCAAGTCTCGAACCCGTTTGCTCTTCCCTTCAATCTCCTCTTCTACTCGAAGAATGCTTTCACTAAGTGTTCGAACTTCCTTGCGTAGCGCTTCGGAATCTTCCGCGTGATTTGAAAGCTCATTGTGAAGGTGTTGTAGCTCTTGAGTCTTCTGGTCGACCTCCTCCCCTAGAGCACCTATTCGTTCGTTGCCTTCGGCTTTCAGATCTTGCAGTTCAGCTTCCATGTCCTCCTGTAGCCTGAGAGCCTCATCTCGTTCGGCTTGCATTGTCTTTAGATCTTCTGTAGCCAGGCCAACGTCATTGTCGTAAAGTTGCTTGAGATCCTCATGCTCGAGCTTGACAGCATCGAGTTGCTCAAGCTCATCCAACAGCTCTTCAAGCTTCCTTGTCAGATCATGAATCTCAAGCTTCAGTCCAGCATTCTGATCACGCAGTTGGCCATTCTTGAATTCGTAAGCGTCGCGCTCAGCATCACTCAACTGAGTTGTGCGAGTCTGATCACTTGCTCGAGAAGGCGGACGACCGTGAGCACGAGATGCTGACCGCTCAAAGATACTGTCTCCAGCTATTGAGCGCGTTCCATGGCGTGAGCCAAGCTTCAGATCTTCAATCTCCTGGTACAGGCGCTCTTTCTCTCGGTTGCGGGAAGTAAGCATCGACGTCTGCGCACCAACCTCGCGACGTAGCTCGGCGTTTTCGTGTCTCAGTTGCTCCACAAGGGTGCTGCTTACAGTGCTACTGCCACCGTTGCGATCTTGCTGGTGGTCTGAGATGTCGTTGTAAGAGAGCGTAGATGATTTCTTCTCCCGTCGGTTGACATGGTAGACATTTGCAGCGTGGTTGTTGGTGGTCGTCGAGGAAGCATCACTCTTCAGTCGTCGAATCTCGTCTCGGAGTCTAGCATTATCTTCGTCTGCCTGCTCTCGACGTGCAGTCTCGGAATCGAGAAGGTCCTTCCACATGTCCTACATTGCCTTGCATCAGTACTCATAAATGTCTTGGAGAGGTTCCAAAACTTACAACTTCTTCATGAACGCCAATGTCAGCGGCTCCATTGGATTCGCTAGCCCGCTTCAGCATCTCAGCGAGTCTGTTCTTCTCCCTTTCCTGGGCAAAACCTTCATGACGCATCTTTTCAACCTCAACCTCGTAAGTCATCACTCGCTCCCTGAAATAAGTCAATTCGTTCTCCATGAACTGGAAATCCTCGGAACTTGGACCGGTTTCAACCTTCTCGGGAATCGGTACTTCTGCTTTTTTCGCGAGCTCATCTATCTTCTCCTGCAGCTTTCGCTCTAGCTCTCGGTTGGTACGCTTGAGTTCTCGCATCTCCTTTGCAGACTTAAATTTGGCCGTCCGGAGATCAACGTTCTCGGAGATCATGGCCTTGACACCTTCGTCTGACCTCCTGCTCAATGCATCGTCAAGAAAATTGATCTTCAGCTTGAGATCCCAATTCTCTTTCATCAAACGGTCGATGGTGCTACTTTGTTCTTTAAGAGTCAGGCTTTTGCCGCCACGCGCGGAAGGAGTAGGAGCGCCATGTCTCTTCTCGGGCGACGGCTGCCCGTGGCTATCTCTGTACTCTCGAGCCATAGTTGCTGGTACCTCGATATCTCGTACATGCTGTGCAATCACGGTGTCAGTTGGCGTGCTGATGCTTCTGCTTGTGGCTCTAGGCGTCTGCGGTACTATGTGATCGTGTCCTCCTGCCTTCAATGTGTCTTCTCCCGCAGTATCATCCTCTTCCTCCAAGGTGTGCAGATCCCTCTCTGTTGGTCTTATCCTATCTTCGCGATCACTGAGGTCTGATATGCCAGATGCCATACTGCCCAGACTGATGGTCCTGGAGAAATCTGAGGGTCTGCTACTGAGAGAGCCCTGAGGTACAGCACCACCAGATTGCAACGCGAAATCTGCCCCCACTGTCACCTCACTTCCACCTTCTGTAGATGTAGTTGTGTAAGAAGAGTAAGAGGAGCTTTGGCTTGCCATGCGGCTGTTGAAAAACTTGGGCCTCTTCTGAGATCGCATTGAGCCTAGATCATCGGTGGCTTCATTGTTTTCTGGTGGTTCTGAAGGCTTTGTTGGAGTTGGTGAATTTGCGCGCGATGATGAGGCAGATACGACTCGGAATTTCCGAGGAGTTGGGTAATCATCGGTCTCTGCCCCTGGGCTCGACTGCTCCAACGCTATGCCACCTTTGCTGTCGTCTGCCGTCTCATATCCTCCATCCATTGAAGCCATGGATGCTGCGCGAGACACTGTACGAGCAGCGGCCGCGGCGGTTGGCGAAGAAGACATAGTCTCGAGTGAAGAGGTGTTGTAGTGCCCGTGATCAATTTCTGTGTCTAGAAAACCCCTTGATTGTAGTTCCTCACGCCCGGGAGCTGGAGTCTGATACAGTTCGGGCGGTGTAGCAGGAGAATGCGTCATAGTATCCTGGTCCCCGCGAAACGGGTCCATGGACTGCTTGTAGTTCTCTTCGTTCGCTCGTTGGACCGTCGCAGCATACGAATTGGGATGAGGCTGGCTGGAATCCGCGGAGTCGTCTGTTCTTGTATGCGCCGCAGGGGACACCTCTGGCAGGAACATCGAATCTACATCCTCAAGTCGCATCCGCATTTCCTTCTCTTGCAGGAATGTATCCCCTTCTCCGGCCATCATACTTCTGCCGTCGTCGCTCGGCGCATTCAGGCTGTCATCTCCGGGGTGTGTTTGCGTAACGGATGTTGCCTGCGACTGCAAATGAGGTTCATGATGCTCAAAATCGTCATGATCGAAAGATGTCTTAATGGGAGATAGGTCTTCATCGGTGTCGAAGCCGCCTGGCACTCTTGAGACTTGCCGAGCGACTGTAGGCCTCGTTGGTGTAGCCATTGAGCTCAGCCCAAGAGCTTGTCGCTCCCATGCACAATGTCAATTACTTGACATTCAGGGGCGAGGGGCAAGAGGACAGAGCATGAAGCCAATATATCAACATACTATTGGTGATGTGTGGGGTCGTGCGGGTTGTGGGTGGAGTTGCAGACTGCAGTCCAGATTCCGCGTCGCCGAGCGCGCGTGACGAATCGGGACTAGCCTCGTCTTCCCCTGTGCGGAGTACTAGTACTACAGGTAGATAGATACGTCGTTCTACGCATCTTTAGTTGTTAAGTTCAAGCTCCTGGCTATTAAATTCACACAGCTCATGTGTGCACAACGTCAAGGCTTGCCTCTCACATCGTTTCTTTTATGAAAAAGATACTACATAACTCGAAGACATACATCCCCTGTCCAGATGACCATCGGCCCAGATCAACCTTCCAGCGTTCAATCTCGGGGTAAATCTTCTTGCTGTACATGCCTTGAAACCTAAACGCTTTCTAAAAATGGATATGGAATGGAGAAAACTCATCTTCTGAAGAGTCGCCTTGGGAGGAAGAGGACTCGTTCTCCGACGAGTTCTCGTCGTTGCTTGGTTGATAGCGTGTCCCAGTCCGTTCATAGTAAATCCAACAGTCCATACAGACCACTTCGTCTCTGAAATATCTGCAAGTAGGTCGAGTTGCCATCGTCGTACGGTTTTCACCAGGGTCTTCTTCCAATTTAGGTTTGGGCGGGAGCTCGTCGTGGTCAACAATGGCAGCATCTCCAGCAGTACCAACAGCGTCCCTTTTAGTGTCGAGGTTCGTAATTTCCTCTTCCCCCAATCTCGAAATAGGGAGGGCCGTACTGTCACGATGTAGCCCTAGCTTGAAATCTTCGAGAAAATGTGTCCAATGAGGTTGCACTCTGAGACTCTGTATATCTTCATTGCAATCGCTGCAAGTCCAAAATTCTGCCAGATGAATGTGAATCAGTTAAAGAATAGAGCTCAAAAAAATCCATGTACGTTCCCTTGTCTACAGAATTGAAAAATTAAAGCGTCATCAGGTACTCTGCGCACGGTGCTCAGTGTGCTCTTCCATCCCTGAGTACTGGAGGAGAGAAATCCAAAACGGATACCATAATGGATACCAAGACGCATCAGCCATGGAGCTGGAGAAATAATGTACGACGTCTCATATTCTTCTTGATTCGTGTCGCGGCAGGATGTGACACTATCTGCTTCCCTTGTTGTGGAAAGCGTTATACTTGAAGTTGCGCGGATAGTGCCAAGGAAGCATCCTGTGGCAGATTCTGGCCCTCTCAAAGTCCGTTTGATTTTTGCCTGCTTTGGTCGTGCACTCCAAGGTCCGCTCGAATTTTGCTTCTCGCCCGGAACAAGATACAAACCACCTGCAGAGTCGTCCGTAACATGCCTTTGTTCTGCACGCAAAGCGGAATGATTCGAAAGAGCCGAGGCTGTACCTGGAAGTCTTCCGGCTATCTGTGAAGGCTGTTGCATGCTTATGCCGGAAATACCTTGGGTAATGGTGACCAGGCTCTGTTCTAAAGTGATATGCCGATTCCGACCCAAGCGACTGGTGGTAAAATTTTGAGGTTAGCGTTACTCTCAGTCTGTAGCAAAGATACAAAGTGAGAGAATGCCCCATCGACTAGTGACTGATGCATTTGTCGTTCCGGGATTGGACTTAGACACTTTGTTCTTTTTCGAAACGCTTCTTGTGGCGTTACCGGAACACCCTCAAGAAATTTACCACAATACCAGCCGATGGGATGGTCCTGGCTAAAAGACAAGAAGCTTCTGTCAGACTCACCTGTTCTGATTCTGTTGCACTAGCAACAAGGTGCCTTTCAACCTCTCTAAGGCTTCCTGAAATTTCGTCAATTTCCCAGACTTCAATACGGCCTTGAAAGCGGTCCATTTGCGAACACGCGAGCTCGTTGAAGCGAAACCCGGTTCAATCTCGTCGAGGAGTGTGACGAGTCTTTTGACCTTGAAAGAACAAGCATCCAAGGAGGCTAAGAGCGTCGCGTTAGGCCCCACGTGTTGTGCCTCGTAAGCTATGTCGGTAAGAACGCCCGACAGCAGTTCCAAGTCTGTAGAGATTTCCTTCATGTCTGATGGCGCTTCTTTGATGGATTCCCAAAAGTCACATAGCTTCTTGACGCTGTCAGCCAGCTGAACGGCAAGAGACACCACGGCGATACTGCTCGCGGCGGCAGACAGGCCTTCCATAGTTGTTTATGCCAGGACGTCGCCGCGATTTCGTATGCTGAGGGGCCTTATATATGCCAAAGGCACGGAAATTTTACATTTCACGGAGGCCCGACGTGGAAGACAGATTTCTGCAGCCTGACCTGACCAGGGTTATCTAATCGAAACCATTCCGATACCAATGAGATCGCTTCCTTACCCTCCCTATCCATTCTCACCATCGAGAGTTCTGTTTCTAAATCTCCTCGTGACTTGACGGATATCAGGACCTCGGTATTGAACTTCTTGCGTTGCCCAGTATTCCATTGTCCATGGCGGGCACGGATCGTTCTGACATGTTCCATTCTCTCTCTCGCAGCCTGATGCTATCGTTCGCCTGATGAGCTCCCTGCTCGTAATCATTGGCGGTGACCCTCTTCAACCCGCCCATCTGGCACAGTTTTATGACCCATGGCGGTTTGAATAGAGAGAAGTGTCGAGATTGCGTGTGATGGTGAAAGCTGGTTCATACCCACGGTGGCAGCCATTTCCGAGGCCACCTGGACTGGGCTGGACGCGCTTCTAGGTGTTTAGATTTCGTGGCCACGTGAATGGAAAGATGAGGGTAGAGCGCTCACCAGCCAGATGGAGTGCCCTATCACCCTAAAAGTGGCAGCCTCGGGTGAGCCACGACAGAGCTGGGAGCACTCGTAGCCAGTACCATGTACAGTTGCATCCCATCGCTGGCCCGGGCGCCCTTGGAGATCCGCACATTTAGATAGTAGTCCAGGTGAAAAGACGGCGTAAAAAGGCGTAGACTGGGCGCGTGTGACGAATCGGGTGTAGTCTCATCTTCCTCTACACGTAGAATATAGATATCGAGATACGTTATTATGAGCATCTTTATAATGTTCATCCTCTGTGTTTATATGATTGTACTTATTTTTTTTTTGGCATAGAGGATTTCTTTTTTCCTTTACGAAGAAGACGCTGCATAACCCGAAGGCATCCTTGTTAAGAAGACATTCTTATACATCCCCTTTCCCGGAAGCCACCGACTCAGATCAGTGTCCCAGCGCTCAACCTCTTTAAAACCATGCTTTAGATATGAGCCATACCCCTGATCCGTTGCTACAATAAATCCTGGCACTTTCATCTCTTCGAGTTTGTCTGTTCCCCACTCCATGAGCATGGATCCAACGCCTCGGCGTTGATATATTGGCAGCGTGGCGAGAGCGACCAATTCTATCGAAATAAATGGTCAGTGGTCAACAGACAGACTGATTGCGGACTAGATGGCTGGGATGTGTTAGGCTGGAGCGAACTCACCCCACCACCTCGTATGACCCATGACTTTGCGTCTTAAATCCTGGTCCTTGACAAGAAATTCGCCCAATATATCCATGTTCGCCTCCGGATATGCATTCAACGCTTCCTTTCTCGCACGCGCCCAGTCTTCGTCGCTCATTGCCTTTGTATATTCCCAGACAGCACATCCAGCCATCTTGTCATTGTTATCCGTGTCGACAATCTTGAGGGCGTAGTTGTCGGGATCATCAATAGCTTTTTGACGACCCTTCACCATTCTGTCCATGTTGGCCTGGCTCATACCGGTTGGAAGCATGATGGCTGTAAAGGCATTGTTCTCATAGCTTGCCAGCCGGAGCGTAGTTGCTTCCTGTACATCTTCCTTGGCCATTGGACGTAATTCGAAAGGCATTGTGAGACGGTGAGAAAAGTATTGAGATCTTTGCAAATTGAGCGAAACGACAAAACTGTTATAAGAGAGAGCAGAGTCGCAGAGGAGCCTCTGCTTTATACTCTTGAGTCACGTACTTTAGCTAGTAATTATAGATCGCCCGACCCTAGGCAAACGCGACGGTGCCGGTCAATGGAAGGCAGATTAGAAAGGAGAAGGAGCAAGTAATGCGGTCAGCGAGATACAAAGATACTGGGAATCATTAGCTCCACGATCAGGCAGCGGTCAGTCCACGCCCACTCCATGCTTGCTAGTGTCGCTTTACACCGACAGCCATTGGCATCCTGGCGGATTACTGTTATTCTCTAATCTACCGTGCATCATGGATATCTTAGTAGGATGTCAAAATGAACGACATCACCCTAGTATTAATTGTTCGATGTGATGAAGCTGAGAGACTGAAAGCGTGGAGCTGGCTGAATGATAAAGTACCTTAGGCTTTGAGTCTTGAGATCCAGCGCCAGACCCCTGCTTCCTGCGCGCCCGCAACTTCCCCGCCACCAATATTTATTCCAACCTCTCCGCCAAGACATAAAGTAACCACCGAATCACTTGCCCAACTGAACTGCTCCCATCTGCACTTTTGTTCATTCCTTCTGCAACCTTCCGATATTATACAGAAGACTCGCAGCGCTTCTTCCGCGTTGCACAATTGTCACCTCGAAGCTCAAGAGGTCCACCCCCGTCCGCTCTGATCGAACGGTCAAATCGCAAGCTTCCACGCCTTCGTGCGCCCCCACCGTCCAATCACTCTCGGCGCTTCGCTGGTGAAGAAAATAAACGCAAAAGATACTGAACATCATCCTAGTTGCATCTCAGCTCCCCAGACCTGGTAATCGCAGCTTTGCAGCTTCGGCGAAAAGTGCCCGAGGAGCCGTCGACAACAGCAAGAGCGGAGCGCCCTCCGACTATCTAGCGCGCAGAAGAGCGCTCAAGAACCTCTCGTACAAGCTTCACGACATCAGCTTCAGCAAGGAGAGCCTCCCGAAAACATTACATCTCTCACCACTATCTACAAAAATCGCTGCCAACCACTAGCCCTCGCCTCTCATACACAATGGCCAACGAAGTCCTCATCCGCGTGCTCGAGCGAAAACGGAAATACGTGTGGCCCGAAGCGCAGCTCAACTTCTGGCTCATCGTCATGATAGCGGCTGCTGCAACCATAGTCGGTATATTCACCTACTTCATGCACCTGCAATCCGTGTTCCATCTCGGAGTACCCTGGTATGCCTTTACCCTCACCTCTCCCGCCCCCCCCTCCCACAACCAACTTAGTGGCTAATAGAATATGTCCTCCGTTCAGGATATTCCCCTACAGCATAGCAACCGGCTCCATCTGCCTCCTCTTCCTCTTCATCATCCTCGTCCTAATCCAACAAAGACAACTCCTCCCCGGCATCGTCGTCCTCGGCTCCTTCATCCTCTTCGTCCTCTTCTTAACCGGACTCATCGAAACCTCCATCCAACTCTTCGGCCCCACCGGCTCCGTAAACAGCTACTGCAACCTTTACCGGCCGAGCTCAGGCCTGGCAAACTCGCAAGCGACGCTGGCGTATTTGGAGACGCAGGGGATATGTCAGGATTGGAAAGCAGCGTTTGCCTTTTATATCATCGGGACGGTATTTTTGCTGTGGATGATGGTGATGGCGTGGCAGGTTAATCAGGACAATTTTGACTGAAAAGGGCATGGGAGTTTTTATGAGCGATATGAGCAAGTGTCCATACATAGCGTGCGGAGTCCGGCTGGATCTTGGGGAGCCACATTTACGTGTATAGTCTATACGATGGAAACATTACGTTTGGCAGAGACGATTTGCATATCTCGCCAGCCTTTCACATCCGCCACTGCTCAAAAGGTTGGGTGAGGGGGGGGGGGGCAGAAGACTGGCTCCAGCCTCATCAATCCTGTGCTCAAAGCAGGGCTTCAAGCCGAGCGAATGCCACTTATCAAGGGCAGCACAACCCGGCAGAGTGCGCTTTTGACCGAAAGCTGGTTTGTGATCTCGAGATCTCATGTTTATACAGCGCCAGAACTGCCACTCTTTCGAGGCAGCTTACCTTTCGCAAGACATGGCAACATAAATGCGGTAGATCCTTCTGGAAACGACCAACCTCCGGCCGCCATACCCCGTTGACCGTGAGCCGGCTCTGACCCATGTCCCCGTCTCCATGCCGACTGCGAACGCCAGAACCTCCCGATTGCCGCGAACCAAGTTGCCATCAAAGCTCCTCCACTGTAGATTTCCCAGCCATAGGCACCTGTTCCATCGTCTCTCTACTCTCACCCTCCGCCTTCTCCGTTCCCTCTTGCATCGATTTTTGCTTGCCCTCTATTTCCGCCTTTTCCAATGTGTCCTCGAACATTTCCTTCTCAGTCCTCTCCCTTTTCCACCCATCAGCAATCAACCTCGCCACATTCATCCCCATCAGCGAACTCGTCTCCATTGTACTGATAAAACTCTCGATTCCGCTCGTATACCACACGTTCCCTTCCTCATCCAGCTGCACATCCTCAAACGTAACTCGAGGCGGTAAGTACGGATAGCTCTGCCAGACTTTCTCGTAGATCCAGCTGATATCCCTTTGGTCGTTTGTGTTTTGGGTTAGAATACTGTGAAGCCAGGAGGTGGAGATAGGGGCGGGGCTGAAGATTTTGTAAAGGTATTCGCGTTGGTGAGTGGCTGGGTTTGTGAGGGTGCGGAGGGTGGAGAAGCTGTAGAAAAGTGGAGGATTGGCGTTGGTTTTGGGGGTTGTGGTGAGGATTGTTGTTGGGACGCCACTCTCGAGGTTGAAGGCCTGTGGATCAAGTTTGCGGGGGGAGGTGAAAAGCGTGACGTGCAGATTCACGTAGGGGATTTCTGGAGGTGGGTTTACCGGAGCAGGGGTGAGACTAAGCTTTGCGAACTGAAGTGGAGCTGCGAAGACAACGGTATCGTAAACAGCGAGGTCGATACCAGTGGGATAGGAAGGCGAGAGCGCGTTGACGGCGTAGCTGCCGTCAGATTGACGGTAGACATTCGACACGCTGGTATTGAGCAGAAGCTCTGCCCCAGAAGCTTTGAGCATGCCATCAAAGATCTGCCAATTGCCTCCCTGAATCGACATAGCACCATCCGTAGCCATGCAGACCATACTCTCCAGCCCATGTATCTTGTCGATATTCTGGGCATAGTTCACCCTTGTGCTCGCCTGGATGATGTCCATCCCAAACGGGCCTTGAATGCCATTCGCCTGCAGGAATTGTTCTCCAGTTGCCGCCGTGGCCTCGGTCAAACCGACGTCGTATGCCGTTTGAGACAGGTCCTTGAATGGAAAATGTGGCTCGTCATACATCTTGAGGAAGGCCCCAACCGTTGTTTTCATCAGCTGCTGTGTCCGGATGGGAGCCAAGCCATATTTCCATAATATCTTCGCTGTAGTCCACCAGCCACTCTCGCTTCCCATGAAGACCCAGTCGGTTCCATCGTAGACACCCAACGAGTTCGGCAGATCCTCGATCTTCGGCTTAAATCCCTGAGTCGCCAGACCGAACTCTCTAGTTGCAGAGACGAGATTCTTATTCACTTGCACGAAGATGCTAGCGCCCAGTTCAACAGGCTCCGTAGGGTCACCGTACACATCGACGGTGGTCGATCTACCTCCTACATAGCCCGAGCGCTCATAGACAGTAATATTGACCCTGCTGCAAGGATGCTTGAAGCGATCAAGATAGTAGGCAGCTGATGCACCACCGGAACCAGCACCGATTATAGCCACGCTCTTGACCGGCTCAGTGGGGTCGCATTGGTATAATTCCGCATCTGGGAGCATTACAACAACCCATTCTGTGTCTAAGGGCGCGGAAGGGTAGAGCAAGAAGCAGATGGCGATAGCTAAGCAGATGAGACCGAGGACTCTTCGACGCGACCAGAAGGCAGACCGAGAGGGGGGCTGTGCTGGTTCCATGCTGGCTAATTATTGAGTATAGGCTTCGTTGTATTGATATTTCTCGAAAGCGAATATAATCTCAGCACCAGTCATCTGATGTGAAGTAGAGACTTGTTTTGACGGCATGATTGAGGGCTGAGGCCATCAGCCTGCTGTGTGAACAGGCGCTGGAGGAGGTGAGGCAAGAAGTCTACTGTACTTCCACGCTACCAGCAGGGCTTGGCATTCTGCCCTCCAGTAATTTGGGGGCAGCTATACGAAGGTCTGCACTGGAGATCGTGCACTTCGAGACGTTTGCGCCAATATTTCCGGCGACGTCTCGCCTAGAAGGTTGCCGAGCTGCTTTTGAGGATTGCCTCGACACGCCTATAACTACGTCGCCGACATCAAGGTCGCAACATTCCGCACTCATCTAGCCTGCTACTATATGCAGTGTAACAAGCCCATCAACGCTGACTCGACGTTGGATGAGGCTTTCAAGAACTGTGAATGTGGCGTCCACATTGGAACAGCAGACCCGAATGGAATTCCTGTCCGGATACCAATCACTTATATGGGCAGCTAGAGGTTCTAAAGCATACTTGCAGGAGATCCTCGACGTGTCCAGTCTCGGACACATGTCGTTGGGGAATAACTAGGGTAAGGCGCTTACGTGGAGATCGCGTGCGAGTTCTTGAAGGGCATCGTTCACTTCAACGTCGGGGTTTACCAGCGGGCGATGAAACTTCTCGAGTTGGTCCTCAAAGCGAGGGAGCAGATGTTCGTATCTGATCATGGTGATACCTTGAGTAGTAAATAGCTGGTTGCCCTGTGCGGGTAGTCTCAACCGGACGGGGCGGGGAAAGTGTGTTCAAACTTTGCAATCTGCCCTCAACATCAATAGCTCCTTGTACAGATATATACTTGCCTTGGTACAAACTTTGCGAGACACTGCAACACACAAAAAGCAACTTTCAATGGCGCAGAGAGGACCTTGGTTGCGAAGCCTCCAGGATCTCTCTCTGCATGAAGTAAGATGCCGAGAACCAGGACACTCACCTCGAAAAAACAGAGCCTGACCGGCAGAAGATTTCCCAGTTGACCGCCGCACCCTTCGGTACTGATGATTCCATCGAGATGCGTGATGCCAATGGGGCCAGCAAAGGGGAGACACAATACTGGGCTCGACTGGCAAAGGATTGGCGACAGGAATGGGAATATTGAATTCTTGGAGATTTTGGGCGCCACATGGCAGATGATAGAAGGGAGATGGGCGGTTATGACTATGGCGTATATCTGTGGCGTAGATGTACGGCGGGTGTCTGGAGTACAATCGGCGATAGGTGGTGATTGCCTTGGCTTCTGGGTCGGATTTCTAGCTTGTCGATTCTGCTCATAGCATGCTTAGGATTTGGGGGGAAGTGTGCATTCCGAGATATCGATATCAGTCTAAACACAGTGATAATCATGCGGTGGGGAGTTGCCCAGTGATTCCGAAAAGCACAACGTTTGATGCACTTGTGGTAGCAGCTCCATTGACTGACTATGAAAATGACTGCTGTCCTATGAGACTCATTACATTTGAGAGTTTCTCCCCAACTTTGCCATCTACATCCAGAGAATGAATCCACCAAGGTAGGCTCTTGATGGTCACGTTTCAGACCTTCTCAGCCGTGTGCTTGTCTTGGTACAGTTTTCTACCACGCTCGTCATTCCTCGCCGTATTGACAACCTATTCCTTCAAAACCTTCCAGCCAAATGGTGATATCTTTCTTCTAGGCGGTTGAGACAGACCTCCCAAAATTGCTTCAACGCACCACAAGGGAATATACGCTGACCTACTTGATATATAATTAGGTGTACCTGGCCCGAAACCTCTTCTCCCCGATCCGGCAGGGTTTCCATTCTCTCAAGGAGTTCACGAACTAGGCTCTCCGCTTGCTCGTCCTCTCCTACCTTCCTCAACAGGTAAAGATTTACAAGACCTAGGAAACAGTTTGTTGCATCCTCGACAGCAAGTTCGAAATGTTGATAGAATCCGTCCAGTGCCTGTCGCAAAAGACCTCTAATCTCATCGTCCTCATTACCCCATCCTTCCCGTACCGTATGTAAGGCTCCAAAATCCAGGCCCCCCCGCACAGTATCGTTTTCTCTTGCTCGACAATAAGCCACCAGAGCTGCAGATCTGCAAGTCTCTAAATCTTCACGACCCAAAATCTCAGATCGAATCTCGAGCGATTCAGTTGCGTGAGCGACTGCCGAAGTGTCGTTTCGATCCGACGACGCCAAGATTGCCGATTCGAAATGAAGGCTTGCTTGCGCCAGTCTGGTCTCTGTGGTTGGATGATGCAGCTGCACAGCTAGCAGTGTCTGGTGGTGAGTTCTCCAGGGAATCGTTGATCCACGCATGGACATCCGGGTGTAGGGCATGACGCGGGGGGAATATTGAAGTAAGGCATAATCTCTACGATAAGGCTTCATCGCTAGCATCTGCGTTTGGAAGCGTTGGATCGCCTGGGACGCGAACGCATCTTCTTTGCCGGTTTTATTCTCTTTGAGCCACTGGCGAGTGGCTAGTTGGACCAGACGATGCATGCTGTATGAATACCCCTTAAACCCGGCGTTAAACCCGTCATTATCACCGTTCTCCCCTCGTACTTGATCGTCGCCTGTGACAAAGGAGAAGGCAATCAGGAACTCTATCGAGTCCTCGAAGTCCAATGGATCAGTATTTTCGCTTTGCAAACACGATCTAGGAATACTTTGACGATCGAAATAGCTCATAATGGACAACAAATCAGCAGCGTTAGGATGTTCTGCTCTCAGGTATTCGAAGGACACAATAAAAGTCGTTGCCAGGGACTCCATTCGCCTCGTTTCTCTTCCATTGTCGCTAAATTCGTGTTTGAGAAGGCGCACTTTGTTAGAGTCACTTTTTCTGAACAGGACTAGATACTCTTTAATCGATATGCGACGTTTGGTCATATACGCAACAGCCTGGTTGATGGCAAGGGGTAAATAATCCAACTCCTCGAGGAGGTCACGACGATCTTCAGAGGTGCTGCGGCCGATCAAGTCTTTGCCCAACAGATGTTGAGCTTCCTCTAGGTTCATCGACGTGATCATTATTGGATCGTAATCTTGCGTAAGGTCCACACCAATGTCTCGGTTCCTGGATGTGTAGAGCACAGAACCATTCGCGCTCTGTGGGACGTAATCAATCAATTTTTTGCCATGGATCTCTATCTTGAAGAAAGTCTCGATGCTGTCCACGTTGTCTATGATCATAAGCCATTCGAGCTCGTAGTGATTCTCGAGCCAATCCGTGACAAGCTGCATCATATTCTTCTCCGTATCCTCACGTCCGGGTACACCACAACATGTGGCGATCTTGTTATAACTTTGCTCAAAATTGACACCAGCGCTCGTATAGACCCAGAAGATCGAGGCTTGGGGCGATTTTTCTCGAAAGCGAAATGAGTATTCGAGGGCAATTTGAGATTTCCTATCGCCAAGGTCAGCAAATCGTAGGCAAGACGTTTCAGGAGCGTCAAGAAACGTCACTCGATCTCCTCCAAATGGATGGAAAGGATCAGACGGAGGAAGAAAGCCTTATGCTTACCCGACACCCCCAAGCCCGCATAGAGCAACGCTACGCTGCCCAGAGCTGAATTTGCGATCAATGTCGTCAAGGAACTCGACCCTTCCCACAAAATTATGGTTACGAGTGAATGGGAGGATTGTTATTGGAACATCAGGTTCTCGCATGACAGTAGACTTTGCGGCAACTTCGAGACAGAGGCTTTCCAATTGCTTTACGATATCCTCGTGGTTGCGGTCATTCTTGATCCTGTTCGGGGTAAGCTTACATCCTATTCCGTAGATCCGCTGGAAAAGGTAGAGATCTTACGCCATTCGGAGCTGATGCTGCAAGCTCACCAAATCGAGAAGCCTATCTAAGCTCCTTTGAAGATCCTCGATTTCATCATCTGCATGAACGGAATTCAATGCCTTCCAAACCCTCTCCGCCTTCTTCGCCCCTTTCTGTAGATTCGAAGTGCCAGGCTTGCTGTTCTTTACCGTAAACCTCTTTAACCGCTCGTCCAAGTCCTTCGTTCGAGCTGTACATGCCTCGAGTGTTTTCTTGTCATTTTCCACCGCAGTAAGGCCCTCTTGATCAAGTGCTTTGAGAGTTTCCGCGGTAGATGACAATCGATTGGCAAGAGTTTCGAGCTTCCTGGGGACTTCCCCTGCCGCTGTGGTGCCTAAGGAGAGTTGGTCGATACGCTCGTAAAGCGTGATTGCAAAATCGATGAACTGGAAGACGTTGCCAGCAAAACTGACGGCAGCGAGGCCTTCCAAGCCGGACATTTTTGGATGGAGAGTGCTAATAGAAGTAGTAAATGGCAAGGACTGAAGGAGCGGGGTACGAGGCTGCGAATTTCGATATCCTGCATGATGCGGTCATAACGACAACGACTGAACAATATTCGCCTGGCTATCATGGAGACAGAGCAGCCAACGAAACGCTCCCGGCTGTCCTGTCTCCAAGAACATCTTGATACAAAGGCTGCTTTAGCATTCTATGGCTAACAGGCTTTGCTTGCGCCGATCGAGAGTAACCTGATACTCTGCTCTCACGCCATATCTGTCGCTACTCTTATATCATGAGCCGTCAGAACTCATGGACTGATGAACAAAAGTTCGGAATCCCTGGTCATAAGGCTAGCCTTATGAGGCCAAGACTGGTTCCCATGCCAACAGTGGGCCTTAGGGTAGTTTCATGGCGGTAAATAGAGACACTTGGCCGTCGGAAGCCATATGTATACTCGTTCGACACCAGCGAGACCAGCAGGTGGCTCTTTACTCGATATCGTCTCTTTCAGAGCCATAGCATTCTTCCGTAGCCACAGTCTGCTCACACTTCAATCTCCAGCCCGTTTGACGTGGATGGTCATTTAGAAAATTCTTTAGTTAGTCGATGTTGCTCACAGATCGAATCGACTGTATGACTGACTGTATGCTAAGCCATCTATATAGTGAACCCACTTGGAGCGACGCGGCATGGATATTATAGAATGCTGCCTTACACCTTGTGTCTGACAAAACAAGCTGGAGCGCCTTCGCCGTCCCTGTGTGCCTTAGTGCACGAAGAATAGACTGTTTGGATCCTCCCGAGCCTCTCACACCAACAACGCCAGTACAGCCCATGACATCAACGCCTATGCAAACCACGGTCTCCAACCAATCATACGATACGTCCTCTTCTGATTCGGCTGCGAATTCGAACTCCCCAATGGGATCCGTATCTGACCGGTCGATGCTGGCCACGTCGAATTCGCAACCGGTCTACTGATCTCCAACAGCTCGCCGAACCCGCTCAAGCTCATCGAGTCGAGCGGATCCCCCGTGATCTTGTCAGCCCAGAAAACGTAGATCTGCCCGGGAAGGCCCTGGACGATGTTGTTTGATGCTGCTAGAGGTCGGTAGAGCGAGACTTCGCCAGCTTGATTGGTGGCGAGGTTTGGGCTGGCGACGAGAGGTGAGCTGAGGTTGTAGGCTTCTTGGTTGTTGATTGATCCCGGGGTACCGGTGATGACTAGTTCGTGGATGGTGGGTGGAGCGTTTTGGCTAGTGCTGCTGTAATGGTAGACGTAGGTTGATCCGTTCTGCGATATGGCGGCGATGTCGGCATTGTTGTAATCGAGCAAATTTGGAAAGCTGATGCCTAGAATGCCGACGTCAATTCTGATCATGATGAATTTTCATAGTCGTGGTGCATACCATTCTTGTACGTCCCAGTGGGATCCAAGAGGGACATCCAGGCCTCTTGCAAGGTGTTGTTGCCGGAAGAAAAGAATAGCCTTAAGATTTGCGTGCTTTCATCGATAGTCGCCGCCAAGTGGGAATTTGGCCACGGATTGTGCAACTTTGCCCCATCTGCCCATGAATCGGTACTCTGAGTCCAGATCAATTCTTGCACATAGGCTGCTCCGGTTAAATTCTCCGCATGGTAATAGAGCCGAAGACCCGGTCCCGTGTTGAAGTTCTCCGAATAGACTGCTGCCATTCGATAGCCGTCCCAGTCATTCTTTGGGTCCTGAGTCACTGAAGGTAAGGAAAGGTTCGCCACGGCGGCGATGTTCATATTGTTCAAAGTGCCAGGCTCCCAGTAAGCCGTGCTGGAAAAGACTTTTCTTTTTTCTTGCAACAGTCCATTCAATCCTACATAAAAAATGCTTCCCTAGGACTTCGTTACGCCTCATGCATTGGCAAGGAGCTCAAGTTGGTCTTACCTGCTGATTCGAACCGTTGAGGTAAGTCACCGTTGCAAGCCCCGTGTTGTTGATCGCATCGGTGAAGATAGGCCTAGCCTTCTGTTAGTGGGACATTTCGTACATTGCTCTTCTTCAATCTTACAGAGCGCTTTGCCAAGACATCAAGCCATTAGAGACGGCTTCCTTGATGTTTCCAAGGGCTGATTGATAATATATCCGGAAAGCTTGTTGGCTTTCAGCACTGGAACCGCCCTGGTTATAAGATATCACATTTAGTGGTGACCCTGCCACGATATCTCCTTGCCTAGCGCATGACTATGTCAGTTACCCATTTTCTACCAGCTCTGAATGTGGACCTACTGCAAATGCAACGACGTGGTGTTATTTGCACTGTTGGTGGTATCATTTGTCGAAACATTGGATGCCGGCTGCCCAGACGAAGAAGATCTCCCACTGCGTGATTGCAGTCCGCCTACTACTCCGCTAATGACAGCTGCAGCAAGGACGATGGCCAGGATGAGGCCTAGAAGCTCCCAGAAATGCTTCTGTCGCAGACCGCATGTTCTCTTCTCTGGTGGTGGGAGGGAGCCCAGGCCCTCATCCATCTCCTTGGGGCCCATCGGAGACATCGGGCTTAGTGTCCCTTCTGGAGAAGTTGGAATACCCATAGGGATACCCACAGGGACTCCTGCGTGTGCCTGCTTCTCGTTGAGATAGAATCCATGGTGGTTGAAATCATCGTCGAGCAAGCCTTGGGATTTTGAATCGTCCAAATGCGGATCTCGATTATCTCTGGCTCTTGTGTCGAGTTGCAGACCTTCGTAGTCTACCTTGTCGATTGGCGACTAACTCGGATGTCAGTTTCCTTAAGCAGTGCATGCGCAGTAGATGAATCACCTTCTCGTTGTTGACTGACGAGCGAGTTGTCATCGTGACTAGTTGCGCCAATCATCCAGGACTCAGAGGCGACTTGGATTCGAGTACGCCAGCCACGTGAGAGTAGCATTGAGAGATGCGCCGGAGGGCTTGCTTTAAGGATCAAATTCTCCGAGACACAAAGGATACTACTACTAACGGTGCGATGCGTTGCGTCGTCACACGCTAGATCCAACAACATGAAGGGATACATGCGCACAAAGGAGGCAAAGCTCTGCGGAAATCGTCTTACCTTTCCTTGGCGTTTGGGCATCCGATGAAGATTTTAGCTGATCAGTCTTTGGTCAGGCCTGGGTAGGCTCTCTCGCCCAGGTTAAGGCGGGGCCAATTCTTGGAGGGGGGAGCCTGCCAGTAATGGATGGATGGATGCGGCCTGCCGTTCAAACGTTTCAGAATGACGCACGGTCTACCCCAATCACAGGGCGTAGAAAGTTTTGGGACACCCACATTCACGGAGTAGTCGGCGTTGAGATTGAGGAACGCCAGGCCACCCACCAAAAAGCTTGCCAATCGATCGTTTGACCACAATGTGAAGTCACACTACACGAACGCCCAGGCCTGCTTCGTAAAACGGACCGTAGGCCCATGATCGGAAAAGCAGCTGATTGGAGGAGTATCGTGCTACGGAGAATTCGTGATGCAAGTCCCCACGTTGTGATCTGATCATTTCCTTGGATTTGGCGCTGGTTCGGAGTTCGTGCTGGAAGCGGAGATCTAATGGTGGTGCGCCATGTTTCGCCATTTGAGCGCCTGTCGCTTATAGGTATGTTAGACCATGCTAGCTTCCCCCAGAATGCTCTCGACCACACAATTCACTTGCCGCGTTTTGAGTCAGAACCCATTAAGGATCAAGCAGCACAAGTAAAATTCAACCGAGGGCTTGCGATAGGTCATTGGTCAGGCACAGTCAAACGAGATTTTGAAACACACAATTGGTGGCCCTCAAGCAGATTTTGTGTTCGACGTTGCATTGGGGAAGCTTGGCAAAATTGGAGCAGAATTTGTAGTGTGGCTAGAATGCTTCCAGCATACCTCACAGCGGTGCTCACACCATCTTCGCATCTAAAAATTTCAAGTTCGTGACTTTGAGCGCCCGGCCATAGCAGATAGTGCGCGATCGATGCACGTCTAGGTCTATCAGAAATCCTCGAATGAATCCCCCAGAGATCTTTGAAACGTTGGGATCGACCCGAGTCGTACGTATATACTGCAACTCCGCGAATAGCCGTCAAGCTTGATGCTGGGAGGAGAGAAAATTATACTACGAAAAGTAGAAAGCTGTAACACATGTTTTCGTTTACCAACTTGCTACTGTCAAATTCAGGTTCGTGTCATGAAAGCCGCTGTCCCCATGTTTTCCTTTCGGAATCCGTGGACTTGGACATATGTCTTTTTTCTTCGTTCGAAAACACGGTACATGGCGGAATCAATTGTCACAAAAACAACAAAAAGAAATCCCAACTTCGCAGGATATATATTCAGCATGAGACATCCAGTGTTTGGCAAGTTGCTCGACGGGTAGTACGCTATTGTTGGTTGTCATTCGCATTCCCATTCATTCCCACCAAACCGTATTGGACAGCGGTGAAACTTCCCCAACACATCAGTCGTCTTACTCGCATCATTTGAAGGTCTACTCTTACGCTGCAGTAGCTGTGGATACATCCACCAGTCTTGCATTTGTTACCAATTTCAGGCTGACCGAGAAGCCAGCGGTGAATATTCCGATAATAATCATGCGTACTAATACAGAAGTAATAACATGCAGGACAATGATGGAAGCGACAGGTAGTAAAGAAGACAGGGCAGTTCCCACAAGTGCTGTTACGCGAGAAACGCCAGCCTGGGAACAGGAGACTGTGTTGGCTGACCAGTCTGCATAGTCGGGCTGCTATTCATCTTTAGCTGAAGACAATCTATAGGGAAAGGAGTCTAATACTCTTCAAAACCTACCCACGACTCGATGATACGCATGCACCATAGTGTCTGCTAACCACCGGGTGAACGGATCATCGGCGTGCCGTGCACGCAAAGCAATCAGATCTGCCGAGTCAGGCTTGGACCATATGTCGGTATCCCGGCCAATTGGGTTTTCCTGATCCTACGGAAGTGTTGTGGACACGCAAGCAATACCTGGAGCATGTTTGATGAGAGAGAAAGACCAGGCTGGTTACGATGAGCCCCGTATTCAATGCCACCATAGGTTACGGCAAGGAAAAGTCGTCCTTACCATTGCGTTCGATCATCAACCTCTTGGACGACAAATGCAGCGTGTGGTGATCAACTTCAACGAAGATAGTCCTCCGGATATCCTCCCGGGACACTTGCAATTGTAAACCTTCGACGGACCGAACTGACAGCTTTGCAGAGCTTATGCGCCCAGGCCACAGAGTCAAACATAGACTCGGAAGGGAATGAGGTGAACCAGCCCCGTGGATCGTCGAAAATGCTTACAAATTTGACATAGTCCAGCCAAGTTATGAACATCGAAGATGCAAATTCCGATTTTATAAATGCCGTCGCCCACATAGACACTGAATGTGATTTTGGGAATCGGGCTTCATTGGCGCTTGTTGAAGACTTGGGTCAAGCCGGAAAGATTTCCCATATTGATGACGCACCAAGCATCTGGCAATGCCGTCAAAGCCTTCTCTTCTTGGTGGCACTGTGTCCCCCCTGTGAAATTGGAGTCCCCGTGGCACCAAAGTGAACCAAAGATCTGTTCATGTTCTGCCCACCGATCATTGGAATGTCCTCATCGGCGCCAAAACCATCAAAGCTATGGAGCTCGTCAGTCTTAACCAGTCCGCCTTCTTGCTGCCCATGATAGCACACAAGAGGCAGATTGCTTATCAGTCCCCCTCCCGCCTTCCAGCTCAACTGCTTCTAAATGGACAAAACTAAGGATAGAGTGGGGTAGAGGAGGGGGTCACGATCGCTTTACTTGAGGAACAGCAGCGACAAGACAAGGGGCAGCGCTCGAAGCTCAAAGACAGGCCTTCCAGCAGGGACAACAGCAGAGCAATGGCCAATCAAGTCCAGCACAGAGCCAGCAGCCAAAGAAACCCTGACCGCTGCCAAAATTCTCGCCATCAACCCTCGTTATTACCACTTTCTCAGCCGCAAGTGCCGCGAACGTTACACCACCCGAGAGTGACTGCTGTAAGACCAATAGATGCTTTATCTCAAAGGATGATTGATGTTCAGAAGACGGATGATTTGATTCTTGCGCTAAAGAGGGAACGGGCGTTTGTTGGGACCGTATGATGCCCGGTATCAAGGAGGTTTATGATAACCTGGTTACAAAAACAGGCAGACAAAAGGGGGTTAGCAAGAATTCATTCACCCAAATGTTGGTATCTTCATACCTAGACAATTACACTATATTTTCAGACTGCAGAATTGCACAATCAAGTCTCCATGCTCCCCAGTTGCTCTTTGGCTCCCTTTCGGGACATCCTCGTGTTGAAGCTGATGTAGGCAAGGGGGAATCGATCTGGACTAAACGACCAAGGCTTGAGTAACGACGTAAACAAAAATTTCTCCAAGGCAAAAATACTCCGGCACCCAGGACAAGGGTAACAAGATTCACTACACAAGTAACACAAGTGCGCGTCTACCTCAAACCATACCCAAGTCAGTCTCTCCATCACGGAAACCCCGATAGTACACCCGTCCACGATGTCACAGAAGAGGAAAGAGATGGGCTCAAAGCCAGGTAAAGAGTAGAGTTCGAAAACAAGCTTTCGGGGTGTCGTTACCACTTGTGGGTATGCTGACGAGTTTTTCCACTGAGGCAGACTACGAGCAATAAAGCGCCAGGCTTCTTTTGAGCCCTTCGGAAGAAGACAGCCAGTAACGCGTCGGTGACGGACATCGTCATGGCTGTCGAAACGCGATTGAATTTGAAAGGAGAGGATGTTTTGAGGGCCGTGACAACCGGAGTGAGGTATTTATTAATTGTGAGGTCCGCCCAAGATTGCCGTTGTTGATGCTGAAAATTTTCATAAGCCAAGGTGAAAGTACCAAGAAGAATAGAACACCTGGAATGGTTTGCTAGTTAAACGCGTGCAATAGGGTGGGTGGGGGCGACGCCATCCTAGCGGGCACACCAGTCGAAGGATATTGTGTCAGGCGAAGTTGTGAAACACGTTGCATGGGGGGACCTTGGCAAACACTGAAACGGGACTTGAAATGTGGCTGGATTATTTTGGAGTATTTCAAAGCATACATGTGCTGGCTTCGACTCGTTTCTCGCACCATCTTCGCGTTTGATAATCCCAGCTGTGGGTGTGGAATACACAGCGTCAGGATATCTAGCATAGAGAGTGATCGATGCACGTTCATGGGTACCGGAGATCAGAAAGCAAACCCTGGCGATATCTCTAAAACGTCCGGCGCACTCAAGTCTCAGTCAGAGCTCTTGGAGTGTCCCTTTGATCGAGTACCGGAAAATCCAGCAGCGTCCACAAGCCAGGGTCGTGGTTATGTTTGCTTCGGAAGGTCATGCCTTTGACCAGGGTTCCTCCCGAGCTAGAATGCTTCAGAACGCCTGAAGAAGCCAACGCAGCATAGGGGCCGCATGGCCCGAGAGACGCCTCTCCGGCACTTAGCTGTTTCACCAGTCCGCAAATAAACGAAGATCAACGATCTCCCCTATCACTCTCATCTCTAGGCAGTCTCATACCCATTAGGCTCATCATGTTGCCACCAGGTCCAGACACACCTCCTTGGCTTTTGAAACTCTCCAGCAGGTTTTTGGCGAGATTGAAATCGATTTCCGCATCTCCATCCTCTGAAGCGTCTTCCGCGTCCGCTAGTGGTTTTGATTGTTCGCTGCTCGGGCCCCTTACAATTGCGTTGCGTTGCGACTCTGGTTTTTCAGTCCCCTGCTTGAGGTTTAGATTCAGGGCTCCAGCTTCTCGAAGTTCATTTTCGATATCCTGCATGGCTTGATGGACCCCCTTTTCGTCCTCTTCGCCGGACGAGATATCCTTGATCTTCTCGTCTTCTTCAAGGCCGACCCTAGGGGTAGCAACGGAGCCAACAGTAATCGGGGGCATGCCCATCATCTCCCTCATCATGCTGGCGAATGCGTCTTCATCGAAGCTGACGTCTTTGTCCTCGCCTTCGTCATCGCTGTCATCACTGATCGCGCTGTCTTCCTCCTCATCGTCGTTGTCCATGTCGTCCAAGATCTCGGCCCCGTCAGCGCCAGCAGCATCATCATTCAAAAAATCTTCAAATCTCGCAACGATCTTCTGAAGGTTCTCCTGGGCACCCTTGTCCCCAAAACCTTCATTGCTCTTTCGTGCGCCCGGCTTCCTAATCCCCCCAAGTTCCTTCTCGAAATCCTCGAAGTTGATATCAAGCCAAGCCTCGTCGTCTTCCCGCGTTTCCCACTTATTAATTTCCGCGTCAGTCGGCAATTCGTCTTGTCCAGTGCGAATGTCCTCGAGAAGCATTGCGATCTCCCGAACAACTTTCTTATCCTGATTTTGAGTGTCGCACATTAACATCTCAAATCCGCAGGTGACTTTCATACCCATCTCTGCGCTGCCTTGAGATATGGCTTCTCTTTTTGCGGAGGCATAGTCCGCCCATTGCGCAGGTGCTGCAAACTGCTGACTCTTGAGCTGAGCATAACCAACTTTCGTAAACTTCACAGACATGGTCACCGGATCTGTCGGTGGGAAATAGAGCTCATTGTGGTTGGAGGCCTGCAGTGGGCGTAGAGCTATGGGATCGCGCAAATAGAATGCTTCGACTGCGGCGCTTATATAGGCTACATCCTCGTGGAGAACGTAGGCAAGTTTCCTGGGAACTGTAAGCAGTGCGTGATGAAGACTGTCCAAGATCTGCTTGGGATATTTTTCAAGACGGTAGAATGCTTCAGCTTCGACCGCTGGGAGATTCAGTAGCTGAGTTGGTTGATTCTCTATAATCTTCAACGCCTCAATCAGGGTCAGCGGCCCTGGCTTCGCTTCGATGACTTGTTCACCCGGCCTCTCCAAGGGGACGAGTAACAGCTTTCCATTGTTCAGCCATACCCGGAAGTCTGCAATCTCTGGGTTCAGCCAGCGGGGCAGGACATTAGCTGCCTCAATGAGTAGGAACTGCCCATCGGTGTCTGCAGTCCTGATCCAAATTTTAGGAAATTGCTTGCTCAGCTCCCGTAGAATATAGAGAATGAGCCACTCGTCTTCGACAGAATCTCCATAGTTAGTGCGTCCTTGTAAGAAGCTTCCACCGTCCTCGCGTTCGAGCGACAGCCTAAAACCTTCACGCTGCCATATAAAGTCTTTCAGTAGTCGGTTGGTCAACTCGGTTCCAGCACTCTGTACTTGACGAAGTTTTTCTCGTCTCTCCAGATCTGTGAGTGTTGAATCGAGAAGATAGATGGTGTACTCTATACAATCTTCGGGTAGAGATTTTGGGAAACCATCAAAACCTTCTTCAAACCACTTGAAGCCATCTCTTGGGGCATCCATGTCTCATCAAAGATGCTGCGATGGTGGAATTCGTAAATGATGATCATGAAAACATATACGCGCCAAGAGACCACGACCGATAAGGCTGAAGGTGGAATAGCGGGGAAGGTTTGCCGACTCCGATTGTTTACAACCTTATTTTCTCCACCACATCACCTTCAAAGCAGCATCAATTTTGCGTATCTCAAAAACATGACTTACTCTGTATGACGTGCGACCTTGGAGACTCCACATCTCGTATGCATCGAGCTAATCCATCATGGCGTACATCGAGACACCGCGCACGGACGCCGGCAACGCGACATTCATGACCGATGGCCACGACTTCGAGAATTTCTCCATAGAACCCTCACTACTATCTCCTCTCAAGCGAAAAGATGATATTGTTTCCCAAGTGCAAAACGGGCGCGGCATCAGTCTGAAGACTCCACGAGCACGCGTACCGTTAGCAGATCGACGGAACCTTCCAGCACGAACAGAATTCACACCCCTCCTACAAAGCGTTGCAAAGAAGACATTGGAACGCAAAGGCAAGATAGGCGGGGCACCTGAGACGCCGGCATTCTTGAAGGCTAGTTATCAGGGCGGCGACAGTCCTGGATTACCTGGAGGAGATGTGTCAGGCGTGTACGGAAGTGACCTGGGAAGCTCAGTGCTTGGGGATGGAGAAGGGACGCCAATGCCCCAGGTCACCAGCAGTAGTGCGCAGTCGACGCCGCTCGCAGTCTTACCCAAGAGAGATGCTGCTGGGGTCTTGACAGACCAAGGGAACATGATGACCTTACGAGAGCAGGAAAACGTTAGTGCGATTACATGCTCCAGCTACTACAAAATGCTAACGTTCTCTCCAGATCATCAACAAAATCGAGAAGGAGAATTTTGGTCTCAAGTTGAAGATACACTTCCTCGAAGAATCGCTGCGAAAGTCAGGGCCTGGATTCAACGAGGCCGCGCTAAAGGAGAATACCGATCTCAAGGTTGACAAGGTCACCATACAGAAAGAGCTTAGACAATGTAGGAAGAATCTCAGCACGGTAGAGCGTGAAGTTGAGGCATCCAAACGTCATGTCGAGGACCTTCAAGAGAAGGCGAAGCGAAAGCATGCCGATGAAACCCTGCGTCGGCAGCTGGAGGACTTGAAGAGTCATTTGGCAGCCAAAGAATCTGACCTCGAAGACCTCAGGCAACGATTAGAATGTGCTGAAGGCGATGGCCAAGAGTTGGAAAAGCTAAAGGGAGACATTGAGGACCTCGAGGCCGACCTGCGAGAAAAGGATCGTATCATAGGAGAGCGAGACGACCAGATCGACAAGTTGAAGGAGCAGTCTAGGAAAGACTCAGACGAGTTCAATGAGGTGTGCGCTGAGCTGGAAGCAAGCAAAACGCGCATCGAAGATTTGGAACAAGAACAGGAAGACTCTGCTCAACAAGCGGCGAAGTTGAGGGAGGCACATAACGAGCTCCAAGATGCGCTGGAAGCCAAGCAGAAAGCCGAAGAGGATCTTGATGAGGTAAGAATGCCCTGGTGTTGCCTGGAAGCTCCAATGCTAAAAGTTAACGATAGCTACGCGATGAAATGTCCAACAAGTCAATCAATACCAAAGGACTTAGCCGACAACTCGAAGACAAGGCAAACAAGCTTCAGGATGACCTCACCTCGATTCGGGAGAAACACGGTCAATTACAGGAAAATTTTGACGACAAGTCAAGAGAGGCCAGCAAGCTACAAGAAAAGCTTCGAGACGCCAACCAAGACGCAGACGTCCGAGAACAACGCCTCAAGGACCAGAATGAGTTGCTTCGTCATGAACATGAATCCATTGTCCGAAAATGCGAATCTCTGACCACCAAAGTCGAACAGGCAATCAAGGAACTACAAAGCAGATCAGAAGAAAAAGATTTGCTACATTCACGCCATGATACTCTGGCGGCTGAATCCCAAACCTTGCAAAAAGATTTGACCAGAGCTCAAGCAAACGTCCAAGAACTCGAGGAGAGTCTGGAGGATGAGAGACATCATGCGCAGGATAACGATCGTCAGCTGCGGTCTGAAGCAAAACGGGGGATCGATAGGCTTTCGGAAGAGGTTGACAGCCTCCATCGTGAGCTAGAAGATAAGGAAAGCCAGTTTGCAACAGATCAAGATCATTGGGAAAGCCAGCGACGAGGTCTCCAATCACAGAAGGAAAGAGCTGAAGAGCAAGCGGCAGGTTTGCAACGAACAATCAGCAAACTACAGGAGACTGAGGGGACACTGTCCGGTCGTGAAATGAAGCTCAAGGAAGCCCTCGAAAGCGAGAAGCAGCGACACAAAAGCGAGGAGGCAGTTCTTGAGCGTCAAATCCAGGGATTGAACGCCGATGTTGACGAAAAACGGCAGGCCTTAGATGACCTTCGATCCGAACTCTCGCAGGCCAGAGAGGATCTCCGCGTTAGCCAAAGAGAGCAAACGATTTTCGAAGAGAAAGTGCAGGCTCTTGAAGATGAAGTCGAGGTGCTCCAAAATGGTCTTGACGACGAAGCGGACAAGGCCAGAGAAGAGATGCAGGCGGCCGAGCAACAGGCGGATGACTTGAGATCCTCCTTGACTGCTGCGAAGAAAGAGTTAGCCCAGGTCCAGGACAGCAACCTCGAGAGATCTGGAGAAGCGGTGAACGGACTCAACACCAGATTACACGCCGCTGATGAGCAGCTTCGGCAAGTTAAAGCCGAAAAGCAGTCATTACAAGACAAATTGGCGACCGTCAATCTTGATCTGCGTGCACTTCAATCCTCATCTGCTAAAATTGAGGCTGAACGCGATGAGGTCCGAAGCCAGCTCGAACAGATGAGAAGCCAAGTCGATGAGACGTTCAAGTTCGACCAGGAGAAACTTGACCTCCGAACCTCAAAATTAAAGCTTGAGAATGACATCGGTCGTCTTCGTGAGGAGAAGAAGGGTCTCATTGAGAAGAACGCCGCCGTCGAGCGCGAATTGGAGTCAGAGATTCAACGAGCAACGTCCGATGAGGGCCGCCTAAACGAGGATATCCTTGACTTACAACGGAAACTTAACGCAGCCTCTGGCGGTCGAGATCGAGAGCTTGCCGCTGCGAGGCAGAAGATTCAGCGTCTCGAGGTCCGCGTTGACGAGCTTGAGGGCCTCACCGGCAAGTTGGAAGACAACGGGGAGACTGTAGCCGAGCTCAGCATGACCCAGAAAGACCTGGCAAAGGCACGGAAGAAGGAAGCAGAATACATTCAGCGCGAGGCGGCCCAAAAGGAGGGTCTCCGAGATCTGAGGCAGAAAGTCACACGATTAGAACGGCAATCTCACGAACAGGAAATTGCTCGCTTGACGTTGGATTCGCCAAAGTCTTCTGTGGGAGATTCGGCTCGCAAGAATGAGCTATTCCAGGTTCAACATCAGCTCGCCGATGCCTCTCAACAGCTTAGAGAAGCCCGAGCAAAGTCAAAGGACGACCTAAAGACACTGCAGCGCAAACTTACCGAATCAGAATGCCAGGTCCAGTCAAACCTTGATGCCTACGAGCAGCAACGTGAACAGCTAGAAGCCGAGCTTTCCGCCATCCGCAATGAGCAAGACACCATCCTCGCCAAAAACACCACAGCAACTCAGACTATCTCACGCCTACGTACTCGCATCTCATCTTTGGAGAACGATGTCCGTGGTCATCGCCAAGCCACGACAGCAGATGTAACTTTAGCGGAAGAGCGGAAAGACTTACACGAGATGCTTAAGGACGCCAAGCTCACTGCCGAAGATCTACAAGTGCAGATCAACTCGAGGGAGAGCCAGCTTGAATCGGTCTCCATCCGTGAGAAGGATCTTCGAGCTCAGCTCAAGCGTGTCCGAGAAGAACGTACGTTACAGACGCATAGATCAACGGCTCTCTCTACAGAGTTAGAGAACGTGCAATCTCGCTATGAACGCGCTGTCGACAATCTTACCCGCCAGCAGCACAACTGGGACGAAGAGCGTAAGGCGATGGCGTCCCGTGTGCGTTTCGCCAATACCTCCATCAGCAGCCTGCATGCCAACGACAATCAGAATCTCGAGATGATACAAAAGAAGCACATGGGCGAGTTAAAGGGATTAGCTAAACAGATTCAATGGCTGCGCGCCAAATGCACAAGGGAGGAAGGCTTCAGGAGTGGTCTAGTATACGAAAAGAAGTTCTTGCTGATGCAAATCGAGATGTTTGAGGCTTGGTAAGCTTACTTCTCCCTTCTCCCATCATTTAGAACTATGCTAATACGTTGTCAAGTAACCAAATCGATCTCAATCTCCTCTCCGACATGGGCATCACGCCTAGCCCATCGTCCCCTCGTCTGCGCCTTGGAGACAGCCTCCGGGGCAAACTAGGCAAGACGGAGCAGACGAGGCTTTCATTACGAGCTGTAGGTTTCATGGTCATGGCCAGCTGTCGAATGACGCGAATGAGTAAGGAGTGGGCAGGGCAGAGGAGGGTGAGGGACGCATTGAGCAAGAAGTTGGAGGGTATGATGGAAGCAAAGAAGGGGAAAATAGTCAGTAGTGGGAGATGATTCGTTCTTCCTTTGCATTAAAGGGCGTTGGATACATTGATTCGTGCTTGTTTGAGGTAAACTATGCATAGCGGTTACGAAAATAATGCACAATTACCTTGGCAGTCACATCTACACAATATATCTTGTTTCTATGCTCTGCTTTGATCATGTATAGCAGATCCGCTCCTCGTGCTGGCATCGTTGTGGGCTTTGGTACATCTCGAACCCCATCATACGCTTGGCCATTGACCTCTCGCTCCTAGAACCGCAGAACAGCGGATCCTTGGATCTGGCCAATGACAAAGTCTAACAGAGCTCGAATTCCACTTCTCAGAGCATGTATGCCATGAGAATGGATGAGACCGGACTGCCCATTTCTCAGACTTCTAGCCACCTTGGCGACGTGCTGGCACACAGGCAATGCTCAATCAGAAATTTGCCATGTTTTATACTTGATAAAGCAGAACATCATCGTTAGAGCTGCAGGGACTTTTTGAAAATGAAACTATGATACCATCAATTTACTCAATCCGCAGCATTACAGTTCTTCACGCGGCAGCTCGGAAACGAAATTGGAGAATGGAGATCCGGTATCGAGGCATGTAGAATAACGTGACAGGTCTGTGCAGAATTCCTATAATGGAGGCTGGCATTCAGGAGACCTGTGGCAGCTGAGCAGAACTCTAAGACAAGCAGGGCGCGAAGGTAACAAGAAGACAGGGAAAGGAGTCGTAGAATAGGGTAGTCTTACATTCTCTCGCCTCTCCGCACTCAGAGTTGCTCTCAACAGTTTTAACATTGTCACACTTTTGACATCCAAATTCTGCATTCGACAGCCAGGCTTTACACATCGCAGGGTAAGTTTATCATGTGTTAACAGCTTTCAGACGAATGAAGTGGTGTTCCCAGACACTATTCAAGCATGAGTCTCTGGACTGAGAAAAGTGTAGATCACGTTTATCCACAGCTTGCCGTCACTCGATTTACTATGAATTGAAATATGGGGCGAAATGTGATGTTTAGGAACCCAAGGGAGATAGTGAAGAGCGAACAAAAGCGTATCATTAAAGCCCATGCTAACACAGACAGCGAGGTAAGACACGGAGAGGAACAGCTTCAGTTATTTGAGAAAGTTGTGGAGCACTAGAGGTGTGATGGGAGGATGAGGACCGTATTTCGAAGGCACGATTTCGATCCAACAGATATCTAAAGCGGTGATTCGTCAATTTTCTCCTTGATCGCATGCCACTTTCCTCTATTCCACCGGCCCGGCTGTTCATTGTGGGCGAATGCTTTCCTCAACAGTCCACACTTCGACAGGCTAGATACTGGTCTCTTTCATTAGACAGCTCCGCAAAGCCCGAAAAGAACACACCAATCTAACTCTCTCGGACCCCCTCTTCAACGCGAAAACTCCCGCTCCGCCCCCTCATGAGTCGCCAAGTATCCTAAGAATTTCTCCTTCTTGGCATACCCATCGATATCCCGCGAATCGCCCCAAAGGCCTTCGTTCCAATGCCTTAAGAGCTTGTTGGGGGAAGATGGCAGACGAATGCAGGTATTGGTCGTTGTTTGGTGGTCCAGCTCAGGCGGTAGTGGCTTAGGAAGAGGCACAAGCGTTGTGTAGTGTCTACCATTATGAGTGACTGGCAGTTGTATAGACGTCGTTTTGCTGAAGTGTGCAAGGACATAGTCGACTCGGGCTGATATCGAAGTTTGGGCGATGACATCCCTGACAGCTTCAAGACCGCCGAAGACGAAAATTTCGAGGTAGGAGCCACCGAAAAGATCGAAGTGGCCATAGAGCGGTATGCGTAAACATAGACATGATCACAAGGTCGCCCCTGGAGATGTTTTGCTAGACGGTTTTCTGAAACAATTGGTAGAGGCAGCATAGTCGGTATACAGTCTCTTTGTTGTACTGAGCCAGAAGCCATCTTTCGAGTTGTTCAGTCGGTGCCTAGAAGGAGGTGGCATAAGGGGGATCTGGATCGTAGGCCAGAGCAGAGCGGTATTTGTCCAAGAAATGAAAGAGCATGATGACGTATGGATAGATGTTCTTCGCGATTTTCGTGATAGAGCAAGCTTGGTCCGGAAAAACACCAGCGTTTTTGAAAGTACGTATGAGATCTAGGAGATGGTTCAGAAGCGCCAGACTTCGCGCGCTATCGCAGCGGCTAGCCAATTGCTAGAGATCGGCGACGTGCAATGTATTTTGCGGGAGGCGAGGATAGTAGACGTGGCGATAGTACAGCCTTGACGCCGTGCGATACTTGTCGTTCATGAGGGCAGAAAAGACGATAGGACGCTCGTTCGCTGTCACAAAGTTGTGGAAAGCCCGGCAAAGGCTTCGAAAGAGAGGTAGCTGCCCAGCTGCCATCTCGCCTAGGAGAGTTATCAGGATCTCGGTGGGGAGCTTCATGAAGTCAAAGCGTCTGCTCCGACTGGTGGGTAGATATCTTGCATCCCTGTTGTGCTCCACATGGAAAGGGAAAAGATTCCACTGACTTGGGCAATGTGGCGGTATAGAAACTCTGTGGTTGGCCCAGGCCATCCCGCACTATCTCAGTTGACATCTTATTTGCGGTTACTATTCAATCCCGGTATCTATGATGAGAGTAGCTGGTAGTCCGAGATGTCTTGTCATCTGTGCGTAAAGCTGTACTGTGGTTCGTATGAACACACCCCAGAAAACCGGACTAGGCAAAGACTTGTAATTACGCCAAGTCTTTTTTATCACTCTAGGGACTGCTACCTAGAAAGAAGAACTCTCCTGGGCAAATAGCTCTCTTCAAATACAAGAGTCAAAACTCGTCGTTACCGTGTATTGCTTCACAGGGGTTCAAGTGCCTAGATACTGACTAGTTTTACACCAAGGACAGACTTTTCCAACAATGTTAGCATCTGGATACACAGTGTTTTGCGAGGCTACCCACCTACAGAGCTAGCTTTCCATCACCTTTCCACCAAGCCAGCCAGGCTCCTTTAGATCATTTACACCAATTAAGAAGACATTCAAACGCCGCTCGTCCCCAAGGAGTCTTGACACAAATACCAGAGCTTTAAGGCTTTCGCCTGGATGTCGCGTTATTGAACCCGGAATGGGGTGCGTTCTGTCCGCACAGCAAGTTCTGCAACTTACCAACGTATAGCTGTTCCCCATTATGAGACAACAGAGTGTCTGAGAGATTTGTCCTGGTTGGTTACGGAGGAAAGGTCGAACGGGGAGTGGAACTTGGAGAAAGGTGAAGCGAGATGAAAGATGCCAGGCATATAGAGTGGCATAGATATAGAGACAATGTATCCTGGGAAACAGTACCATGAACCCATCGCAACTTTGAGAAGGGCGCCGTCGATTCTTTCTCATTTCCTGCAAGCTGCCTTCTCTCTTCCTGCCACCCCAAATATCTCCTCTCACGCACGGTCTCTTTCCAAATCAAAGAGTTCTTCGATGGACCAAAGTCTGAATTCCTCGACTCGACGAATTTGAATAGCGCTTAATGACCCAAGCAGTCCAGCTCTTGAGCCCCTTTCTTCAAAGCACGAGCTTCGGCTCCTCCCCATTGTACGACTTCAAGTGCTCCAAGAAGTCCCGGCTCATGTCCAGCTCTTCAGCGGGCTCGACCCTTGGAAACCCAAAAACCTCAATGCTGCGTATCTGTAATATAGGGCTGTAAACGGACAACAGGTTGCAAATTCTGTGACTCGTGGCCGTATTCAACCTGTGACCCAAAACCGACGAAGGAATGGCCACAGCGAGTGGTTCTCCATTAACTCTGGGGATAGGGGCCGTCGTCGTTTTGGAGAAATGGGAGGCAATATACTTGAGCCGATCGTACCACCGCGGATGCGTCACGATGTCTTTGACCATCTCAAGGCCTCCGAAAGTGAAATTGTCGATAGTTCCTGGTGGAGTTCTCGCGACTGGTAGCGGGTACCATATGGTGAGCTCTCTACCAATGAACTTCTGATCGATGATCTGGTTCAGGTGTTTGTACATGAGACAGATCGGTTGGACTGTTTTCTCGTTGTAAATTGCTTTCAGAATCTCTCCCGCCATTTTAGCGCTGTAGGATCGAACTGATGGTGCGTATGAAGGACTGCTTGTGTAGTTGGCGGGGGCTTTGCGATAAATCTCGAAGATATGCCCTAACGAGAGAAGGTATGGCCCGGTTTCCGTTCCTATTCTGGTTGTTGTGGCGAGACCATGTCCTACACGATGTTCTTCGATTGACGTTGCCAGTATATCGGCGATGTAGCAGCGGCATGCGATGTGTTTGAGGCATCCAAAGCGCAGAGGTCCAGGAGTAAAGACAACGTCGTAGAACTTAGATGCAGTGTGATAGAAATGATTGTTGAGAATGCTGCCGATGACGGCAGATTCGTTTGCGATGAAGAGCGCATCAAATGCCATGCAGCAGCATCGGAAGTTGGTGAGCTCTGCCGCTGTCGTTGTGCATAGAACTCTCACTAGGATCTCTACAGAGAAACTGCAGAAGCGTGGCCTGGCATCGAGCATTAGTACCGATTTCTGCCCTCTTAGGACTGCTATGTACGGAATGAGTCCACTGACCTGAGTGTTGTGGCTGTCCGCAAGCTCACATGCTGGCTTAGAACTTCTGGCTGTAACGGACTGTTGGACATATTTGCTATAGAAAGGTGATATTGGGGGGATAGCAAGAGAAGATGTAATCGCTGTGGTAGTGACCGGTGGCAACGGGAAACCAATATACAAGCTAAGCGGGAACCCGGCAAATGCCGCAAGCATTCCAAGACTCCACCCTCATGTCAAGAAACACTCCAATGGCTAATGAAACTCTTCCAAAGCTATTTTCAGACGCCTTCATCGCAGTCTATCGCTCGAATACGGTTTAGCTCCAAGATATAACATGCCTCCGAGCCAGGAACGCCGCAAGTTTTCTGTCTCGAGCCTGATACTACGCCAGGCTAACATATCTATAGATTTAACTATCAGTTAAGCCAGCCAATACTCGCAGAGGTAGCTTACCCTAAGAACACATCGTGAGGAGAACGCTCGTCCCTCTCGGGGTCTCGACACAAACACCGGAGCTCCGAAGATCTTGCTTGCACACCGTGCCTTCAATGCGTTCTCAAGCCGGACCCCGTGAGAAATCTTCCAATCAAAGGGCATGCTTCTCAGTCCTCCAAAGATGATCCTACCTTCCCTTCAAATCCAACTGGGAAGCCATACAACCCCAGCTTTTGGAAAAAAAGGAAAAGCCTGCCATTTACAAGACCAAAGCCCAGGGATTACCACTTGTTCCTCCTCCTCCTACGGCTGAATGACGATCCGCCATGGTCAAGCGGGCTACCCTTCCCAGACCAGATTCAAATCAAAGCCTGGAGGCTCAGACACAACCAGAAAAGGAGACCGGAGGGCGAATGGAAAAGGAGGGTAGAAGGAAGGAGGTAGAAAACTCTGGATCAAACAAGAAGATCCTCCTAGGCTTGCGATAACAAAGCGATGATATTACACTGAAAGCTACTGGTTGAAGACAACCAAGCTTGGAGACAACCAGGAGCTGACAGTCCAGAGCAACCATGCAGTCTCTATATTCTACACCCCAGAACCAACGGGATCTAAAGAACTTGGAGAACCCCTAGGGACAGACTGAGAGTATTGATGAGGAGGAGAGGGCGTCTACAATTCTATCTATATCATTTTGGAGGACATCAAATAAACGCACGGGCCGCGATAAGCGCTGATTGCTACCCGTCAGCCCCAACGGGATCATATATCATGTCTTTTGGTGTGAACAATTCCATTGTATACTCAGACCAAGTGTACAATATGACTGGGGTCATGCGCCCGGGTGAATAGAGATAGAATCCATAGCAGAACTTTTTTTGAGAAACCAGGATTGCACAGTGAAGAGTACTGGGCCAGTGGATAGCATTGCACTTCTGTTAGAATCTGACGACTGCAGACAAGTCCAGATATCTCCAAATCTACGCCCCTCGTTGAAGCACTAGCATCGTTCCAAACACTGTCAACAACCAGCTCTCCCCCTCGAAGCTCCTTCGAACTGCACTTCAATCCTCCCATGAAATTATGAGCTCCGGTTCAGCCCCTCGTAGGTGTCCAAATGCTCGTAGAAATCGAATCTAAATCTCACTCCGTTCTCTTCGATGTCCAGGACAAGACTTCTACTGATTCTGTCCGCTCCCACCGGTATTTGCAGAAGTTGGAACCTATACACAATAGGTCCCCCTCCTGGATCCTATGGCTCATCTTGGAAATTGAGTCTAAGTCTCCGCGGCCTTGATATCCAGGACAAAAATCCTACTGATTCTTTCCACGCCCTCCGGTACTAGTCCCTCTCCTGGATTGCATGGCTCGTCTTGATTTTTCCTCTGTAACCTGAAGTTATGCGCAACCTGTCGCTGTCTCTCTATCCAACGGTTGTACGCTATCACCATCCGTCTTTGACTCTGCTCTAATTCCTCTGATAGGCGCTATCCGTGCTCATCTGTTGATGATATCCGGGTTTTTACTCAGTGTAATGCACCCAGACGATGGTTGGTTGTTGGGGCGTAAGTGTGACGTGTGTGTATATGTATATATGTTGCGATCGGCTCTAAATCTGTTGGGATATACTCGAGTACCAATCATGGAATCTGGATAGGCTCGGGCGAAGTGGTCTTCAACGATACCGAGGCGACTTTCGAGGATAGGCTGCGCCAGCACGTGTTTAACAGCCTCAAACCCTCCAAAGGTCCAGGCGTCTGTGCAGTCGGAGTAGCCAGTCCCATGGATGTTGAGGCGCGTGCCCATAGTGACTTTACGACACCAATCGTCATGTCGTCGATCGAAAGGCTACTTCAGCGTGTGGTATAGAGTATAGATTCGGTATACGGTCCTTCGGCTGTATTTTTCGGTCAGAATGGAGAATCTAACTCCTTAGCTAGGTTTCCGAACAAAGTTCACGTGGCTCGGGTCGGGTAAACAGCTAGCAAGTCCACCGCTGCAGTATTCGAAGAAGTGGGCGAGCGAGCACATGTATGGCACAACTTGTCTGATAAACCTGCGGCAGAGAATCTTCATCAAAGCAGTAACCCGGAAGCTGGGAGTCGGACGAGTTCGAACAACGCGTCTTCTCGAGCTGAGCTGCAAGAACAACAGCGAGCTGCTTAGCGATGCCAGAAAGGTATCTGAGACGAGGGTTGAGTGGCCATTCTAGACTGTAGTAAAGGCGGCTGGCCGTACGATAGAGGTAGTCTTTTCTGTTGCAGGTGTATCAAACAATGGCGTACCGAACAATGTCGCATTGGTTTGCTAGGACAGTGATATTGTGAGGGCGGTCGGAATCTCGAGTGGCTTGGAATTGCCCCACATTCTCTGCAGCCATAAAGCACAAGTTCATGGTCTTGGGCTCCGGGGAGTGCCCATCAAGCCTCGCAAGAATGGCTCTAGGTACCTTGTGTCAGCAAAGGGTCATATTGGGTGGAGCGGTATCCACTCACTGCACCAACGGAGCTGTCATTACCCCATTCTTGTTCGTTTGAGCCAAGATCTCTGCCATGATGTAGAACGAGAGGCATATAGTTGTGCCATAAGATTGTAAAGTAGACGGGCGTTTCGCTAGACTCCCTCCGTCAGCAAGTCCTCTTTACGCCTGTTAAGTTGTAGCACTTCTCACCTCGAGCCCGTAAATTCTAGACCAAATGATTCACTGTTCGACCGTCTTTTTTTAAGCTCAGGGAACTTTCTTAGGAGCTGAGACGACCGTGACACAAGAGATCCCGTTAGTGCGAAAATCCTGGAAGAAAGGCAAGAAAAAACTGTCACCGCCATTCAATCTCTTCACATACGCATAGAAGGCTTGAAACCGCACACATAAGATACGAACTCTCGTGTCTACTCGTTGTGTCCACTACGAGCACCCTTGCTCTCGAGACAGCATTACAAGCTGTAGCTTCTGTGGATTCTCCCTATCGGCCACATACTCCTCTTGTTTGCCCCGCACCACAATCATCAGCGATACATTTCAATCATATCACGCGGCTAGTCATGATCACAGATTTTGTGTTTGACAAGGGCGTCGAAGAGGAGATGTACTCAAGCGGATGCTCTGACGGGGAGCAGCATACAGAAGGGAGCGAATTGTTGTTTGTAGAGGAGTAAGCTACTTTCGAGCATTTGCGTAGCTCGACACGAATGCTAAAAGTCGTCAGGTTGCTTGTGGGAAGTCATGCCAGCCCTCCTGAGGTCATTTTCATCATGTTGGCTTTCATGGCCTTCGAGGACTTCCTCCACTTTCGTCATGCGTCTCCGACCTTTTTTCAGTTCACAACTAAATGGGAAGCCGCTATCGTTGCCTTATTCATCAAATCATGCGACATGGTCACAGCGGATAGGCTTTTTCGGACACTTTTACTCCAGGGTCCACTGACGTTAGACTATCTCCTACAACTACGACGACGTTGCACAACCGCAGGCAACTTGGCAAACGCTCTGACCCATCACCATTTACCCCAGAGCAACGTAAACTCGTTTTTCGAATACACCTGGGTGCAGTCAACGATAGGAGGAGGACCTGTACCCTCTCCAAATGCTTCAAATGCCCACAAGCTCAAGCGTTGCCTACTGTTACACATCCACTTTTTCGAGTCGCTGCGTGCTGGGCTGGTGAATCAGTTTGCGGTAGAGAATCAAGAGACCCAGGTCGGAACAGACGTCTCGCGATTCTTACAGGTCGAGGCAGAGACCTTGAGCCGTTACCCACCAAAAGCCATCGATCGCGTCCTGGGCGTCCACGAATGGCTCTTCGCAGTCATCGTATCAAGATGTGGCTTGTTGTATGAGCCACTACAAACTCTCTTCAGTGCGAATGAAAAATACATCTTCGAAGTTCTCGAGGTCGATCCCTTTCTGATCGGCGGGCACCCAGCACTGGAAGATGTCTTCAAATTTGTTCCAGTCTATCGTCTTGAACGCCTCTACTCTCGTCTGCATCAAGCGACGGCAACATCAACAGAGGCATTTAGACGTTATTTGCCAATACCTCGACAAGTCTTACCTCCACTAGAGCTGGAGATTGCGAAGAGAATTTCTTCGGTCCTTCCTACGGGATATGTTCGCAATCTCGGGTTCGCATGGCCAGGAGTGAGCAGAGAGAATGCAATCGCGCAGTTGAAGGAGTACTTACGGTCTGCTGAGGATAATGACGACGGGATCCTTGTCCCAAATACCACGGCCAATCAACCGGATGCGAATGCGAGTACTGAGACCTCACTTCGCGTGCCCTCTGAATGCCCTCCAACCTCTACAACCATCACCCAAAGTCTTCATCGTATGACGCGGCCAGAAAACCCTTCTGCACTCGAAGGTATCGGTCGACGTTAAAGCCAGCTCTGCTCTTGGTCCGGCAGGTACGTTCTTTTGGGGTACAGTCACTGTTGCTGAGCAAGAATTTTTATCTTTTAACTTTTTAGCAAGAAGTTTGCTAATGTAGTTGACCCATAGGCCCATCATTCATCCGCACCATTCATAGTCAGCCGTGGGACACTCGTACTTTGCACCATAGAACGCACCACAACCAACTTTTCGCCCTTGCTCCAGCACTAGCCATGACCAATCGTTAGCGATACCAAAGCTTGGGCAAAATCTGGGCCAGCTTCCTCGACCCTTACCACATACACATTCCTTCGCTATCCAAAAAGTCATTTCTCGGATTCCGACTAGAAAGAGCACGGAATTAGGGAGATACCACACATAGATAATTCGACTTCACGGTCACTGCAGTCGAGAGTGTGATCAAGCTGTTTCCTGTAACATAGAATGTCAATCTTGCGGGTGATAGAACGCTTTACACAATGAAATGCCATGAACGTTAGACTTGAAGCATTGTTGCCTCCAGACAAACAATAAACATGATAATAGAATGTTCTTGTAACAACCAAGACCCCTTACCGTGAAAGCTGCCCAAATTCTATTGGCTGAAACTGCTCCGTGACATCCGTGAATTTGCCTAGCCAGCCCGCACTTTCCTAGGTAGAACTTACAGGAAGCTTCACTCACAAGCCAGACATCACGCTCAGCATCGCAACATTTTTCACCTCACATTCTTTTAATATATATATATATGAAAACGAGATCCTCCCCCAAAGTAGAGTACCTCGCTACTCTCGCGCCCAAGTCCCTATCCACGTCTCTTCCAGATCCAAACCTGGAACGTATTCCACCCTACCGGAGAAAAATCGATGTACGACGCCAGCTTCACCGGCTGGTGGCAGTGGGTGGTCGACATCGTTCGGTGCTGGCTGCCGTAGGCCTCTTTGGTCATCCTCTGGTCCGATCGCGGAGATTGTTGGCCCGCCAGCAGCTTTCAATTCTCCTATCAGGCTATCAATGCCACTATCCCGATCGTGATCCAAACCTGGAACGTATTCAACCCCGTCGGCGAAATTTCCATGTACGATGCCAGCTTTACCGGCTGGTGGCAGTGGGTGGTCGACTACCTACCTGGACATGCATCGCAACAGTTATCCATCGCCGAAGGCAAGAACGTGTCTCTAGCGGAGACTGCAACCTACATCCAGAACAAGCTCGCCGTCAGCATCTGCAGCACCGCCCAACAGTACTGCGTCGGACCGGCACTCCGGCAGTACCAGAACACCACCCAGTGCTACGCCTACCTCACGCAACAGACGCGCTTCGGAGAAGCATACGAGCTCTCGTTTGGGTCGCACCAGAGTGAGGCAGGCTTTCGTTGATCTGACCCGCTCATCCCCAAAAATCTTGGTGTGGATGTCAGCATCCGCCTTCAAAAGGCACGTTTGAATTGTGCCTCTACCACATCTGCTTCTCGCACTTTTGTGATTTGCCCCCTTGGTTCGGGGAAGCCTACGATTTAGGTACGTGTTCCAGGGATTCCTTCCCTGTCAAAGCGAGACTGACAGAGATCACAGGCCGTAACACCCTCCTCTGCCGCATGGTTCACCAGAACATGGTACCCTTCCGTCCAGTGCTGCACGGTCCTCACATCGGACCATCCAGAGGGGGCTTCTGTGTCGACACGCCGTCGTAGGCTGATACCAGTGGGTGTTTTCCAAGAGTGTTACAAAGTTGGTCATTTGTGAGGTTCGGAAGCGCTATGGACCGCGTCGAACAGGGTATAACGTGTGTACAGCTGAGCTCGCAAAGCAGCTATCTCTGGCCGCTTCTCTCCGATCGGCAGCCTCAAAGATGGAGGGTGATAGTGTATCACCGTTGGATAGGAGACAGCGAGAGATGGCGCAAAACCTGCGGCTACAGTAGGTAGAGACCCACAGCCTCAGATAACCTATCTGGGAATCATTACTCACAAGACCAGGCTTCGCAAATGTGACAATCCTTCTCGAAGCTTGGAGCTCCGGAAGTGGGCCGTGTTTTATCGTGCTCCAGAGACACAGGCCTTGAGGGTGAGTACGATGTTATGGCTCCTTCCTCGATGATGGCCCAGAACGATTGAACTGACAGGAAAATCCTGGGTAGGATCCGAGAACAACACACGGCCAACGCCTCTAGCTCACAGTAAGCACACCCCACGACGTCCAGGGGTCTAGAAGAAGTTGCGCAAGATGGATCAGGCGAACGTCGATCTCACTATTGCTAGCAAATTTACTCCGTAAGAGAAGGGTATTTGACTTTAACGTCAGGGGTGCCGGCATTACATACCTTACACATTCGCCCACGAAAAGCATTTGTGCTTCCCGCGTCTCTCTCCTCATCTTCCTCGGATACAGCCAGTTGGATCATGTTCTCAGGATGCTGACGGTCAATGACGCAGTACCACCAACATGGTTCACCTTCCGAGTTCCCCAAGTGGCAGGCGCGAGGATGTTGGCATGGCTAAAGCCATCTTCTTCAAGCAGACTGAGTACTGGATCTGGTGCTACCGTGGCAAGGTAACAAACCGGTGCCGGCGGCTTCCTGCTGGAAAGGCTCCGGGATTTGCCGGGGAAGAGGGTCCTTGAGAAATATTCGGGAGATATTCAGCGCTACTGGAGACGCTCCGGTGGGATGGATGTGGCGAGGGGATTTGAGGATCAGTGGGTGTATTTGGCTGATTGCGAGCTGACGTGGGAATATTGAGTGTGTATACCCGCTCTGATGAACGCCCTAGGCAAGGTTGGCTGACTGGGAGAGTTGTACAGGAGGCGAAGCCACTGGTGCTCTGGCTCTCTCGTTGAGCGCGTTGGCTACAGCAAACATGACGATCATCGCCATCGTCGTTGGTGCCTTGGCTCCTCCGTGAGCGCCGTCTCCAGCACTCAATACCCTCATGCTTCACGTCTGCCCCCTCACCTCGCACCTCATCTCGCAGACCAGCAGACACCTCCTAAGACTTTGATCACACGCAGCGACGACAATGAGAAGAACTACACCCACGACGAGCTCTTCACTCTGCAGAAGAAGTTCTTAGACAACTTCATCGCACCCAACAACACCATTCAGGTAAGGTTTTCCACTCCGGATCTCAGATCACACCTCAGATTCCCCAGTACTGACATCTTCCACAGGCAAAGTCTATCAACTCCTCTTTGCTGGCCGACAATGTTCAAGGCCGTGTCGATATCACACGCACCTTCGATGGCCGTGAGCTCAATACCGAGTACCTGTTCTATGATCCCCTACCTATAGCCGACGACGTTCGAAGCCGCGTTGACATTACGCGTACCTTCGATGGCGTGAGATGGATACAAGCGAATCCTAAGTGGAGATAATACGATTCAAGTGGGGTTCCTGAACCGTGGCTAAGAAGGTCTCTTGATACTGGGATGACGCTTTGCGCGCAATAGCCTGATCACTTTCAGAGACATGGTGTACTTTGTCCCAAGCCATGTCCCTCGGATCAACCGTGTTCTGCAGTGTAAGTCGAATAAGCTTTCAAGCCATGGATGCATTCCCTGTATCGTGGAATCCCAAAAGCCCCATGCCCACAGTCATGGACATCGAAGTTGCAAGCTTTGAACTGGAACCTGCGTAGAAGACATGTCAGCGACCTTGCAAGTGTCCCTGGACATCCAATCGAGGAACATAATCCTATCCCCGTGACGGCGAAGATCCCTTCAAGCCGGTTCAACTCTTTTGCGCAGAAAGCCAGCCTCTGCATGCTCACCAATACCTTCCAAAAATACTTCCCAAACACCCGTGGGACTACCTCTGTGGAGCAACTGTCGCTTCAATCCAAATGCCGTAAAGACCCTGTTCGTGAAACGTCTGGGATACGATGTTTCAATACCAGCTCCACCATTGAACCTGAAGAAGGCGAAAGGCCAGTGGAGCAGGCGATTGAGAATTTTCAAATCGCTTTCAGGCTTCCTCGCCCACAGTCGTGGATGTCGCGTCCGACCCATCTTCGACCACTTCTTCTAATTTTCCGCGCTGGCCGCGGTACCTTGCTTTGTTGTTTGCTGATTTTGGAAAGCTCGGGGCACAACCTGCGTGGGAAATTGGTTGGCGACTTCTGAGGTTTTGCTCGGTAGTTCTCGTTTACTTCAGACCTTCCTTCACACTGAGATCAGGAGCGTTCGTGGGAAATTACCGCTTCTCTTTCCGTCAGAAATGGGGAAATCCGTTCGAGCTCACGAAATCCGCAACGAACCCGCGCGGAAAAGGGAAGAAGAGACGAGCTCTGACGTAACTGCAAGCTAGCACTCGAAGAGATCCAGAACCTTAAGAACACCATCAGCGACGCTGAAAAGCCAATGGAGCAATCACGTTTGATTGCAAGCTTCACGTGCAATGAAGCTCCACTTCCTGATTGAATTCCCGACCATATCAAACAACGTTCTTCGATGCGGAGTTTGCTTTTGAAGAGATTTTGGTTCTCCCGGAAGAGGCTTCCAGGCACCAGCACTCTATCCTCTGGATTTTGACAAGATCGCCAGAGACGGTTTCTCTTGGAACTCCCCGTCTGGTCCAATGGTGGCGCCCAAAGCCAAGAACCGTGTACTGGGCATCTGCGCGGGCGGTGGCCTTGGTCACACAGCGGTCAATCTCTCAACGAAAGGCATCCTCTAGCATCTCCATTAGCCCACTTGCTAAACACATCTAGAGCAAGGGATGCAGTTACAGTTTCATCGAATACGACGATCCAGCTTCAGCAGAACGCGCCATGCAGAGTCTCACTGGTCGTCGCGTCCATCAAGCGGCAGGGAATCAGAGAGTCCAAACCGTCCGTCGATAAGCCTAGATTAGTTCAAATTGAAGCCGTTTAATTTATGATTGAATCGTCCGTGTAGTTAGTAGCTTAGACCATCCCAATCCAAATTGGACCATCTGTTCTAAACCTCACCTTAGTCCAGCATGATCAGGAAGCTAGTACCGAAACGGCTAGCATATCAATCCAGATTGATTAGCCGACGTGCTCCAAAATCTCAGCCCTATCACGATTCAAAATACGTCCTTCATACTCAGATATTCACAGAAAATAAGAAGCACCGCAACACCATTGTATCAGCGCCATTAGGAATCGGCTCTAATACGAACTAAATATCTCCGCCAAACATTCACTACAAAGCTAAATATATATTCGCTACAAATCTACTTAAGCGTCGGACGATTTGCCCAAACCGTTCGTCCGCACACCTCAAACCAATTCAGACGGTCCTACGATATCCTCAAACCGTCTAGACCGGAGGGTCCAGACCAATAGTCCGGGAATGGGGGGCGGACGATCGAGTGCCTTGCTAAGCGGCAAGCTCACCGGGCGTGGAGCCAATGGTAAGTCAAACATAGCGTCAATCCCTAGGATCAGAGTGTTAACGAGAGTCCGCAGGATCAGCCGCTGAGGAGGTCCTCGGCAGTTTGTGAGGACCTGAGCGTCACTGGATTGACATACATGGAACGAGGAGAGCACTGGAAGACGTTATATCGTCATGAAAGATACGAGATACATGATGTATGCGGTGCCATTGTTCCTGCCGACTTTCGTCTCTGAAAAGTAGCGCAACTGGGATGTGCGGAGACCACAATACCTTTCGCTGAGTACATGGAGGCCGCCGAGTGGACCTCCAGGAGTCGTGCAAGGTTTCCTCCGCAGCGGTTCCTCGCCTTTTGCCGGTCCGACGAGGCTTGTAATGCGGTCTCGGCCTTCACGTGGTGCAAGCATTGAAGAGATCATGAACCACAAAAAACCCCTCAACATCATCGAACCCTCTCTCAAGCACGGCATCTCCAAGGTCTCTATTCCATCCTGACAGACATCGCTAGGCTTGACGGCCATTGGAAACTAACGGATCACCGAAGAACCAGCCGTTCAAATCGACAGGAGTGTGATGCTTCAACTGCACATCCATCTCATGGTCAGAAATCTGTCCGGATATCTTTCAAGAATCGAGCTTCAGCAAACCTGGGATTCTAATGCTGTCGAAGCCATGCATCTAAATTCCGAACTTGCTGCCCATGGGCCCGCGGTCCTGCCTCAGCCCAAGCAACATGTGCAACCACGATGGGAACTTGACGTAGGATTCTTTAGCCCTTAGGCTCTTAACGGTATGGCCGTCACTGTCCTCCAGGTTACCTTTCTCACTGTGGCAGAGGCTGAACTCATGAAGGACGGGATCGAGGCAAAATGTCTGCACCAAGCCATGGCTTTGCTCGCTCTCCACGGTGATATTGTGACTAAGGGGGCGCAGGTCTGGGATCCCTGTAGTGTTGGCCAAGAATTTGGATTAGTATCTAGTCCACTGCTATACAGAATAATCATAGCCATTCGCACTTAGATAACTGCACAATTCGCCACAGTGGGACTGTGGGTTAGTGGGTCCATTATGAGGCCATAGCGTTGGTGGTTGTTTGATCAACCGTTCCATCAATATGCGATATGCGATAGTAGGGAGACAGGTGGGCATGGCGAGTACTACACCCTTTGTAGGGTGCTTCTAAACCTCAGCCAACGCTAGTGTACAGTACCGGAGAGCCATTAGGTCGACCCAGCCACATTCCCCTGATTAGTAAGAGATTGCAGTAGTAAATAGGGGATACGTCCTAGCTAATCTTACCGTCTTCCCCATACCTCGCTATCGCCACCCTCTACCCTTCTATCTCTTCCACACCTCGCTATCGTCAAATCTTCGCGTATACCATTCCCAATAGCCTCAATATCGTACCCCCGCCTCGTACGCCAGCCCCCATAGTATGGGGGCTTTGAGGATATCTAGGAGGAGCTCGCGAACGAATTTTTACTACTCAAGGAAGAAGATAGTGGCTCCAGCGATGGCGAATGGAGCAGGCCCACCTATTCTGACGCGTCCAGGTCACCGTCGCCCCCCTCGAAGCCCTCTACCTCCCCCTCCTCCCACAAACGTAAGGCGTTTACCTCTCTAGACGAGCGGAAAAAATACCCCCGGAGCTGGCGTCAACAATGCTGAAGTTACCCCCTTATACCCCAGAGACGCGTCAAGCTGCTTTCTCGTTAGGCACACCTATTTACTAAACAGTTGAAGAATTCGACGCGTACTGGCCTTTGGTAGACAATTTCTGGGTATGCAATAAGCCCATGATGGGCATAATATAGCCAGATTAGAGGTGCCTCCGAGGTGGTATCGCATGGAGGATGCGGAGTAGATACATAGCCCCCCAATGGAACCCCTCTATGGCGACAGCGAGGTGTCCCTAAACCCCTCATAGTAGACTATCAACTCCGCTATATCCTCTATATAAATTCCGCCCTGACAGGTAGCAATACAGGCGGACTACGATGGCAAGCCTAAAAGCCTTTCCCGTCTTATTCCTCGTTCTATTATAAGTAATAGCGAGATCGCTAACGACGACAACGATGTCTCGGCGACGTCGCGCTTTATTTTGATATGGCGGTTATACAAATATAGCGCAGCCACCCTGAAACTATGCTAACGGTATTTTATTTAGCATTGGCTGAGGTATAGAAGCACCCCTATTTGTATGACCACTGCACCAGCAGTTGGCTCTTCATTCGAATTGTTCTCTTTCAGAGCCATATCATTCTTCTCCCTCCCACCCACACCTATATATAGCTTCATTTTTCACTCCAGGGCATGTCGCTTAGACATGGGAGTTTTTCTAGCGCTGGGGGGCCTTTCTGGGCTATTTGCATGTCCAGAAAGGTCTTGGCTGCCCCAGTGTTGGATATGCCCAATCATCTATATACATATCCGCTTGTGCATACGTCATTTCTGTATGGCCTCACTGTTTGCGAGCACTAATCTATGCTATAGATCGAGTCCCTCATCGGCCCATCATTGTGCCTCTGTGCTTGTAACAGTGAGCCACCGGAAAGTAGTGAAAGATCACATACCTGAGGTGATATTCATCGCCCCAAAGTGAATCGCGCGCTAAGAGCACTCGTGAGGAAGACATCCTCTTCTTCGGCCTTTGTCTCAAAGCCCCAAGACTCACTACCACACCCTCTTCTAGGTCAAAGACTTGCGTATCGAATGAGCCGGTTATGGCTGCAGACCTGATCTCGTTTGTATTCAACCTTGCGCAAAGCGCGCTCAGGGAATCATGGTCTTCCATCTTCTGGGACACAGCGTCCACGATCACCACCTGTTTTCGGAAAACACGCTACCAGTGAGCGCAAAAATCCTAATGCAACGTCAAGGTCAGCTCTTGGAAGCTGTCAAAGACAGTGTGAAACTGTGGCCGCTGGTCTTTTGATCATCGAGAGCAGACACAACGTTTCAAACCAGCAGTCAGCTGTGTTGGCCGCACACTAATCGGGCTTTGCATGGTGTCCGGAGTGCTCTGTATGTTCATAAACCCCCTCTTCAACAGCCGTCAACCGTGTCTGCATACAGCAGGAAGAACTAATCTGTCCCTAGCTGCGCGTCTCAAAACACTTGAGATAGGTAATTTCAAGCAGCTGAATTCCATCCGGGTCCTAGTACTAGCCATCTACTCCTGCACACTTGCCTTCATCTTCACTGGCGGTCTTCTCATCAACGCCTGGGACTTTACTACCGAAGACCGCCGAGGGTGCCCATCCTGCAAGAAGAAAGAAGAGATGGATGCAAAAGGAGCGACCATTGCCGAACCTACCAAAGAACCAGGACCAGCTCCTGTGAAAGGGCTGTCGCGCTGCCATTGACGTCTGCCTCGTCGGCTACGTCGGTGGCAAGGTCTTCCTGTACCTCTTCCTGGTTGAGCGAGCGCACCAACTCGTGGCCACAAAGCTGCCAAGACTCCGCGACCCTATCTACCTTCTAGGAATCGCTATCGTCCTCTTCGGCTTCGGTGTCCTAGCTGTCTTTGCCTTTGAGACTAGATTGAGTTTCTTGCGCAAACCGTCTTTAGAATCAGCTTATTTACACCCCTACAAACGCGGCCACAGCCGGCAAGAAACCCAGCGTTTCTCATTTCAGAAAGTCATGCCTATACAGCTTACCCAAGCAGCTATGGCCTGGCTCCAGGTCATTGGCGGGGTTTTGGTGATCTTCAACGCTCAGTGAGTGATGTTTGCAGGTTCACTGTGGCGAAATATTACTGACTTCACTGCAGAGGATTTGTTCGGGCAAGACTCCAACCGAAAATAAAAGGTGTGTCTGTTAATCTTGCGTCAAGTCATACGACGTCTTTCAAGCCTATGACGAAGCCGTTCTCCTCCTGCGGAAAGACTCACGGCGATATGCCCCAGGCCCATCGTGAACAGGCAATATTCTCCTTCAAGCCCAAGTCTGACGGTAAAAAATGTCGCAGTTATTGTACCAACAGCGGAACCTCGCCCTTGCTTAGTCGTCGACGACACCGTTGCCTAGCCGAAAGGCTTGCTATTACCACCATCATGCGAACATCCGACGAGATCAAAGCTCACCTCCACCATGGTGTTCATGAGCTTCGTCAAGTCCAACAACTTTTAGCTACCGTTCCAGATCGCATTCAGACCGTTTTTGATGCGATCCAAGCATGCAACGCTCGTGCTGACGATATTGACCCTACCATCGATACACTCAATCACTGGAGTCACACACTGATCGAAGAGATGGGTACCCAATACCGCTGTCGGTCTATTGCTTGTCGAGCGTAAGACGCAGCAATGTAGAGCTGAAAGAGGCTCTACGAGATAAGATTGCCGCTCTCGTCAAACAGGATGCCGAACTCCAACGGCAGATCACAGCAGCTGAAGCCTCCCACTTCAAGGATGACAATCACAAAGAACGGGTCAATGCACCTGATCGCAGGATGCATCGTTACCAACAACGTCTTCGTTGACCACTGCGTAGTAAGTCACAACACTGTTGGAATGTCTGAGATCCCGCTGACAAGCACTTTCCAGTCACGGCAAACACCGCCAAGCGCACTATCAGCTCCGCAAGCAGAACACCTTCATCTTTGGCAATCTCTGCTTTGACCTCAAGACATAGCGTTAAGCGTTGAGCTTTTGGACTGGGGTTCTGAAGCATGGTTCTCTTCATTCATCGCCCGCAAAGCAGGTATTCAACCCACGAGACGACGGGCTCCCGGGCTATGCGGAGACAAGTGCCACGCCTTTGGATGCGCGCTTCACTACATCCGCCCTCAGATCATCATCAGATCCAACATGCCGAGGTCATGCGCAGAGACCTGAAAGCTCTCAACATTTTCGTGTGGCGTTGTGGCGTTGGCGTTGAAGCCTGTCGCATAGTGCAGCATCTAGCACATCCACGACACAATCATTCTTTTTGCTCCTCAAGAATAGTCAGACATTTAGCCTGGTTCAGGGTCTTCAGTACGGGCATGGATTAGGAGTGCGTCTGGTGAAGGTGCCTCAGCTGCTGAAAAAGATTGCCGGCCGCAGGCCTTATGGTATTAATGAAGCTTCGTACGGTGCCCCTCAAGGGTGTTACCAAACCAAGCTAATCTCTGACCAACCCCCGGCTACCATCGCATGGATTGCCCGTCTCTGGACCTTCTTTCGATTTTCTTTCGACAGTGTCCTGGTGTCCCCTGGAACCAGCGGCCTGACTATCTCGCTGTGACCCAGCGTGCTGATCCAGCAAGAACAGTTACTACATACAGTAAGGCTCGGGGAAGTTATTAAGCAGACCGAGTTGCTGACGATTATCAGGCTTCTCTTCGTCCAGGTGTTTCTGCCGCCGATGTCACGTCTTTCGTGTATGGGTAAGCAGACCTTGTAGTCAAATCTTTTTAGCCATGGTAGTTGACAACCTCACAACAGCTCAAGCGGAATTGCTATCCCAGAACATGAATACCATGAATCGTCGTGGAGAAGCCTTTCGGCAAGGGATTGGATAGCTCGCGAGAGCTTCAGAAGGCCTTGAGCCAGATTAGAAAGAGGAGGAGATCTTCCGTATCGATCATTACTTGGGAAAAGAGATGGTGAAGAACATCATGATTCTCCCATTCGGAAATGAGTCCTTTGATGCTGCCTTGAATCGCAATCACAATGACAACGTTCAGATATCTTTCGAAGAGCCAATCGGTACCGAAGGCGGAGGAGGCTACTTTGATGTAAGAGGCCCCACCACCTGTACTTCAACGGAGGCTGCTTCTTGAGATGTTTCTCGATCTTGGCCACTAGCTGGTGTTAGGCTCCTGCTTATGATGGCTGTGTATACGTCTAAGCCGATTCCGGGACTGACTGAATGCAGTAGAGAGTTCGGCGAGCTATCTGGGAAAGGTTAACATAAATCCAGCATACGGCGCCTTCCAGGCCTACTATGAGGCCGTTCTCCTCCCTACCGAATCGCCAGCTACAATTGCCTGGATCGGGAGCTTTCAGCTCTTCTTTCTATTTTCTATGAGTATCATGGTTAGCCCACTCATTGACAAAGGCTACTTCCGTCTCGGCTTCAACGGAGGCTGTTTTCTGATGTTGGTATCGATTTTGAGCACTAGCTGGTGCCATAAGTTCTGGGAACTGTTATTTGTTCAAGTGATCTTGACGGGCATCGGCATGGGCATGGCCTTTGGGAGTGGGATCCTGGTCCTGCAGTCCTACTTCACCAGTCACTTGGGCATCGCAGCTGGTCTTACATCTGCAGGTGGATCTGTCGGTACGTGATCTGTTCTTTTTGGCCACAATACTATTCAACTTATAATCATCAGCAGATGAAGAGGGGTCAAGACTTCAGCTGTCCACTGGGGGGGTGGGGGTGGTTATCAGGAGCAGCACGCCATTGAGTTCAAGGCCAAAGAAAATTCTGGTACATTTATAGAATAGACGATAAAACAAGAATGCAATCAAGCTCGAGAAAATTCTTCTTTATTCCATGACATTCTTTTTGAAACACAAGATATTCCAGGAGAACCTCCGGCACTCCCTCAAAGTATACCTCACATATCTTCGGAGCTCTCATGGTCAGAGATATCTGAGGCCAGTCGCAACCCACTCGAAGCTCTACTGAGATGACATGTCCTTTGCAGTGAATCAGATAAGGAGAATCCATTGCACCAACCATTTCAAGTCTTTACGTTCACATATTGATACTGGATAGACTGCTGAGGTTTGTGAAAGTCAAGACGCGACGGCGGGACCTCGGCTAGTCTAACGATTCTGGGCTAGGCCTCCGCCGCTTCAACTTTGTAGATATCTCACTACATGAAGTACGTAGTATCACCACGTGACTTTGTAAATCTAAACGCGATCTCCTAGAAATGCAAGCCAAAGCCCTAATCCTGTTTGCGTCTCCACCAAACAAAGCATCCCAGGTATATAAGCAACCTCTTAGGAGACGTATGCAATGCACCAAGCTCAGATCTGGATGTGAATGCAGTCTCTAGTGACAGTCTGTAAATGCACCAAGGCCTAAGTAGCTTGACTGATGAAGCTGGGGAATGAATGGAGAGCCAGTCTGACTGACGGTAGAGTCTGTGAATGAATAGGTACCGTGAACGCTTAGCCAATGAATAAGTGCGTCGATGAATGAACTGCGTGAGAAGTCGAATTCGATTTATTATGATGTCTGCCGGATGAATGGAGAACATCACACTTCGTCCGACGATGAAGTCTGGGAATGAATGGAGAAAGTGACTCCCACGACGACGGTGAAGGCAGAGGATCGGCAGGATCGGCAGCATCCACGGGTATTTAAACCCTCTCTATCTCCCACCTTCTCCCTACTTTTTCATCTCTCATGCAGAAACTTCCTTTGCCTATACATATATACTACATTTTTGCTTGGCTTCTATCCTTTTGTGATATATACAAGTGTGGCGTCTACCGCTTTGTGGTATACACAAGCGTGGCTTCTACTCCTTTATGGTATACACAAGCTTGGCCTCTACTCCTCTACGTTATCACCAAGGTTGGACTCTATCACTGCCTGGTATGCACAGTCATGTTAAAGGGCCTAATTCATGTTGAGGATTGGCAAACATTTTGAGGTTTATGCCCGGTGATGCTACTTCCTCTGACTCTACAAACTTGCATTTGTGGCGTATCATGCGGGTGTTACCTGCCAGACCACTCGACTTGGACTAGCTTAGCTAAACTACGTATGCCACATCGTTCAATTACTTTGAGGTGAAAATGCTGTGAGAATCCTGTATTCTGGTCTCCACTTGGGTTTAGTCCCCGAAATCTTAACTATCTTTAAAGGCAAAGCGTTCTGAAACCTACTCGCAGGAGGGGTGATTTCAATGGCGGAAACTTGTGGCAGCAAGCCCGCGATGCAATTTACAATACCCGGAAATGAAAATTTCAACAGCTTCAAGAACTGCCTTTCTTCCACGCAACTCTTCCCTGCATCTGCTCCACACCAGCTTGGCATCCACAGTTTCATGTCAGTATTTTGGTTACACAAAACTAGAGCTCAGGAGTACATTTGACGATCAAACACACAGCCTCCTTGCTGTGCCTTGACAATTACCACTACAACTGCACAAGCCAACAGTTTGATCATCCAGTATGCTTATCTACCTTGTTCACGGTTTCCGCTAGCAGCGTAACCAAGGTCATCCTCCTTCAGACAAGACTGCCCACAACACGTATGAAGCGCAAGATGCGATCCAAGTCTGGCACAGTCGTGAAACATCGCTGCCAGGGCTCATGGGTCCTTCGCATCTCACTGAACCAGAGCTTAGCGGTGAAACGGAGTTCCAAGAGACAGTGAACTTTCGGTCTACCGTGACCCCAACTTAGACAGCATACGGCAACGCTCCTAGCCCATACGCGTTTCGGAAGAACATCAACAATTCTTGGTGTGCTCACCTCAACGTCTACAAGTTCTATCGAGGCAGCTCTACAACCTGGTTTCGTGAAGTTTGATGCTCCATGGCCACAACCGCAGTACCTAAGGGTTTCTACGGATTCAACCTCGAAAATTTTCAAGTTTGGTTGATGCAGATCTGCAGCTGAGGTTGCTGGAAGCTTCATGCTCCATCACCTCGACCACAATATCCAAGATCAATTTTCCATCGACTAACAAATTAGCAAACGTATCCTGTCACAGATTTGTCAATACAGAGGTCATACGCCGGCGGCTCACTGAACGATCAAGCCTAGAAAGAGGGTACGACGCGTCACAAACTACATGGAGCATCCGGCTACTGATACGCGTGGGAGAATTTACACAGCCTGAAGTCGAAGGTGTGACTCGGTTCTACTGTTGGAAGCCATGAAAAAGAAGCATGTGCTCGGATTTCTGCTATGAGCAGTGTTGGCTTGGGACATTCGCACTGTTAAGGATCCAGGAGATGATAGAAGGAACGCTATCATCAGGCAACATGAGTTCCGGTAAGATACCACCGGCTTTATGCAGCGTCAAGAGATTACTTCTCCAACTAACATGAGCTCAGTGACCACCGCCTCCACTGGCAAGCGCGCCTCTCATCTAGAAGTACCCTCAACCGCCATTATTTCGGGTAATCCAGCCTCCACGTACCTTCACAACATTGAGAAACACCCATCGCTAACGCAAAGTTAGACAACCAAACCTCCACCACCGACACCACCGACACCACTTCTCAAGTATATACCCCTTCAACACCACAAAGTCAAGCAGCCAACCCTCCGTTGCAACTCGTCAGGCAAGTATCATCGGTCAACACCAGGAGTTAATTTGGTTCATGGTCTTTTCATCAGACTCTCACCCTCAATATATACATACCCTACTATATCTAAACCCCTCCATACGCCATCAGCAGTCGGTCCAGAGCCACCATCTCATTGCATAGAAGGACACCTTCGACCTCTTGGTCTTCACACTGAAGCCAATGAACCCACCAAACAAGCACATCTCGGCTTCACTCAGTCCGGTAAATCTCAAACCAAGGGTCCGTCACCGCAGAGATGAGCCCAGTCAGTGGGCCTTTGCCCACCTACCTGCTGCCCCACGGTGGCAGATTTCCTCAGCAGAACACCATCGACATCGAACTGGGCCTCATCAACCCAGCCAGCTACGCAAACGAGAATACCCCAACGTCCGAAGGCATTACGACCAGCCCTAGTTGTCTTCTTACCATTCCTCTCGAGTCGAAACCCAAAATCTACGGTTGCCTACTCACAAATCCCATCAGAAATAGTTTGCATGAGGACCACATCATACCCAAGAGCCCAAAAGTACGTCTGCATAGGTCTCATCGATCATACGCCTAAGGAAGTCGAGCTGTGGGTCCACGGGATCGATCGATGGAGCAGGAGGTATCTTTCTTGGGAGCTAAGGAAAGGATGTTCTGAGTATTTCAGCATGAGCTGTGGCTTGAGGTATTCGCGCAGACCCCGACATCCTCTTTCGCCAACGGATTTGCGAACAAAAGGAAGCCCATCATCTATTTGACGCATCGTCACCAAGAACATCAGTACAAGGAGGAAGACAAGGACATCCAAACCTCACGGTTTTTGATCGAAGCTTCGTGGGAAAAGTCTCCTGCAACGAGGTCGGCCCAGGACTGGACAAGAACATCCAGTAGATCATGCTACTGACTAGGTATGTCACTACGCCTAACAACTCCAGACACTCTCGCAGATGCCGATATTTTCTTCTGGAAATGGATGAGCGGCCCCTCACATCACGCTTTGATTTGGACATAGCTCGTTCATGCAAAGAGACGGCCAAAAAGTGCGCCCTAGCGAAGCTCAAGCTTGAACAAACCGAGGCTACCAGAGCAGTGTCGATATCTCAGCACCAACAACTTTCCACGCCGGAGTGCCCGACAAAGGGCAAAGTAACCTGGCAAAGCTCAAGGTTGATTACAAACCGAGGCTATCAAAGCAGTGATAAACACCGCAGCGATAACAAATCTATACGCCGGACTGTCCGAGAGAGGGCAAATTACCTTGACTAACCTCAAGCTTGAACACACGAAGTCTACCAGAGCGGTGCTAGATATCTCAACGGCAACAAGTTTTCACGCCAGACTGCCCGACAAAGGGCAAAGTACCCTGACGAAACTTAAGCTTGAACACATCGAGGGCTACCAGGGCAGCGGTAGATCACTCGGCAACAAAACCTCCACGCAGGACTGTTCGACAAAGGGCAAAGTACCCTGACGAAACTTAAGCTTGAACACATCGAGGGCTACCAGGGCAGCGGTAGATCACTCGGCAACAAAACCTCCACGCCGGACTGTTCGACAAAGAGCAAAGTACCCTAACGAAGCTTAAACACAGAGGTTACCAGAGCAGTGGTAGATCAGTCCCTTAACAGCAACAAAACCTCCACGCCAGACTGCCCGAGAAAGGGCAAAGTACTCTCAAGAAGCTTAGGCTCAGACACACAGAGGTTATCGGAATAGTGGTGGAAACCTCAAGGACAACAAAATCTTCACGTCGGACGGCTTGATAAGGGTACTGGTGAAGCTCAAGCTCAAACACACTAAAATTACCAGGGCAATGGTAGATCACTCAGCAAAAGAACCGCCACGCCGAAATGTTCGACAAAGAACAAAGTACCCTGACGAATCTCAAGCACCTTGAAAGCGACCAGAGCAATAATAGATCACTCAGCAAAAAAACCGCCATGGTGGACTACTTGATGAAAGGCAAACTACCCTGATGAAGCTCAACCTTGATCACACGCCGAGCCTACCAGAGTAGTAGTAGATCCTTCAACGGCAAAAAAACTCGACTATTCGAAAAAGGGCAGAGTACACTGCGAACCTCAAGCTCAAACACATTGAGAGCTACCAGAGCAGTGGTAAATGGATACCTCAGCAGCAACAAAACCTCCACGCCGGACTGGTGAAGTGCTCGAAGCTCACAGCTACCGACGACATCCTGACCGCTATTGCCGAAGACCACTGGCCAGGTCCGACTGGCTGCAATCAGTAAGAGAATGGTTAAAATGTCACGAACAGAGGTGTGTCCAATCATAGATCTCTCAGCAGCAACAAACCCCACGCCGGACTGCCGGACAAAAGGCAAAGGACCCAAAGCTTACAGCTACTGACGATATCCTGACCACTATTGCCGAACACAGCTGGGCAAGTCTCACCAGCTCTGATCGGTACGAGAACGGGCCAAAACTCACGAAAAGGAGGATTTCATAGGAGGCATGAATTCTGAAACTCCGAGTCGCACAGTGCAATCGGCCGGCAAATAGGCGTTGGATCTCGGACTTCCTACGCTCATCATGGGCTTCACTCCGAAAAACCACACTCTCTACGAATGGCGATGCGACATTCGAGCCTTCAACAGCCTTGTCAGTGTAGACTTGTCAATGTTCTACCGGTTGATACCGCTTCGACCGACTCAAATTTGGCCTCCTAGTCTGCCGGAAAGCCTGTCGCAAGCAATCAATGAGAATTGAACCTTCTGAGATTCTCTACACTCTTGACTTCATCGCCAACCCGACAATTCTCTTAAAAATGTCTAGGGAAGAAAAATGTGAGAGATTCTCCGACCGAGTCTTGCAGGCGGACGAAGTATTAGTGTGTGTCTGAGCCTGTTGCGCCGCTCAAGTATTGACCCATGGTTCGATCGTCAATGATGTACCTACTACAACGGGACCGCCCTTCAGAGGAGCCCTTTTACGCACCGGCTGACTTTCCGTCGTGAAGTCAATTTCCCATCTGACACCAAGTGGAGGAGCTCGGTGCTTGTTCAACGGGTTAGATTCTTACCAGAATGGAGCCTTTCGTAAACCGAAAGCCTCATGAAGAACTGTCCCCCCCCCCGATCTATACGCCGCAGAAAGATGATGCTCGGGTCCTGCCTGAGCCGTGAGCGTTTCTGCAGTCATTTTGACCCGTGTTCGTTCACAAAGCTCAAGGAGTTCCTTGTCCCACGTATGACTGACACTCCCTCTGCTGCCTGGGAGAATACATTCCAAGAATATTGAATCGGAGACCGACCCAATACATTCGGAAGCCAGGACTTGGGAGCTTGCATCTACTGGCGCAAACGAAAACCGAAGCACAGTTAGGAAGTTGATAGACACCGGTTTTCATGGAGGAGTTCTGTGCCACTTTGGCGTGTCAGCAAAGTCCTTGCCTCATCTGGTTTGCTGAATCTTAGCTCCTAGCATCTACGCTCGATTGGGCGAAGGGGGTTTGGTCAATGGTCAGTGGTGGCCACTGCGGATGTGCGCGAAGTGGGATGGTGCTCATGGGGGATTAGAGGCGGGATATGGATGGGATATGGACTTGGCTAGCACTGGAGGCCACTCATTGAGGTGCAGTCGGAGGAGAGGTTTCTGGGTGAAGTACAGTATCGACTGTTCTAGGAGCGCTGCGGTATTGAGGACGTACGTTAGTACTCTGGGTTTCTTCAGAGATAGCACTGATGGAGATATAAGGAAGGAGATAGTTGTTGAACGAAGACACTTTTTAATCATACAAAGTTCCCTCTATCTGCCCCGTTCCCCAAGAACATAAAAGCTCCTGCCTCCTGCTAGCCCACCACATCTCCCCTTTCCCCCTTCAAACCACCAAATCCCAACTCCGCCCACGCACCTGCCCTCGTGAACCTCCTCATCTCACGCTAGATCCCCTCGTTGCGCCAAAAAGCCCTTGTAGCCGGAAGACCGAGATACGCCACGTTGGCAACGCAAGGGAACTCGCGGTCCTCTTCATCTTCCCCGCCCTAGACGCCTCAAGGTGTAGGTACATGCTCCGAGGCAGGCACGTGAACAGCCACCGAATCGTGCCGGTATGGTACCACCGATGGCCTTGCAGAGGCGAGAGGCGACGAATTGGGTCGAGCTTGGAAGTCAGCCTTCTGACACCCGATGGCGTGAAGGGCTGTTTCGAGGACGCCGAAGAGAAAGATGTCGTGGTATGTGGCGATGAAGCCGGAGAGCTGGGGGGGATCGGAAAGTTGGAACTGAGGACATCGATGAGCCAGAGATATGTAGCGTAGAGGAGGTTGAGGGCTGGAAACCTAGAGCTGTTGCTGAGGATGTCACGTTCGCTGGCGCGAGAAGTCCGTGCCGTGCTATTTTATTTCCACAGGAAGTACCAACTCAATTTCGCAGTTATTCTCCATGAAGTAGTAATTCCTCTCTCGTTTCCAAGCCTTTCGTAAAGCCTCCCAGAAGATAGTCCAATCCTCTGGTTTGTCTTTCCTCAAGAGCTGCGCTCCGTTCTTTCAAAGAAATGTAGCTTTTATTGTGGTCGTAGTCTCCGCTGCCTGACCATGATTGTTGCAATCATCAAGGAGTGATTCGAAGAGGTCTGAAATACTCCAACGCTCTTTGAGGTAGACGTAGAAAGGGGCATGATTCGATCGTTTGTTTGCAGAGACAACCAATATATTCTGAAGAGGAATTTCGGAGGTTGTTTCCATTCAGTGCTTCGACCCGTGCCCATCATGCGATGCCTTCCCGTCCCCTTTGTAAGAGTCTTTCTGTCACATGCAGGTGGCGAAAATGCCTTTTGGTAGGCGAGAGCTGTACCTTTGGAGAAGCGATGACTAATGAGAATGAGATTTAAAGGAGGCGAATCGAAGTCTTTAGCACCGTGATGCAAGATATAGATCTTCCGAGGGAAGGCCATCTGCTTTATCTCAGGAGGGAAGAGGTTCCAGGTTGTTAAGAAAAGACTGGTAGACGTCAACATGAGCACTCTTACAGAATGAAGAGGTCTCACTTATGTGGAGGCGAGTCTTCTTGTTGATTTTTCTGCGTGCAGATGAGGTTGTGATCGGGCGAAGAAACGGTTTCGACACCCCATCTTCAAATAGTGCCGTTCCTGCCATTTCGTACAGAGATTACGCAAGATTTCGAAAACTGCGGCCGGGGAGAAATCGTAGCAAGTTCAAGCTTTGCTTTGACAGCAAAAGAGGGTGATGGCGGCTATTTAGGAGTCCTAGGTAGCTGCAGTAGGGCGTAATGTGGTGACGGATAAACACCTAAAACGCTGGTTTGCCAAGACATCTACAGCAAAGATCCCATATTCACCAGCGTGCAAGGTAATCGACAACTTTGTTCGGATTCGTATTAGGTATCCATATTCGATAACCTTCCAGGTACGTGTGGTCTATATCCGCAGTCACGATGCGCTCACGCTGATAGAAGATAGCACCTCCGACCCTTTACAGCCACCATCAGGAGCCGCCGAGCATCTTTCACCATAAATCGATCATTAGGCAAGGCCAATGTCATGGCTAGCCATTTTCACATGGCTCGTCTTTCTGGGTAAATGCCCATCCTTGTCCTTGGTTTTCCAGGATCCTTTTGCACTTTTCCGTTCCTTTATGTATATAGCTGACTGACACAGGCGTGCTCATTGAAATTCTCCGCCAAGCGATGGAGCCAATGCCCATACTACTACATTAATTACCTCCTTCCTCCAGATTCTTTTGCATCCTTGGACCGGTGGTAACATGGCGAGATCTCTGCTTCCGCTTCGATATGGGGTGGTACTTGATCTGTATCACAACGAGGCCACGAGATGGATCCAGAAGAGACACACATTGGTAACGGAGTGGATGTGGAGCACCCTGAGAGTGCCAAGGAGTTTCCAACAGGAAGGACTCAGTGGATAGAAGTAGAATGGAACATAATGCAACTCGTTGAGACGGTCTTAACCCTCTGTCAACAGTCCTTCACTAGCTGTGCTTGAGATCATGCCTTTCCCGATACCTTGATCTTGGTCTTCATTTCCTTCTGCATTCTCCCGCTCTCGGTGCCTTCAGTGTCCTTGATGATTTTCAGTGGTGTATTTGCCCATAACCTTGGCGGTCCATCGATATTGCCAGCTTCGGAATAGCCACCTCGTTGTAAGGACCCAGGCTAGTTGGAAGATGAAAACAGATGCAACAAGAGGGATGTCTAGAGCTTTGCAAAGACTTCTATCAGTCCTACAGTCGTGATCTTTGAGATATACCCACAAAGCCTGTTGTGCTATCATCTCAGACCTGGTATCGATTCCGCCGACGACTAACCGTACTTCATACCTTCCGTTGTGACACCTGTCTCGCCTTCTTCCATTGCATGTATTGGGTCTGCTCGGAGCGTATTCCTTATTTCCTGCCAGACTCTACCGGATCCAGTCCCACGAGCTCATATGACCATGCAATCACTGACCAAGTCTTCGAAAACTGAAGCGAACATAAGAAACAATCTTCGAAAGATCATCAAATGATGAAATGAGTGCAACGTCGACTAAGCCGTCCATTCAGAGTAGGCATGATTGTCTCCCACTGGCTGATGTGGCGTTGCAGGAGCCGGATTGCTAAAACAGAGTGGGTGAACTATGAAGTTGCAGTCGAAAAGGCTAGCATAGGAGCGAAGGTCCGCTTCCTTCCGCATCTTTCTCTCATGAGCAGCTTCTAATCCTTGAGACCTAGGGAAGAGAAAGAGGGCAGTGCGAAAGAATCAGGCGTGCGACATGGAGACGAAAAGAATATACAGAAGGCACAGAGCCTCAGAGATGGGAAGAATCAGAAAGGAACGTCTGTGATGATGAGAAGAAACATAATAGTTGGCCAAAAGGAGTTCTTGATGTATACGTATCTAGCAGAGAAAACCTCCAATACTTCATGGCATCCCAGCATTCATAAAGACACCTGGGGCAAAAGAGATGTTCTTGTCACATTTGTACTCTAAGCATCCATTTAAGTGCACTCATGTCGCAAGAGTGACAGATTGATTGATTACATCATACTACCCTGAAGTCTTACCCTAGTGGCCGACTATGCGAGTTACGTAATCTATCTGATCCTTTCAATTAATTATATAATCTCAAATAAATAAAGCTATATAAGTTATCGTTAGGGTTCTACGTCTTATTATACTTAATTCTTAAAAAGGGGTAGTCTCAGTAGCCTTACGTAGTGGGTCTGAGTACCTTAGCGAGTAGTAGCGACCTTCTTTTACTATATATATACGATAAATATACGATTATTTTATTAAGACGTATTAGTAAATTACCTCCGCCTTTAAACGATAAAGAATAAAAAACGAACTAGATAATTAACGGTAATATATCTTAGTACGTATCGATAAAAAATCGTATCGAGTTAAAACAACTATAATATTTTAAATACGTTTTATAGATTAAAACCGTTATAACACCGTTGCGATACCGTTACGATATCATTATGAAATCGAGAAATCGTTATAAAATTAAAAACTATTTCGAAAAGAATAAAAAAATTAGGACTGCAATAATAGTTAAGGTCTATTAAGAATAAGATATTTATAAAATTAATGAATTTCAAATAAGAAATACATTCGTGGATTCGAACTACGAGACTATCTTACTTTATAAATTTTTATTACTCGACTAAATTTACTTAAGCTAGAGATGAGTTTATTTAACTATATAAGATTATTCACGTAATCTATTATTACTAAGATATTTATATAAATATCGTTATTCTATTAATTTATAATTACTATCGTAATAAATTAGATCCTCCGATTTAACGTATTAAAATTTAATACGCTTATTAAGAGAAATCAATTTGCTATTATTTTAAAAAAAGCACTATCAAAAATATATAACGTATTTAATCCTTCTCGAAATCATAGTTATATTATAAAGCTATCGTTAAAAGACGATAAATCTTATTAATTTAATTAAGGTACGGTTAGCGTAACTTATAGCCCTTCGCTAAGATAGAAAACGCTGCCAAGCCTCATTTTTTTGGTGGTTTGGCTAATATGAGATATTCACCCCTGCGTACATATGGGCACTAAGTATCAGCCGTAGGGCTGAGTGCCAAGTATAGCCTTTTTTTTTATGGCGAGATATATAGTTAAGTATATAAGGTACTATTGGAGTCATGGCAACTACTCTACTCCTCCGCGCTTTCGCGACACCTAGAATCTTACCCTAATAAGAGCGAGGAAGAGTCCGACCCGCTACTCGGGGTTCTATAAAATCGCCAAAGCGATATCCGCCCTACTTCCGTGCTACGCGGGAATCAAATATATAAATTTTTAAATTTCTTTCGATGCGAACCATCAAAATTTTTTAGACTTCGCTATTATATAGAGAAAGAATATTACTATAAGATATAGAGAGGTTAATATCTAAAGTTCGAAGATATCTCGTTATCGCCGCTATAAAGAAAGTTAAATATCTAAGTATTCTTAATATATTCTATATTTATATAAGCTCGTTCTAAGCGTGTTAATCGCGTTAATATTATTTAAGATATATATATTATAATCTCTCTAACTTCTAAGCGAAGTATATTCGAGTTAATATATATTTCTATAGAGAATATATCTCGAGTATTCGACTTTCTAATTAAGAATAATATAATAAATCTACTCGAGTAATTTCTTAATCTAATTCGTTATATAATCTTTTAATAATACTAAATACGATACGCTATTATCTAAGGTTTTTCTAATAAAGATTAATCGATTAAAGGGGGGTGCTATAAGCGTTAGCGGAGATCGCGGTCTCGAATTAGCTTATATAATAATAATAAGTTATTTAATTTTAATAAAAGACTTAAATACTTAATTAGCGATCTCGATAGACTTATTCCCCTCGCGATTAACTTTAAAAAATTATATAATAGTCGTAAAAAAATCGTTGAAAGTCGCGAATTTCGTATTTCGGTTAATTATTACGAGTGCTTTATATAAAATAACGGTTAATATAGCGATTTTATAGTTTTCTACTTAGACTCTAGAGAGAATATATATCGTAATAAGCTTACGATATAATTAACTCTTAAAGTAAGAAACGAGTATAGAACTAATTATAGAATATCTCGCTAAGCGAGTTTAAATACTAAGACTAAAAAAGGGGTATATTCTATATCGCTAAGGCTCTCTCGTCTTAATCGTATTCTTCTTTTTAACTACTTACCCTAGTAAATTCTTATTATTAATTCTTATTAAGAACTTAATATTTATTAGAATCAGCATAGAGGGATATTATATGGGTGAGGTAGAATAGAATAATAAGGCTACCGAACTATGTATGTGGGAAGAAGACATGATATGATAGGGGATGCCTCCTGCCAAGGCACTAGGCCATAGAGCTAAGTAGTGTCAAGGGTACGCTCGTAACAGTACTCCCCCCTCTCAAATAGCCATGGCCCCCATGGCTGGTAGACCGGAGATGCAGGCCCATTGCTTGCCTTGTATCTCCAAACATCCATAGTCCCGGCAGACCTTGACTGGAGAGGATTTGCCGAGGTGTAGTGGTAGCAGTCAAACATCGGATGGTTTCAATTCGTTCAAAAACACCATATCCGAGGTTTTGCCGGATCGCATGCTGGTCTTGACTGTGCCATCCATCCCTGCCACAGAGATCCTGGAGATGTTGGCCATATCTTGCCTGCGTGCCAGCAAGATTCTCCGAGTTCTTCTCCTTGCCCAGTCTGCTTGTCATAGTCCTCCACTTTTTTTTCGCCTTCAACACCTACTGGCAGCCTGGCCTGGGAGCTTCACTGTAGATTTGCCCTGCGTCTCCCATGCTCTTGCCATCAAGTCCATCGGTAGAATTGAAGAAAATCCAACGCATGCATTCACCTCCAACACCTTTTGGCAGCCTGGCCTGAGAGCTTCACTGTAGATTTGCCCTATATCTCCCATGCTCTTGCCATCAAGTCCATCCTCCATTCCATCCTTTGTCTTTGTCGATTGGTAGGTTTGATAGGGAGGTAGGGAAAGAATTGAATGTGTTGAATGCCATTTGGTAGCAGGCTCACTATGTGTGTTGTCGACATGCTCAGTGAAGAGATCGTACGTTTGCTGCCATTGTAGCAGGCTCACTGTGTGTGTTGTCGACATGCTCAGTGAAGAGGTCGAATCGTAATCGTGTTGTCGGGTCTGTTCCCGTCGCCTTGTAGCAGGCTCACTGTGGGGTGTTTTGATGAGTTCTTTTCGATTCGCTAATCCTACGAATGGTCCAGCGGTGCTTTATCCCTCCTGCTGTCCAGAGGCCGTTCCGTCATGCCGAAACGAATTACCCGTTTGGTGGGCTGACCCAAGGATACGATGCCTCAAGTTCCTGTCTTGACCTCAACCGGTCGTGGTGTCTTGGTCTCAAGTTAGTATCTTGACAAAGCCCTTGCCAGCGCGTTTGTTTATTAACCATTCGTCCGCTAATCCGAATAAGCGTGAGTGTGCGTTGATTGGCCCGTATGTGTTTCTCTTCGCCGGGTGTACGAAGGAGCCTTATTATAATGTCAGGACCAGCATAGAGGTATATCATATGGGTGAGGTAGAATAGGATAATAAGGCTACCGAACTATGTATGTGGGAAGAAGGCATGATATAATAGGGGATGCCTCCGCCAAGGCACTAGGCCATAGGGCTGAGTGGTGTGTTAAGGGTACGCTCGTAACAATATTATCTAATAAGCCTAGTATTCCTTATAAAGTCCGCCGCTATAGAGGTATAGCGTAGTTTTATTAGTATATTCTTATAAGTAATAACCCTCTCTTTCACCTTCCTTCTTTCTTCGATTTATTATATTCCTCGCTTCTTGCTAAATAGTCTATATTCGTAAAGAATATACCGAGTCGTCTGCTTCGCTCTATACTCGTATTCTTTATCCTTTATATCTGATATCTATCGATTATAAAGAAAGACTTTAAGATCTATTTTCTCGATTTTTATTTACGTTATTAGCGACGACTTTATTAGAATTATTAAAATTCTTAGCCCTTAAGCTTTCTAGTCTTTCTAGTCATCTTATTAAATTAGCTATCTAAATTTATTCTATATATAGAATCTCGTTTCAGAGTGCTTCTAAAGTAATTAATCTATTCTTTTTAAATATTTTAATAGATTATAAGTTCGATTCCGACGCTTTTATAACGCTATTATATATATTATCGTTATTATATATCTTTATAAACTCTAATTCTAATTTCTATTAATTTTAAGTATCTATTATATTAGTACTAGTATTAGCATTAGTATTAATTATAGTCTAACGAGTTATCTTAAATCTATTCTTTAAGTTACTTATTCGTTAATTTATTAAAATAAACTACTTAAAGTAACTTATTAATATATATATCTTATTACGTAAATAAAAGTTATAGAAGTATATTTAAGAGATCTCTTTTAAGATATTAATTATTATAGTTCTAGCTAAATAAAAGAATTCTTTTAAAGAGACTATTAATACGATAATACTTATTATTAATAACTCTATTAAGTAATAACTTATAGCTGATAAATTTAATTATAGCTTTAAAATAATATTTTATCTCGCGAATCTCTATCGTTTTATCGAAGATAACGAATTTATATACTTTATTATATAATATTATACTATTAAATATAATAAATTCGACTTCGTAATTAACTATATTACTTATATTAAGTTACTCGAAGAGCGTATTATAGCTATTAATATTAAACTTATACTTAATAAATAAACGATTCTTTATCTATTAATATTCTTTCTTAATTATCTTTAATACTATAAGAGTATAATTTACTAGCGATTAGCTAGCGAGTATAAACTATAAAAGACGTAGTATCGTTATAAGATTTAATAGTATATTTAATAGTAGAATTAATCTCTAAAAAATATTAAAACTTCGAGATATACGAAGTAAACCTATATTCGTTAAGTCTCTAGATATATAAGATACATTATTAAAATTAAATTCTAAAAGAAATCTTAACGTAGAATATACGATATCGACGCCTTAATATAAGTAGCGCTAAGGTCTATAACGTATTAGGCCTAATAATTACCTTCTCTTTTAGACTCTAATTTCTAAACGTCTAAGCAAAAATAAAACGCTTATTAAAAAACCTTTAAACTCTAATAAGAAAATAAGAGAAAAGAGTCGATTTATTAAAATTGCGATATCGTTTTAATAACGCGATAGAATTAACTATTACGCGCCGTAGGCGCGTTACTAATATATTATATAATAATATTAATACTATCTTCGAGAATAATATCGCTTTTATAGTATTAGTTAATAGTAATCTATAGTAAGTCGATACGCTTAATATTAACGTTCTTATAACGCTAGTTAATAGCCTCTATAGCGAATAATATTAGATTTAAAAACTTATAACCTTAAAAGTCTAGTAAGTAAAAGAAGAGAGAAGAGTTTCTCTATAAATAACGTTATTTTTATAGCGTATTATATCTATAGCGAAGTAACGTAATAATAATCTTTATTATAGAAATTTAAAGAAAGTAATTAATAGAGCGACGCGTTTATAATAACGCTTTCGATTATTAATTAATAATAGTAGAAATAATAATAATAGTTAGACGACGCGATTTTATAGATAATAGCGAAATATTATTACGTTACTATTATTTATATTATTAAATATTATTCGCTAGTAATAGCGCTATAATAAAGAATATAAAAATCTCTTTTAAATTATTTATTTTTATTCTTCGTAACTTCTAATATTTCTCTTATAAGTACTTACTCTAACGCTATAACGTTAATATTAATACTAATATAAGTATAGTATATCTTATTATATTAATAATCTACTTCTCTTTATTATAAGTATCTTACTATTATTAATTATATCGATATATAGACTAATAATTTTATAATACTCTTTTTTAATAATAATAATAACTTTAATAATAAGTATATAGTCGTCTTATAGGCGCGACTATTAATCTATAACTATTTCTACTACTATCGCTTTATATATATATTTATTAATAAATTCTAATATCTAATTTATTATATAGAACTTACTTTTACTAAGATAACGATTTATATATTCGAGATAAGTCTTTTCTCTATAATAACTATAAGATCGAAAGACGCGATATTAATCGCTATATTAAAATTCTTCTATATCTTTAAACGTAGATAAGAAAATTAATATAGCGCTATCGCCGCGCTAAATAGTCTTAAAAGTTATCTTATCGACGAGTTAAGCTTAATAAGAAGATTATTTAATAGCGTAAATTATAGAAATATATAATAGCGATAGCTTTAACTATCTTTATTATAATTATAAATCTTTAAAACTAGCTTATAACGATATATAAGCGTATAAAGAAATTAAAGAAAATAAACGAGTTATTAAAGAAGAAGCTTAAGAGTCTTCGTTAATATATAATAAACGTTAATAAATATTAACTCGAAGACTATACTTTAATTATCTTCTTATTAAAGAACTAAATTAATAAACTTAATTTAAAATCTAACGCTAAGATAGCGGAGAATATTTAAGTAATAATCTTTTTTTAATAATAGCGCTAGTGTAGGGTTTCTAGATAGTTCTTTAATAGCTATCTTAAATAAAAATACGTTTATATTAATAGTATATACTTTAATATAATAAACTTCCTTTATAATAAAGTTTAATAGATAGTTAAATAATATAATTATTTTATTAATTTATATCTTAATAATAATAAGTATAAAGAAGTACGCGTGTAATATAAGTATTATCTAGAAATATATCTAATCTAGTCGATAATTATATCTTATTTTATTATCTTTACTTACTCGCCGTTAATCTATATAATTAATCGAGCTCTTTAATAATAAGAGACTTATTATTTATTACTTAATACTTTCGCTTATTATTCGTTTATTTATAGACTTAAATTAGCTTATTAATATTAATAAGTTTATTATCTAATAGTTATTAATTATACTCTTCGCTTTAATTAATCTATTTAACTTTATATTAAACGTCTTTCTTATATTTAATCTTATTAATAATTTCTTCGATCTCTTAAAGCTTATCGTTATTAATAAGATTAGAGATTTATATAAAGACTTTCGCTATATTATTATAATCGCGAAGATAATAAGACTTAAATAACGATATATAAAAGATATTATAAATCTTATACGTCGAGAGTAGAAGTAGATAATACGTTTACGCTCTTATCTTATCTATAATTTAAAATAATTCTATAAATTTATAAGATAACTTCTTACTTAGATATTTCTACTTTAGATTCTTAATCGCTAATATTATTAAATTATCTATCTTATAGCTTTAAGACTAATACGTTTTATTATAATACTTAAATTAAGTCATAATAGCGCTACGAAGACGCTCTACTATCTTATTTCTTAATACTTATAACTTCTTTACTCTATTATTTATAGCGAGTATCTCCTTCTCGATAAAGTTATTCTCGATCTCTTAATAAATTTTAGAATAATATTCATATATTAGAAAGAATAATATCGTTTCGATAAAGGAATATTAACTATTTATATAAGCGAACTCTACTATTAATAGTTATTTCGTCTAAATATTTTACTTATTATTAGCGAATACGCGTAAAAAGTATTTTAGTATCTAATTTTATCGCTTAGTCTATTTATTAGTTTACGAGTAAAAGGCGATACTTAGATATCGCTTAATTTTAAAATAAAAGTAAATAGCGAACTAGAAGCTACTAATAAATATAGAGTCTCTATTATTAATAATATCGTTTAGTATACTATAGCGATATACTATTTCGAAATAAAATATTTTCGCTAGTTAAGCGATATCGATTATAATAGATATAGAAATATATCTTATTATTTTTATAAATCGATTTATTATAATTAGAATAGTATTATAAATAATATCTTTATACTTACTCGCTAATAAGTTAATAATAAAGTCTATAGAAATTTTCTTTTATAACTTAATAGCGATAGAAAGCGAGCTTAATTTACTATATAGGCGATATCGCGAAGCTTTAATTCGCTAATAAATATTATATATCTTAATATAGTTAATAACTTATTTTAGACTTTTATCTTAATAGTATTTACGAATAAGTAGCTTATATATCTTCGTAGCGCTAAAGTATCTTAATAACG